TACTCACTAATATCCCAGCTATATGACGGCGCCTTGTAAACAGTCTAGTCAGAACCAGACCATCCAGTGATGGATATTGTGAGGAAAATCCACAAGGTCGATGAGACGCAATAAACAAAGTCAGCAATCCTGACCATTTAATTCATTTGTCGCGTCTTACAAGCAAAGGTCGCTGATGGTGTGTTCCAGCCCAGTTGGTTTGTTGTTAACGCAGCACTCAGCAATATTCCATCTATATAGAGTCTGTAAATAATCGAGTGATCAACAGTATGAGCATTGATCTACGTAATTTCGATACAGTAACATGTGTCAACCATGTCAGCGAGCCTGACCACCTGACCCGTTAGTCTCCTCTTACGACAGGCATGCGTTGCTGAAGACCAATTCTAACCCGCAACATCACGTTTTGTTCTAGTCCGGAGATCGGCATGGAGCAGGGGCGGATGCAGCTTTTTAAGAAAGTGAGTGTGAGTGTGTGTGTGTGTGCGTGCGTGCGTACGTGTGCGCGCACTATTTAGAAAGGGGGGTTGGGGGTTGCACACACTTCATTTTCACGAGCATTTCAATGCGCACCCCTGCACCCCCTCTGGATCCGCCTGTGTGGAGATTCTACAATAGAAATCTAACCAGACAGTTGCCCACAATCCATAGAAAAATGATACAGTTCTCTACAATTGACTCGGAGGGTATTCAAAGATTCATCTAAAAACGTTAAACATATTTTAATCAGTAACATAAGTTCCCGCTGTGATGCTGGTTCTGTCAACAGCTGGTTTAGGGAGATAACAGCATGTATACGCACACATGATCGACTAGAGAATTCCATCAGCATCGAGTGATTGTATGGCTGCTTCAGTGTCAATACAACACACTGACTGACTGAGTTTGGTTTTACGCCGCTTTTACAGACCGTTTGAGTCAGAAACCGACCGATGAATTGCAAATTTTATCATTGTACTAAATTGCCACATAAATATAAATAGTACACATGTTTATCATTTACTAATACCCAACAGCTTTCTTATATTTGAAAATTTTCCGGACTCCACCAAAAAAGTTCTTTAAGAAACTATCTTTAAAATTTTGACACAGTTCACTATTTGTTACGAGGGAGGAGTGCAGAGAACGGGACAGCCAGGTGTGCGAGAAAGGATGGAGACGGCACAGCACAGGCTAATGAATCAATAACTTGGTGGGAACTTGTGCACGTGCTTCTCTAACACCTGGCTGTCCCTTTCTCTGCACTCCTCCCTCGTAACAAATAGTGAACTGTGTCAAAATTTTAATGATAGTTTCTTAAAGAACTTTTTTGGTGGGGTCCGGAAAATTTTCAAATATAAGAAAGCTGTTGGGTATTAGTAAATGATGAACATGTGTACTATTTATATTTATGTGGCAATTTTGTACAATGATAAAATTTGCTCAACGGACTGTAGCAATATTCCAGCAATATCACGGCGGGGGACACCAGAAATGGGCTTCACTCATTGTACCCATGTGGGGATTCGAACCCGGGTCTTCAGCGTGACGAGCCAACGCTTTAACCACTAGACTACCCCACCACCCCCAATACAACACACACATCTTGACATTGCAAAATCAACCTTGACAGTTCATGTCAACAGGTTTTGGGGCTTGTACATTACCATAAAATGCCAAAAGCATAATAAAATAAATCAGGAAGCATTTAATCAACAGATATAATTGCAAACAAAATATGAATGGTATTTTAAAGTGATACACATAAATCTGGAGATTTACTCCTAGCTTCCAGTTGTCTAATGCCATTACCAATCAGCATCAAATAATTTGTATAGTGTCCACCTTTGGTATCTTACCACTTGGTCTTTTCAAAGGTACATATATACATGTATAGCTATCTGGTTTAGATAATCCACAAAGTCTCTTCATGTGTCAAACACACCATTGACATTTCTACTGTTACAGGAAGATATTTGAATAACGGTTTCTAATATATACAAGAAAAAGCAGAACAGAAAAGGCAAACAGGAAATGAAACATAAATATCTCATTCAATAAATAGAACTTTTACTAACAGAATAACGGATATTAGCTTTTATACTCAACTGCCCATTAACACATGGAAATATTCAAAATACAGTGTATATATATGATTTATTTCACATCTGACATGACAGTTTGATCTTTATGAATTCATAATATATACATCGATACTCCACAAACTTAACTTCACACATATATCATAAAATATAGCTGTTGTCATGGTGATAAGTCTCCTACTGTTCTTTGACATAAACAGATTAGATCAGTACATTCAAGATAAAGTTTAGGCGAGTAAACAAATTGTCCTCTTCCTGATATTTATCACAGAGAAAGGAGTGAGTGAGTGAGTTAGTTTTATGCAGCACTCAGCAATATTCCAGCTATATGGCGGCGCTCTGTAAATAATTGAGTCTGGACCAGACAATCCAGTGATCAACAGCATGAGCATCGATCTGCACAATTGGGAACCCACAGAGAAAGGGAAAGGGAAAGGGAGGATTTTAGTTTATTATATACGTTTTAGTAGGTAACAAATCTGTAACGATAAACTTGATTCCTATACATGTATTCGTATACATGACTGTAGCATAAATTTTGAGGAGCTGGACCAAATTAATGTCAAAGAATTTTAGGAATAAACTTCAAATCAACTATTTCTAAATAACATTAAAGTATTATATTCCACATTGCTGTAGTGAGTATTTCATGTAAATTGCATATCCAGCATCTGCATCATAATTGTTTGGGAATCCTCATCACACAATAGGATTGTTTATGAAAGGACTCGAAGTTAGATTTTAATGTATGGAGATTGCTGTTGATGATCTTGATAAAACAGTAACACAAGGCCATTCTGAGGATAGATATACCACTCAGTAGAAATTAAAGAACACCTGATATTTTCATACAACTATAGATCATCCCTCACAGCATGCCAGATTAACTACAGTAAGGGATGATGATTGTTATGGAGAAGCATGTACAATGTGATTGACACCCCCTAAAATTTGTGTACAAAGTAAGTGAACTACCCTGCATGTCATGTTCAAAATCAAAGGCCCCCTTCCCCCCTTCCCATAACTGTTAAGCATAGTGTTTTGATATTTTTATGTACAGAATTGATGACACCTGTCTCCCCAGAACAAAATGGATAAAAAAATAAATAAAAATAAATAAATAAATAAAAATTAATAATAATAAAATAAATAAATAAATACAAAAATAAAATCATCACCTCATCCCCCACCATAAATTATGAAGAACAGGAAAACTTGGTGGTTATTTTTCTGTTCATGTTTGATTGAATAGTTTCATTGCATTCCTGGACTGAGGACAATGTATCATGAACCAGGAACTATGCTGTGATATAAATCTGTTTATATGACAGTAATTGATGTAAACCAGGTATGTTCACAATAAAGTACAGGAAAAGTCTCCCTTTATAGAACATCCTTACTATTTCCTGTTCTTGTCAAACCATTCTTGTACTTTATCCTATTTTGGAGTTATCTCCTCTTGTAACTAACAAACTTACTGTTTTATCACAACTTCATTATACTCAAATGTTTTACTGCAATTTGAAAAATGTCTTCATAAAGATGAGCTAAACCTTTAATAGCAGTTTGATTAAAGTAAAATTTGTATTAAACCAATCAGCAATCAACACTTTCAGAACAGCAATTCAATTTCTGCATTACCATGGCAACCACACAACAAGCGGATATCAAGCATTATTACTCGCCCGTGGAAGATACTGCAGTGTAATATTTTTACGGCAATATTACACTAGTGTAATACCGCTAGATGTATGACGTCATAATGATTCACAGTTATGACGTCACAATGCTAATGTCGCTGTCGCAATGGTACTAGACCTTGCTTGACTCACAGAAAGCTGAGAGTCATCACACTGTAGGCAATTTCGCTGCAGTTTCTATCAATTTATGTTGGAGACTAATAAACAAAATACTACACTCGCTTCCGTGAAATACCATTTTTATTAAACTCGTGAAAGACTCAGTATCAAATCATACCAAATCGTTTAATAAAAATGGTATTACACGGAAGGTTGTTTAGTATCCTCTATTTACTGGTATACTGCATTACACTTTCAAAATCTACAACTACTTATTGCTATACTTTTATGTTTTCCAGTTTACTTGGTAGAAAATATATAATAACTTTAGTTACAGTGTGCGAAGTAGCCACAGGCCCGCTAGCCCGTGGCTAGTAAATATCCCGTTGGGCCAGTAAATCTCCACAGTCACTGGCCTGACTGGCTGGTGAGTTTCTATGAGGTCATTTATTAAACATATCACTCTCTCTGACTTGTTAAGTTTTAATACACTTTTAAATCATGCAAGATTGTGGCCTGACAAATGATGGTATTTTACCTTTCTGTAATATTTTGCTTAGTTTCTACATTCAAATTACTAGTGAATTATTGTGTGGGCTGGTAACTTTCAGGCACAGCTAGCCTGACTGGCAAGCAAAATTTGGAAACTATTTCGCACACTGTTTTGTTATCTGTATCATTTAACCTAAAATCTTCCCAAATCCATTCCTAATATACTGGACAAAATAAGTTAGGGATATTGGTATTTTTATGATTGATATTTTATCAATGTATCAATGAATATATAGATCATTATTCATAATTCCAAAATTTACATATATCCCTAACTATTTTTGCCCAGTATAGATTTTTCCTTTTAAAACAGATAGAAAACATGTTGAAATGTGTTTTCTCTCAGTTTGCAATAGCGCGCTATATCCATGACTACAAAACTGAACTTGTTGATTAATATTTACATTAATATGTAGAACATTGAGTCTGGGTTTACAGTCAGTATCAACAGTTACCGTTAAATACGTTCTCCCAAGATATAACAACACACATCACGATAAAGATAACTAAATATTTGCCAATACACATTGTAACACATCTGCCATTCTTCAAACAACACAAGGCGTAGTAGCATAAAAAGAATGGATGTTTTTATTCTCGCAGTACAACTATGTGAGGTAGGGCGAAGAGTTTACACACAGTCTGACAGAGACTACCACGGGAAGGCCATGAAGTCAGGCTGACACTTGGGCTGTAGAAGGCCAAACTTGGCTGGTCAGTGTTTGTCCCTCCTTGTCCCTGTTCTACCTTTCTTCTGGTCTGTGTCGCTCTTCCCCTGTCTGCCGCCCCCTCGCTATCTCTCGCCTTCCACTATCCTGCCTGCTTTTAGAGGCAGATGAACGACTAACAATCTGTTCAGGTCAGCAGTTCTCATGGACATAATCTGCTCAGTTGGTCATATTTTCACATATCTGAGACAAGTGTACACAACAAATAGTGTTACAACAGCCATACTCAAAAGGGTCCACTTTTGGAGAGAATTTATGGTTTGTGTCGCAATTAACCTTAAAAATTGCTTTGAAGAAGTTCTGATTTTTATGAGATGTATCACCATTCACCCATTATGACATCACAACAATCAACCAGTGTAAATATAATAAACAACAATGACTTTCTCCCTACTTCATTGACTAGCTTTCACTTTTAATCTTCTGTGACTTTGTATCAGTTTTGTTTGTTTTCAAAGAGTCACTAAAAATATATTGATGGACATCAAGCTGTTTAATGCTGTACTCAGCACAATTCAAGCTGTATGATGTCAGTCTGTAAATAATTGGGTCTGGACCAAACAATCCAGTGATCAACAGTATGTGGACTGAACAACGCAAATCGGATACAATGTCAACCAAGTCAATGAGCCTGAGCATCCAATCCTGTAAGTCGCCTCTTACGACAAGGGTTGCTGAAGACCAGGATCTTCACAGACAGAGAGGAAAACTGTTGAAGCCTGATACATTCTGTGGCCAGATCCATGCTGACAGGAATTTCTGGAGGGTTGGATATGTCCTATTACTGTCCTTTGAGATCATAAAACATAGGCATTTCTCTTGCATTTGGCTCAAGGCTATATGTAATGTCTATATAATGTATGACTTACTAAAATAGTTAGCGAATAAAATAATAATTATATATGGACAAGTCAAGAGGGTTTGGACTTGACAACACCCAGCATGCTGGGGACGTCGGTTATCTTCTCTCGAGGTTTCCCAATTTTCTTTCCGGCTTCTGACTCGCTCGTGTTGATCTTCTCCCAGTCGGAAAACGTGACAATTTCTACACCTGAAACACAGCAACAGGTGAGGTGAGGTGAGGTGAGGTGAGGTGAGGTGAGGTGAGGTGAGGTGAGGTGAGGTGAGGTGAGGTGAGGTGAGGTGAGGTGAGGTGAGGCGAGGTGGATGTATAATATCACATTAAAGATTCCGGCATATATATAGTGACATGTGCATGTATGTGTATATCTGTGTCCATGCTTATACCAGTTTTACAGAGCTAACCCACTGAGTTACCATGTCACAGTTTTACATTAACACCCCTCTCAGAATATAAATAATCTGGTCAGAAACACATAATACCATTCATATTGAAAAGGAACCCCATTTAGATGGGATTTTATGAACTTGATGAAAGCCTTGCTTCATTAACGGCTTCAGCATTGCAGAAAAGGCTTGGCGGAAATGAAAATCATGTGGTTCCGGATCTGTGAGACAAACTCAGTAGTCTGAGCCAAACTTAATGGTGACTGCCAAGAATGGTAACATAAAGTAACATCTGTCAACATCAGATGCTGTCAAAGCATAAAGGCAGAAATGTATGCTTAGGTTATATGGTGTGTAACGACAGGTTCAGATAGTCCCAAGTTGTCTTAACAGTTGCTGATGGTTAAGACTGACTGACTGAGTTTGGTTTTACGCCGCTTTTAGCAATATTCCAGCAATATCACGGCGGGGGACACCAGAAATGGGCTTCACTCATTGTACCCATCTGGGGATTCGAACCCGGGTCTTCAGTGTGACGAGCCAACGCTTTAACCAATAGGCTACCCCACCGCCCCTCTGATGGTTAGAAAGAGTATTTGTATGTCAAGGCAACATTACACAGTAACATGTCAACATCACCAAGAAGAGTGAGCCTGACATATCTGAAACAAACCTGGGTTTCCAGAGGAGGCAATATGTGCCATGATGACGATGCAGGTTTCAGGGTCATTTTGACAGTTTGGATCAGTTATATTTAACATAACTAACAAAAAATGCAAAAGGGCTGACCTCTCTGTGTCAGGATGTCCTTGACCTCTGCATGACCCTGTTTCCCGGTTGTCTCCAACTGACCCTCCTCCATGTCCTTAAGGATCACCTTGCCGGTGTCAAACCCATCAGTCATGGTATTGAGGATGACACCCACAGGTCCTCGGCCAACCCATCCGCTACAGTAGAGACCTGTAAAATGTTGTTTGAAGCCTGACTCCACAGTATTTCAGCTATTCAATGAACGCAGCCTGTAACTATTCGAGTGGACAAGAGAGTTCAATGATTGAAATGCACAATGTTCTGGATATGATGACCACCATCAACCATGTGACTGGGCCTGAAATCCTCACCCATTAAATCAGCAGTGACACATTAAATACGGTTTGTTTGTTGAGGTGAGGTGAAATTGGGTTTTACGTCGTGCTTGAGAATATTTCGCTCATATGACGACGTGCATGCTTGTGTATGTGTATGTTGCGGCTGCTTGTACTAGCCCAGACTGAAGCTGGTTTTATAGTGCGAGCCCACTGAGATACCATGCCGCAGTGAAGCATGCATACCCCACTCAGACACATTATACTGACTCCGAGCCGACCAGTCCTTGTTGTACGTACCCATTAATGCCGAGCGCCAGGCAGGGACCAACAAGTACCATATTTTAACGTCTTTTGGCTTGACACAGTTGGGGATCGAACCCGCGACCTTCCGCTCTCCGGGCGGACGCTCTAACCACTACACCACGGAGGCGGTCCGATTTGTTTGTTTGTTGTTGTTGCTGAACGTTGCAATATTCCAGCTATATGGCAGCGGTCTGTAACTAATGGAGTCTTGACCAGACAATCCAGTGACCAACAGCATGAGCATGGATCTACACAATGGGGATACGATGGCATGTGTCAACCAAGTCAGCAGGCCTGACCACCCGATCCCGTTTGTCGCCTCTTATGACAAGCATGGGTTGCTGAATACCAATTCTCGCCCGGATCTTCATGGGTCACAAACACATTAAAAGACACAATGTCACCAGTCCCTGAATATTTGCACCATCATGTCAGTTAGCAAATCCACTGATGTGAATCATTGTTCCCACCTTTAGTTCCCTGAACTCTGCTGTTCTTGTTGGGGATTATTCCTTTGTCAGCATCAAAGGGTACGGTGCTGTCGATTGGGATGCTCTTGTAGCCTATGCTTCTTAACACCTGTGTAAACATAACAGTGTAGAACTTCATTCATATTGTGTAAGATCCAGGTTAAAGTAAGATCCGGGTTAGAATTCATCTTGAGCAACCCATGCTGAGTGAGTGAGTGAGTTTAGTTTTACGCCGCACTCAGCAATATTCCAGCTATATGGCGGCGGTCTGTAAATAATCGAGTCTGGACCAGACAATCCAGTGATCAACAGCATGAGCATCGATCTACAGGAATTTGGAACACGATGACGTATGTGTCAATAGAAGTGAGCAACCTGATCCCGTTACCCTCGCTCTTACGACAAGATAGTAAGCCTTTTATAGACAAGCACATGGGTTGCTGAAGACCTATTCTACCCGGATCTTCCGCAGGTAAGTAAGATCCGGGTTAGAATTCATCTTGAGCAACCCATGCTTGTCGTAAGATAACAATATCAAGTGAATGGGTTTGTGGAAATAAAAAATTCAAAATTCCAAAGAGGAGGAAAATGTGCCATGGCAAAACTGAGATCCATGGTAAAGTTGATCAAAGAATAGTGAAAGGTCCTCGAGGTGGGCTCTGGAAATGTGGCAGTGTTGTATTTTGAGTGGCAGTATTATATTTTGTGTGTCAGTGTTATATTTTATGTGGCAGTGTCATATTTTGTGTGGCAGTGTTATATTTTGTGTGTCAGTGTTATATTTTATGTGGCAGTGTCATATTTTGTGTGGCAGTGTCATATTTTGTGTGGCAGTGTTATATTTTGTGTGGCAGTGTCATATTTTGTGTGGCAGTATTATATTTTGTGTGGCAGTGTTATATTTTATGTTAGTACCTCATAGCTGAAGATATACCTGTTCATGTACATATTATACATCTTCAGAAGTGGTTATTTCAGCATCCTTAGATGTGGTTACCCTATGTTACAATACAACTGAAGCATGCTCCAGCAAAGCATATCAATCAATGCACAAACCTTACAATAGCCCAAGCCCTGACTTGTCTCAGTCTTTTATCTAGCTTACATAATTACCACACAGTTTAAATTCAGTTGTTGACCTGTTTCTTCAGTCACTCTCAAGCACTTAAACACTCAAGCAGTTTTACACAGCAGCAAGAAGTTTAAAGGTCCTCTGGAAATCAGGTCACCTCTGTGTATTGCCAAGGTTAGTCTTCCATCTGTATTTGTTTGAGTGGCATTCCATATGCAGAGATGCCAAGCCTAATTTAGCCCAATTAGTATTTTGCCCAAAAACTAATGCAGAAATTAGTATTTTTTGGCCAAAATTAGTATTAACTTTTCTAAAGAATTTTCAGATTTAATAAATATGTTTTAGATGTTTTATTAACATTGTACTCACCTAAATCAGTAGTATGTATCCACATATAGCTTGATACTGAATAAAATGTGGTTGAATTTATTTTTGGAAAGACTTCCATCCATATCCCCCACTAAATCTCATTCTAGTCAAATCATATCACCTGAATATATATATTCCTCATCTGATAAAGATGAGTTTTAACATGTTTCTTTAATTGTAGTTGAACATACTGAAAGACATATCCAACTTCTGAAAATGCCACTCAAAGAAATTTTCACTTATCGTTAAAATCTAGGGGGATACGAGAGGAAGTCTTATCTTATTGTGTATGGTACATATGCTATTTGATGATTTAATTTAATGTATTTTTAGAAAAAATTGTACATTTTTACTGCAATCGTAGTCACGTATTTTTTGTTGTTTTTTCGTAACAATTACGATAAAATCGTATGGGTTGGCATCTCTGCATATGCTTGAAAACGCTATAAGAATCTATACCGAAATGTCGTCATTGTCAAAATAAAGAAGATGATCATCCATAAAGTCTTGTCATTTTCATATGTACTGTCCCATTTTGTGTTAATTGGTTAATCAGTATATCTGTGTGATGTGTTGATATGGATATTTATAGGTGTCTTATCTCTACCAGTTTCTAGTAAACTAGAAATGATATGGTGCACTCAATGTGTGCATATATATATGTATAACCAATGAGCAGAATCTATACCATGACAGATTCCTCTCAAACCAGTTTTATCATCACCAAAAATACCTGTAACTGTTGTATTAACAAAAATCCAAGCAGGTTGTGTGAAAGTATGTAATCTTATCATACCAGTATGTACATGTATGTGGTCATGCACTTGTATGTGTAGGTGCATGTGTGTAAGTGGGTCCATGAAATGAAGCAGGTTTGACGCAGTGTACTAGGTATTATTGTAGTTGGCACGTAATGAGATGCATTACCCGAATGTGTCCTTTGTTGACATTATGGCTGATATTGTGGTACTATGTATGCTTTTCACTAAACAAATCCTTTCACAAAGCACTAAGTTGATCGTAAGTCACTAAGGTAACCTTAGTGCAATGTTACACAATGGGAGTTAAGGTTAACCTTAGTAAAGGTTGCTTCGTGAAAGGACTCCTTGATTTTTACAGGGCCTCCTTTCACAAAGCACTAAAGTGATCATAACTCACTTAGCCAGTCTAAGTAAACTTTGGCTCAGTATTATTTGTTACACTGCTATACTGAGTCTAACAAAACCGTGTGGAAGGTCTTGTAAGGTAACCTTTGAGCGACCTATGACCGTCGAATCAAACTTGAGATGGCCGAATGGATTTAACCAATCAGACAATGGCTACTATTTAGGGTTCGGTGGGACTTACAAAATGCATTTTCTCTTCCCCGGTCACCAACACTGATCTCACAATAAATGAAAACCTGCATAAAACACAGATATGTGACCTGCAGAATATATGCTTTTTGGTTTCTGTTAACATGGTTATCCTTAGCTAATATTTCCGCAAGCTGACATCCTTGAATACTGACAAAACGCTAACCTCAGCGACTGTTTACTCACTGTTGTGGCGTGCTCCATGTGCATCACTCGGAAGCGATCGTACGGAAAATAGTATTCGGAATCATTCGGGTACAAAACCTTTTTGAGGTAAAAGTTCAAAAGGTATGTGTGAATGTCAACTTTCACGATTTGGTAAGCTGTGTTCTGATTGGTCAATTGAAAAGGTTACCTGACACGACCTTCTACTAGGGTTTGTTGGACTCAGTATAGCAGTGTAACGAATATTACTGAGCCTAAGTTTACTTAGTGGACTGCTCCCTAAGGTAACCTTCTCGCAATGTTAAAGAATGGGACTATGAAAGGAACAACTGACTTACAAGTGACTGCTGGATCGTGCAAACCAAAGTCCACAGACCTGGTAGGTATTGTATATCCTATTTCATAGAATAGTGTACCTAAACTGAGCAGTGATCCCTCTTGGTAACAGATGTATTATGTACATCCTTGGTGTATATGTCAGGGTAGAGATTGCGATCTGGTAGGATCGGAGATTCTACCAGTAGAGATTGCAATCAGTCTCTTCCAGTAGAGATTGTGATCGGAGTCTCCACTGGTAGAATCTCCGATCTTACTTGTAGAGATTGCAGTCGGAGTCTCTACCAGTAGAGAATCTGATTATATAGAATAACCTATACATTCGTAATTTCGACCAGTAGAAGCTCAAATCTGATCCTACTAGTAGAGATTGCAATCTAAGTGAATATTTAGAAAAACAAAAATATTTTCGCATCTTCCATTGAAAAGTGCACACTGTTTGTCCAACTTCATGTTTACAAACAAAATGAAAATAAAACATTGTTACTTTTTCATTTATGATTGTTATTGTAAATAAATGTATCTCTAAAATTTAAAACCCCCCAAAAATCAATACACTTTATTGTGAGTTCTAATGTCAGCTATGTCCATCAATGACAATAGCAACATTTAGGTCCGTCATAAATGTGACATTATTTGTTATCAATAATCACTGATGTGTGCACTTTTCAATGGAAGATATCGAATATAAACATAAAACAATATGTCACAATAGTGAGTTCTGTCAGAGCCATGTCACCTTCTTAACCTGTCTCTGATCTCACCTCGCTGACCAGTAACTGACTGGTGTAACTGTTCACGGTGTCCTCCTAGGAATCCAGTCATTTCCCCACCTGGTCAATTCCTCACCTACCATTTCCCCACCCGGACAATACCTCACCCAAATATATATCTGGCCAGTCATTTCCCCACCTTCCTGTTTTTTGGTTGTTATTTTACTCAAATATAAGAATGAATGAACAAGAAGAGTGAATGAACAAGAAGTACAGTAGAACACGGATATAACGAACTCCAAGGGACCACGAAATTTAGTTCGCTATATCCGGTGTTCGTTATTCACATTTGACCGCCATCTTGGATTGTAGAGATGTAGAGACACGTATATGCTGAGGCTACAAATATTTATTCTTGTACATGTACATTGACATAACATTAAAATTCTGAATTTATCATTCACAGACATTAGCTAGAACATGTTTAACAAGAACATTTTAACAATCACAACAATCTCAAAAATACATGTATATAACTTAATTACGTTTAACAAAGTACACAATTTTGCTCTTCACACCACGTCTTGCAGACTTCATTTTGCCGACTGCATCACAGACACGTTAATGAGTTCGCTAATCACGTCGATAGTTGGGCTTGGGGGTAGTAAATCAGTTCGCTATAGCCGTTAATTAAGCTACTCACGACTTACGTTATTCGTATAATTTTAATGATATTATAAAGGACTGTTGACGGGACTTTTAAATTTGTTCGCTATATCCGTGTTCGCTATATCCGTGTTCTACTGTAGTGTAAAATATTCTTTAATATTCAGCTCCCATCTGACAAAGTTCTTCTTGGTATGGCCCTGCTCCCGAAGTATTATTACACTTCTCCACCTCTCCATAAATGTGTACAACTGTTGTCATCTTTGTTGTTTACCCACAGATCAATCAGAGTTTCTACCATTTGTTCAGCTCCGACTAGGTTTATTAGATTTAAGTATTAATAAAGGTAGAAGATTGTCTATAGACAGAAATATGAGAATTTGTCCATTATGCACTTCATCTATTGAAGATGAAATTCATCTTATATTTGTATGTCCATATTATGATGATCTTAGAAGAAAATATATTTCAAGTAATTATCTATCAAAATATCCAACAATAGCCTTTGTCTCAATTCTCACTTCAAGAAATGAAACTGTTATCCGCAACCTTTCTCTATTTGTAAAACATGCTGTTGTCTTGAGAAATGATAGGTTATCTAAGCAATAACCATTATAATTGCCATTGTATTATGTACTGTAATTATGTATATGTATGTAACTCCTTGTATATGGGCCCGGAGGCCTTGAATACAATAAACTTAACTTGACTTGACTTGACCATTTGAATTGGAAATGGTACTGGTGGAATCTCTGATTGTACCAGTAGAGATTGCAATCGGAGTCTCTATTTGTAGGATCGGAGATTCTACCAGTAGAGACTCTGATCGCAATCTCTACTGGCAGAGACTCCCGATCGCAATCTCTACCCTGAGATATATATACTTGCATGGACACATAAATTATGTGATTGATATTGATTTGATTTAATCTGTATTGTACTGGTATGTTATGACATGATACCATAGCAACATTGCTGACCAGTTGGTTCGGGGTTTTAGGTTTAAGGAGGAAATTGTACTCGGATTCATCCCAGAATAACTAATGTGCTATCAGGTCACCCCCTGTATAAGGTTTTCATCGCTGAAGAACCCCAAATCCTATGCACTACAGAAACAAAACATGAAATGGAGGGACAAACAGCTCTAAATCCTACATGCCCCTCCCATTTCAAATTAGGGGAAGAAGCCCAGTCCTCAATCAGCCCTTACAGCAAGCATGGGATGCTTGGGACCCATCAGGTCCCGGCAACAAGGTTCCTGAATTAAAGCTTGTATAATACAATATGAAACATGAAGTTGACAATAAGCTTACCAATCCACATGTTATGTCAGTTACTGCATCGGTTGCCACAGCTTTCTGGTTGACAAGGTCTGGGCCCTGAAAGATATCACATTTAACTCCTGTCACTGGCTATTCATTCTGTTTGCTGCAATATTCATTGTACAGAGCTACAGATAACTTTTTGGGTCATTGGGTTATGTACTCGCTTGTGTTCATCTCAATTGGGTATCCTAATTTTCCTTTGAGTAACCAAATATATTGGTCCCACCTCAATCCAACTTAATTGGGTATTTTGTCATTTTCCATAAATTTGTATAAAAATAATAAAGTTTAAATGTTGGTTTACGTGTTTGCTATTCATATTTGATCTGTAATATGAGAAGACTGCAAGTAGCCAAGTTCACGTGTTGAAATAAAACATCTCAATATACCTCAGTTATTTCATCAAACCACCGGTACGCAAGCTAAAATGTGACATTTATGTGTGTATGCATGTAGGATCAAACTTATTGAGTATTTTCAAAACTTCAAGCGTACTTGTACGCAATAGACTTAATAGGAAGTGAGTTTTCATATATATATTTGTGTATTTTACGCAGATGTGCAGCTTACCTGTACCTCTGATTGTACAATTATAAACAAGTCACACAACCATTACTCTGCAGTACTCACTTCTACAGCCCATCGGGACGGTTGGGTAGCCTAGTGGTTAAAGCGTTGGCTCGTCACGCTGAAGACCCGGGTTTGATTCCCCATATGGGTACTATGTGTGAAGCCTATTTCTGGTGTCCCCCGCTGTGATATTGCTGGAATATTGCTAAAAGCGGCATAAAACTAACCTCACTTTACAGCTGATCACATCATCCAGCTGTTCTGTTTTAATAAAATGCCTTGGCCACTGGTTTAAAAAGCCTATCGAAACAGAAAATTTATGATAAAAGATGTACATTAAAATTGTATGCTTACTTCAAGTCGGTTCACAGCAAATTTGACTCTTTCTGGTCCTTTCCCATCAGCACTTGCAGCTACTTCCTGTGGACTGAGACAGAAGTGCAGGTTCCACTGACGTACAGCGTCGGCCCAGCGCTTGACATCCTTTTCAGCTGGTTCACACCCAGATCTGTACAGGAGGTCTGTCAGCCGTTTCCGGGGACGAGGGAGGTCTGGTAAATATATGGAACACTTCTGGTTTAAACGTTACTATCACTTTTGGGAGAAAAGCTTACTATTCTAATGATTCAAACAATATATGGTGGTGGGGTAGCCTAGTGGTTAAAGCTTTCCCTCGTCACGCCGAAGACCCGGGTTCGATTCCCCACACGGGTATAATACTCCATATCTAGAGTACCCCGCTGTGATATTGCTGGACTATTGCTAAATGCTCTGTAAAATTAAACTCACTCCAACAATATACCACAGAAAATTTAGTCCCCATTTTACCATTTATCAGTTCTTTAAGGCTGGCCACGTCCTGTGGGTTAATGACTGTCCGGCACTCAGGGAGGTTGACCATTTCTCGCAACTCTTTGATGGTGAATGCAACCTGCAGTGGGCCACGTCGGCCGACTAGATGAACTTGTTTGACGCGGCTTTCAGCCAGGGAAGCAAGGGCATGTTCTGATATATCAGTTTTCTGCAAAGCAACCAATGAACATGATTGAAATACATTGAGAATTATCACAGAGATACACAAGGGAATGTGGAGAAATTAATAGAGTTGGTTCGTTCTTCAACACTACTCAGAAAGAATCCATCTATACGACAGCGACCAATATTATAATATTCAACTCTGGACCAAACAATCCACTGATTCATATGTAAGTTACAATTTACGGTGCTGGGGTACAAGGACCTGCCACATGCCGACTCATTAAGTCTGGACAACCAATTCATTGATCACCATTTACGATCAGCTATGTCGCTGTAAGCAGTGATGGTATTCAAATATCATATAAAAATTCCACTCCTCATATATCCATGACCTTTGTCACTACCACTTTTATACATCCCACTGTCGGTGGCCATCTAATGTATATCCTGTAGATGGTAATTATCTCTTGTATATCCCACAGCTGGTGACTATTTATTTTATATCCAGCAGTTGTGACTATCCACTGTACATCCTGCAGCTGGTGATAATCCATTGTACATCCTGCAGCTGGTGATAATCCATTGTACATCCTGCAGCTGGTGACTATCCATTGAAGCTGGTGACTATCCATTGTACATCCTGCAGCTGGTGATAATCCATTGTAGCTGGTGACTATCTATCATATATCTACCTTCAGTATATCCCACAGCTGGTGACTATCTATTATATATCCAGCAGTTAAGACTATCCATTGTACATCCTGCAGCTGGTGATAATCCACTGTAGTTGGTGACTATCTATCATATATTTACCTTCAGTATATCCCACAGCTGGTGACTATCTATTATATATCCAGCAGTTGTGACTATCTATTGTACATCCTGCAGCTGGTGATAATCCACTGTAGTTGGTGACTATCTATCATATATCTACCTTCAGTATATCCCACAGCTGGTGACTATCTATTATATATCCAGCAGTTGTGACTATCCATTGTACATCCTGCAGCTGGTGATAATCCACTGTCTATCATATATCGCGGATAATCCCTTACCTGATATTGGTACCACCAAAGAAATTGCTCATTCATTTGCAATGTACTTTCAGGAAAAAATCAAAAATATTAGAAGCACACTCCATGACAGCGAAACACTGACGCCGTCTTTAGGATGTGATGACACTTTTGATGACAAACCTGTTTTGAATGTTTTCCCCCCTTTCACAGTCCCAGAAACACTAAAACTTCTTAGGAAGTCTAAACCGACTTGCTGTGTACTCGACCCGATTCCAACTAACATTGTACTGAGTTGTATGGATATCCTCCTGCCCACTTTGACATCAATCATCAACTGTTGCCTGCACGAAGGTACAATGCCGTTTCTCTGAAAATGCTGCTCGTGAAGCCACTCCTAAAAAAACCTGACCTCGACACAGAACATCTCAAGAACTACAGACCTGTTTCTAACCTTCCATTCCTCTCCAAGCTCATTGAAAGAGCTGTTGCAGAATGTCTGTCACAGCACTTGACCCTGCACAACTTGTATGATCCACTTCAATCAGCGTGTATCGCCCCTCGACATAGCACGAGACAGCTCTCCTGAAAGTAGATCAATGACCTGAGATGTGCCATCGGCTTCGGGGAATGTTGCTCTGCTTTCGTTCTCTTGGACTTGGCGGCTTCGACACCATCGACCACCAAAGACTGCTGCAGCTTCTTCAGGACGATTTTGGTGTCCAAGGATCTGCACTGAATTGGTTTAGCTCTATCTGTCTCAGAGATCACGGTGTGTGTACATTGATGGACAGTTCTCAGATTCAGTGCGTCCTAAACTGCGGTGTGCCTCAAGGTTCAGTATTGGGCCGATATTATTCACTCTTTATACCAAGGAATTGGGTCAAGTCATCGACCAGCACAAGCTGCCAAGACACCTCTGCGCTGATGATCATAGCTCATTAAAATATTTAGACCAATAGCATCCATAGCAGAAGCAGCCTCTGCCGATGTTACCAACTGCTGTACACAGATAAAGAATGGATGAACATCAATAAACTCAAGCTTAATGGCGACAAGGCGAGTGCATGCTAATAGGCCCATCTGCAAGATGTATGCCCATCAGGTCTCACCGTGGTTCAGATCGGAAGCTCAGAGTATTGATGTCACTTTCGTTCTGTGAAGAACTTGGGTGTTGTTTTGGACTCAGAACTGTCCATGAAGCAACATGTCAGCCACATCTCGAGTTTGCTCTTTCCAACTGAGGAATATCAGCAACATCAGAAAGTACCTGACCAAAGAATCACTTATCATCCTGATTCTCACCCTGGTAACATCTAGGATTGATTACTGTAACAGCCTCCTTGCGGTGCACCCAAGTCTGTTACCAACAAACTACTAGCACATCCAGAATGCAGCTGCTCGGATAGTCTCCAGCTGCAGGAAATGCGACCATATCACCCCATCTTACATGACTTACACTGGCTGCCCATCCGACAGAGAATCAGCTATAAGATCTTGTGTCATGTGTATCGATGCCTGTCTGAAAGATGCTCCACAATATCTGTGTGATTTGATCACAGGAGTACAAACCAGCTCGATCACTGGGTCAGAAGAACAAGCTCCTGTTGCAAGTTCCATCTGTCAAATCTGTGAACTATGGACAGCGTTCCTTTGCTTTCAGTGCAGCAAAGGAATGGAACAATCTCCCAGTCAATCTCAGACAGTCTTCATCTCTTGCCTCCTTCCAATCGAGCTAAAGACTTACTTATTTAATAGTGCCTTTCTAGAATATTATTATATCTACCTTCAGTATATCCAACGGAGTCAGAAGGATCCTGGCGACATCCAGAGCGACATTTCCATGGCCCAATACAACAGCCGAATCACAGCTCAAGTCCACTGGCAACTGAAAACAACAATTACATGTGCTATATGGCAGCGTTATTCACTGTAAAACAGTGTTGTAACTGTACTACATTGTGTCTAATAGGATTCTGAAGACTAGGGAATAGAGTAATCTGGAAGCTGCTTAAGGAGGTTCCTTACCATTTGACAAAGTCTCATGAAAATGCTTATATTTCCACTCTATATGTAAAAACGTGCTCAATTCATTTCTGTAATAAAAAATAGGGTTTACCCTGCTCGTTTGAGAGAAAATGGGGGTTCCAATCTGGGGGTGTGTTGAAAAAAAAAGAAAACATCACCTTTTTTTCTTCTAAGAAAATGTGAATAAAAACTTTCATTTGTTGAATAATCATGACTTGAATAAAAGTTCATAAATATATGTGATTTAAAATGAAGAATAGAAAATCTAATGATTTATTGACATTTATAAGCATTGTCAATAAAAAAAATATTTACGCAAATTTTGTTATTTTCTTTCCAATAAAACAATCTAAATCAATGAATCTCAAAAATTGTACAAAAATGATTTATTGGATAGATATAACATTAAACAGCCTTTTCACATACACAGGGACTGGAGCATGCCTGGCATCTCACATCGTCGAGGACAGTGGTTGTGAAGATCACACTTGATATCAAGCCTAGGACAATTTTGGTAACTTGACCACTGGTGCTGTTAATATCATGAATATCATTACCATTGACATTATTGCTGCTTCCATTGCTATTATGATGCTATATTTCACACTGCTATTATAGTTGTACTGTCATTACTTCGCAGATATTTGTATTAATTTGCAAACTTGTCAACACATCATATAATACAGTAGTATTTGTAACACATTTCTTTGTAGGTTTCACACTGAATTCTTTGTGTACAGATTTCTGATTGGTTGGTTTTTGTTTAACACCGCACTATGCAATATTCCAGTCTGGACCAGACAATCCAGTGATCAGCAGCATGAGCAATCGATCTACACAATTGGGATATGTTGATGTGTCAACCAAGCATGGGTTGCTGACGACCACTTCTAACCTGGATCTTCATGGGTTCAGATTTCTGTGTTAACTGATTGTTTCAACTTGGATGTTTAATGTAACACAAGACAACACTTTCCTCACATGACAAGCTTTTACACAGTGCCGTGAGTAAGTGGATTTTTGTACCAACAAATGCCACCTACTTCCTTGTCTTCAGGGAGGCCATTGTACCAGCCAACGAATCTTCTGGCAGACAGCACATTTGGCAGATCCTGGTCAACAAATATTTCATTATTTTACAATGTTGAAACAAATGCTGCAGTCAGCAACATTGAAGTATATGACCTCAGCCTGTGACCTATAGACTGACTGAGTTTGGTTGTACGCCGCTTTTAGCAATATTCCAGCAACATCACGGCGGGGGACACAGAAATGGGCTTCACACATTGTACCCATGTGGGGATTCGAACCCGGGTCTTCGGCGTGACGAGCCAACGCTTTAACCACTAGGCTACCCCACCATCCCTGTGACCTATAGAGTCTGGTCCAGACAATCCAATGAGGGACATCATGAATCTAAATGAGTAGGATACAACGACAAACACCAAACAGGTCAGTGAGCATGTCCACCTGAATATGCTAACCGAATCTTCCAACATGCATGGGTTTACTGAAGACCAATAATACCCACTGTGCCTTTGGAAACTACTGAGAAAAGATCTTTAGGCCAGATCAATTTTATTTCTTGTTTTATGGATCGTAATTTTATGTCGTAATTTTTCAAGAATAAGAAGAAAAAAAATACAAATAAATTTTCCCTGCTCAAAAAATAAAATCCTCAGGTTTTTATTGGCCAAATATGTAAACTTAAAAAAAAAGATTTTTGATTGTTTTTCGTCCCATATACACTTCATAAATTGCCAAAAATAAAATACTTTTAGTATTTAAAAGGAATATTACTTTGACTGGTGATTATTTTTTATTTTTTCCCTCCTGCCCTTAGTTTTTGGGGACAAAAATCCATAAAACAAGAAACAAAATTGGTCTGGCCTTACAGCAAAATTAAGACAAAATGAAACAGCTTTTTGGCTTAAACCAAAGAGATTTCCCAACAAACCCTATGTTTCAATAAAGTCCATCTAAATCCCTGAGCTTAAACCATTACTGTTTAGTTTTAACGTTGCTATTATTTACTCAAAAGTTGATTATCTTTCTGTGGTAACATCTTGCAAAACGGTAGCTTCAAAGGACCACCTCCAGTCATTAGGACAATCTTCACAAAAATGAATCTGGTGTTGGAGGTAAGGGTGAGGTGTGGTGAAATTGGGTTAAACCTCGTGCTTGAGAATATTTCACTCATATGACAACGTGTATGTGTATGCTGCTTGTACTAGCCCAGACTGAAGCTGATTTTATAGTGCTAGCCCACTGAGATACCATGCCGCAGTGAAGCATGAATACCCCACTCGTCTTTGTTGTACCCACTAATGGTGAGCGCCAGGCAGGGACCAACAAGTACCATATTTTAACGTCTTTTGGTATGACACGGTCGGGGATCAAACCCGCGACCTTCCACTCTCTTGGCAGCTCTCTAACCACTACACCATGGAGGCCGTCTTTGGTGTTGGAGAACCTCTCCAAGTCTGACATGAGACCAGTCTCACCTCTCCTGGGATTCCCAGTGTTCGATCAGCATCCGCTCCATAGGACTACAAGACAAAAAAACAAACCTTTCATTGCAGAAGCACGAAGTATTATATATTTGAACGTAAACAACAGGATCAGTTTTCATTTCACGTGTCATAGTCCAATGAAACTTGATCCTTGACATACTCCTGAAATTTCTGGAGCAATGAAGTGGTGCCATTACCGATGCAATAATCTGGCTATATCATGTGGGTCTGTTGAACTAAACCAGTGATTAATATCATGAGCAGACGTCAAACACCTTTGATGTTCGATGACACGGGATCAAACTACCGGTATCTGAAATTCAGTGGGTTTTTTCGTATTTGATCACGTCCAGGTATCTGAAAACAAACATCTTACCAAAACTACGGCTGTATAATTCTTCTGCAGCTCAGAGACTGTAATATCTTTCCCAATTGTCACATTGCCAAGGAAACTACATCGGTCTTTCTCAGCTGTCTGGGTAAATGTATTGATGACATTCTGGAACAAATCTTTATGTAGTCAGCATAGTGAATTACATGTAAATCAATCTAACACTTTAATATTTAACAAACTACTTTTAACCCTAAAAAAAATTAATTTTCCCCTCACAAAAAATAAAATTTGAATGTTTTTATTGGCCCAAAATGTAAAGTTACATGAAAAATTATTTTTTTAGATCGTGTTTTGCCCCATATACACTTCATAAAGTGCCAAAAGTAAAATACTTTAGTATTTAAAGGGAATATTACTTTGACTGGTGATTTTTCTTTCCCTCCTGCCTTTATGTTTTCTGAGGACAAAAATCCATAAAACAAGAAATAAAATTGTTCTGGCCTTACTAGTTTTATTTTTTTGTCACATACAAGATTTCTGAAATTACTTGTCTGTATAATCAACCAATGTAGGCTGTCGACATAATTCAAGACATTGGGTGCAATGTTTTATATGTCTACGTAAGTGTCATGGTGACTTGAAAATAAGGTCAAGGTCACCCAAAGTAACTGGTGTCTGCATAATCCCCCAATGTAGGCTGTCACCAAATTTGAAGATTTTGGGAACAACAGTGCATAAGATATCACATTACCAAGAGTTTGAAAAGTGTTCAAAGCCTCATGGCGACCTTGAAGATAAGGTCAAGGTCATCCAAATCAACTGGTGTCTGCATAATCACCCAATGTAGACTGTCATCAAATTTGAAGATATTGGGTACAACAGTTCATGAGATATCACATTAACAAGAATCAGGACGTACGGATGCTGCTGAATACATAGTCCCCTGTTCCGCGTTGCGGCGGGGGACAACAATCGATTTGCTATCTCTCACTTTGATCTCATAACATCTCCCTATATTTCCTTTCCATGGAACCAAAATATCAGACATGACAGGTCATTCGCTGCAGGATATTGTGTGAAAAAGACAATCACAAACCAGAGAAAAAGAGATGTTGTCAGACAAAAGAGTGGATTCTGTGTATTGATTTGCTTCGAAGATACGGCAATCTAATTAAAAAATTAGAAGTCAAAGACAAACAGTTTTGCAATTAGTTTGCAATATGGAGAGGGAAAGAGAGGGACGATCTTTTATTGATAGTGAGCCAAAAAACACTCTGAAAATTCAAGTCATGGATTCATCACCGCAGACTAAGCCATGCTTCACAATTGAGTTGATCAAATATCACGTGACACTAAAACTAAATTTCATTGACTGTGCTTCATCCAGCTTGCCAAATAGCTAGAAGAGACTCTCCACCCTCATGACACAGTCGATGTGGGTTTGAGCGGCAGATTTGTACAATTCGATTAATCTCTGAGACTTCAACATATCGATTTGAGGGGCCGACCCATGTGTAACTCGATTTTTGATATCCAAGATATCATACCTCCGTTTCTGTCTCACTTTCATACTGCAAACATTATAAGTTGTTTACTGGTCACGAGGGGGGCAGGGAACATAAACAAACTTCGAGGGTACATCAACCCATGGGCCCCGAGGGACCAGTGAACAACGTATTTATCTTACCGAACACCTTAATGTTAATTTTGAATTGTTTGAAGCGCGGGTACAAATCTTTTTGTAGCCATCGCTAGATTTTGCTGACAAGAAAAACAGATTTAGAGTTATCTCCCTTCCATCGATTTGCAATCGCAAAACATTGGTAATTTCCGTACATCACATACGTGATTCAATGTAATTCGGGATAAAGAATTACTACCACGAAGTACCAAATGAGTTGCCATTGACAGCGGGGTACATTGAAATGTTACTCGCTTGTAAGCGGGGTACATTGAAAATAATAAAAGAGCACTCAGCCAATCAGAAAGCGACATTTATGTGTGAGGTAAGATAATACACTGTATATAATTTCTGAATTTTTCCTTTATTTTAAGCATTGTTATTGATTAATGTTTACTGTAATTTGTAACTAATGACAGCGACCTCACCTTGACCTCTGGGTGATCTGGAGCAACCCCAAACCTAACAAGACCAAACGGAACTGGTAACTTCTCAAATATGTCAACTCTCACTGATGGATGTCCCTGAAAGTAACAACACAATTTCACATGACAAGATGTTGAGTCACAGCCGCACGGGATCTGTATGAAAAATGTCACATTTATTTTGGCTTGAAATAACTGAGAAATACCTGTCCAGAGAGCGGATCACCACGATAAGTCAAGAAAATAAGGTCTTGTGCCAGGGATAGTCAAAGTGTTTTCAAGATGAGTACATGCACACCACCAATTCCTTTACACATTCCTGCAAGCACACCACCAATTCCTTTACACATTCCTGCAAGCACACCACCAATTTCTTTACACATTCCTGCAAGCACACAGCCAAGTACTTTACACATTCCTGCAAGCACACCACCAATTACTTTACACATTCCTGCAAGCACACTAGCCAAGTACTTTACACATTCCTGCAAGCACATTGCCAAGTACTTTACACATTCCTACAAGCACACTGCCAAGTACTTTACACATTCCTGCAGGCACACTGTCAAGTGCTTTAAATATTCCTGCAGGCACACTGTCAAGTGCAAGCTTTAAACTTTTTACACATTCCTGCAGGCACACTCCAAAATACATTACACATTCCTGCAAGCACACTGCCAAGTACTTTACACATTCCTGCAAGCACACAGCCAAGTACTTTACACATTCCTGCAGGCACACTGCCAAGTACTTTACACATTCCTACAAGCACACTGCCAAGTACTTTACACATTCCTACAAGCACACCACAAAGTGATCCAATTGAGAGAGACAGAGGAAGAAAGAGACTTAGGGACAGAAGTGAGTGAGTGAGTTTAGTTTACGCTGCCCTCAGCGATATTCCAGCTATATGGCGTCGGTCTGTAAAAGCAATAGAGACTGCGCAATATAACTGGTTTACAATTTACCACAAAGTAATGAAAACGCGATACCTATTGCAAATCGCACTGCCGAAAACCGGTATTTTGACATGCATTGCAAGAACTTACTGTAACACTTTCGAATTCTTCGGATATTGCCTTGTTTCATTTGTGCCAAATATTATTTACATTTTTATTTTGTCAGGATTAAAAGTTTTTATTACAGCTTAATCAAACATGATATGAACATTCTCTGCAATACCCATCCCTAGTAAACAACCAACTCTGGACGAGACAATTCAGTGACCAACAGCATGAGCATCGACCTTCGCATTTGGGATACAATGACGTGTGTCAACCAAGTTAGCGAGCCTGACCACCTGATCCCGTTAGTCGCCTCTTACAACAAGCATGGATTACTGAAGATCAATTCTAACCCGGAGTGTCCAGAGTGACAGGAAGATCACAGTACCTTACCTTCAGGAGCTGCTGTGCTGTGTAGAAGCCTGCAGGACCACTGCCAATGATAGCCACATGCGGTACTTTGTCTGGTGACGTGTGTTTACATCGTCGTGGCAATGATCGCAAAAAGGTGCTGATTGCACGGGAAATCCTGTAACGTGGCACTCCATACAGTGACATCTACAAAAGTAAGAAACATTCCATGTCTTAAGGGACCGTTCATAATTTATGGGAGAGTGTGTGAGAGTGTGTGAGAGAGTGTGAGAGCGTGTGTGAGTGATGATTGTAGGGGGGGGGGAGTGCACCCATTTTGTTCTTGGAGAGGTAGGGAGGGTCAGCAATTTTGTACACGTTTCTAGGGGGTCAGCAATTTTGTACCTAAAAATTATTTTAAATTTATGCTTTAAAATATGGAAAGGAGGGGAGGGCATTGACTTTGTACATGACATGGGGGGGCAGTTACTTTGTACGTGTGTGTGTGTGTGTGTGTGTGTTAATTCACATTGTACATGCTTCTCCATAAAAATCATCATCAACCCCCTAGCCATAAATTATGAACGGTCCCTAATTGGTTTTGTATTACCATTTCGATTCACAATAGTTTCTCCAATAATCAGGCTTATTTACTCTTTAAATCATAAAGGGGTGACATCTAATTTGGTGAGTTGCCCTGATTCTCAAAATTATTTTTAGGAGTTAAATAAGATATCTTAAGTCATATTACATTTTTTAAAAACATTACAAGCCATTAGTGCATGCACCAATGTATAAGAAACTAGAATGATTAAATATTGTTATGTCTAGCTATTTCAAGCCAAACTTCAGGAAATATAAAGGTCAAACAACAATGAGACTTTCAGAAATTTCAATTGCCTTGGCATGGTCTTACGACACTTTGTGTGTGATTAACATAGAACTTTGAAAATATCTGCATCCTGGCCTGGTTGCAAATGGATTTTGAATTATAGGATTTGTACAAATGATGTGCGTTATGACCCTCGATATGTAGCCACTGTGTGCAGGTAGCCCTACATTGCGAATAATATGACAGAGTTTGGGCTTCTTACTGACATTTTCATTGTTACTGACGCCTTTGTCAGAATTATCATGATTACTAAAATTTGTTGACGCCTTTAAGTGTTTCTCAGTTCCTTTAGTAACACCAAGAAATGATTCCAACCCTGACTGGATTTGGACAGACATGGAGACAAGTGTGCCAGGATCACAGCCACTTTCGTTTCCCAGCATTTATTTATTTAATTATTTATTATTACATTTATTTATTTATAGATTTATTTATTTATTTAATTTATTTATTTATTTATTTATTTATTTATTTTTGTCAAGCTGCTTGCAACAGTACTCCAGCTTAATGCTGAAGGAGTGAGTGAGTACGGTTTCACGTCGCCTTCAGCAATATTCCAGCAATATCACGGCAGGGGACACATTGTACCCATGTGGGGAATCGAACCCAAGTTTTCAGCGTGACGAGCGAGCACTTTAACCACTGGGCCACCCCACCGCCCCTAATGCTGAGAGAAGCCCTTAGTCCATCCAGTTATATCTTTAACCAACACTGACTAATAACAAGGCTTTGTAAGCTTGTGACTAGCATTTCACAGATAACAGAACTATCGGGAAAATCAGTGAGCCTAATAATATTTAGACACAGTATTTCCTTACATGTTATCAGTCTCAGTGGAGATTAATATTTATAACTCCCAAGGGTTCATACTATTAGGTGTTCTTAAACCAATAATTTGTTCTTTCACATAAAGGGGTTGTGGGATAGCCTAGTTGTTAAAGTGTTTGCTCATCACGCCAAAGACCCGGGTTCAATTCCCCATGTGGGTACAATGTGTGAAGCCCATTTCTGGTGTCCTCCGCCATGATATTGCTGGAATATTGTCAAAAGCAGCGTAAAACCATACTCACTCACTTTTCATAAAACCTATTCTGTTACAAGCTACTTCAGGGTAGTTATTTACATCCACCCTGATTTATGTGTTTTACACACCTGAATACAATGATAAACAAGTGTTTGCCACTAATATGGCAATGTCCCCCGCCGCTAAAGAATGGAATATTTATAACATATTTACTGCTTTTTATTTTTTGGTCACATACAAGATATCTGAAATCACTGATGTCTGCATAATCACCCAATGTAGGCTGTCGACATAACTGAAGACATTGGGTGCAATGTTTTATGAGATATGAAAAGTGGTCAAAGTGTCGTGGTGACCTTGAAGATAAGGTCAAGGTCACCCAAATCGACTGGTGTCTGTGTAATCTCCCCATGTAGGCTGTCACCAAATTTGAAGACATTGGGTACAACAGTTCATGAGGTATCGCGTTAACAAGAGTTTGAAAAGTGGTCAAAATGTCATGGTGACCTTGAAAATAAGATCAAGGTCACCCAAATTGACTTGTGTACAGACATTGACATTGGGTACGACAGTTCATGAGATATCGTGTTAACAAGAATCGGGACGTACATACGGACACCGCTGAATATATGGTCCCCCTTTCGCGTTGCTGCGGGGGACAATAACCAAATTGCATTAAGAAAGATTTGACGCTTTGTGCATTATGCATAAAAAGCTGAGATCTGATGAATAAACAAAAATGCGTTAAGAGATACAGATACACATGCAGAAAACGTCCACATTTGTTAAATAGGTTTCATGATTTTTACATTTATATTTGAACACAAGTCAATGAAATATATCTCAGTAGTTGCGATCTATTTTGTCAATGTTTACATAATTTGCAGCTTTTCTTGCGGTTCAAAAGTGGGAACTGAAAGAGGTTTTGATGCTTACTTTAACAGTAAGAAAACGCGTTTACGAGAAGTAGGCAGTGCACGGCAATGAGGAAACCCATTTGGTTTGTGAAAGGTAGAGCAGATGTAGGCTAGTGCACGTGCATTACATGACGATGAAATTGATTCTGTGCATAGCTGCACACTCCTTGCTCATAAGACTCTCACGTGGTCAGTGTAGTAAGTTGGTAATATTCGGATATATAGATATATATCTCGAGAGATTTAAACATGTCAAAGTTAGGTAAGCACAGTCAGATAATACATTCTCAGACCCGAGAAGTGGCATACAATGTTATTAAGTACATGGAGAAAGAATGTACATCTACGAAACAGGCACTGTTAAAACCTAGGAATGCCACCATCGCACTACACTTGATCGCGGACAACCTGGGGCTGCTTCGCTCACAATGGCAAGCACCAGTGGGCGGCACTCATACATGCTAATACGGGTCAATTGTCAGGTCAGCGCTCAACTTATCCTTGTTTGCCAGTAATGTATGACTGATATTGAATGGAATGTTAAAATACCTCCTACCTTTGGAAGATAAGAATATTAAAAACAAACCAAGTTACAAAAATATTTGTTTTCTACTCAGATATTGCAAAAGGGAAGTAAGTTATGAATCCTAGATAATACCAGTGGCGGCTTAAAGTGAGTTGAAGTATAGGTGATAACAGCCTTGGTTGTTTCCTGTCCAGATGAAATATATAGATATGGTGTGGACAAACCAAGATTCACAATAAACATAATAATTATCATAAAAGCAAATCTAGGATTCAACTAGGGATGCAACTCTGGACAGTAAAATTTAGAGTTTTTGACACGTGGGTCATCATAGGCTTCATTAATCATGTTGACTGATGGCTTCTTCCTTCTAAAATGCTATCAATTAGAATGCAAAGGATATAACATGAAATGTGATGGTGATTTTGTTTATTTGGAAAGGGGAAGATGGACAAGTGTGTAAGTTTTTTCTGGAATTTGTTTTAAGGAAAACTTCTGGAATATAATAAATTGAAAGTGTTCATTCTCTGATTACGAGTGAGTGAGTTTATTTTTACGCCGCACTCAGCAATATTCCAGCTACATGGCGGCAGTCTGTAAATAATCGAGTCTGGACCAGACAATCCAGTGATCAACAGCATGAGCATCAATCTGCGCAATTGGGAACCGATGACATGTGTCAACCAAGTCAGCGAGCCTGACCACCCGATCCCGTTAGTCGCTTCTTACGACAAGCATAGTCACCTTTTGTGGCAAGCATGGGTTGCTGAAGACCTATTCTACCCTCGGATCTTCACGGGTCTACTCTGATTAGGATACAAAATCCTAATAACAAAGTAACCACTACCAATGAATGCATAATGTCATAAAGCCTGTTATCAACTTTCACTATCTGTATGTAAGCACATTATTAGGAAGTTCATGTATCAGAAAGACTCCCATTACTCCTTCCTTTTCCCAAGCATCAGCTAAAATGATTTATTTGTCAACAACAATCCAGCTCTACGATGACGGCCTTAAACACAATAGAGTCTGAAACAGGCAATCCAGTGATTGAAGCTGTTATTAACGATCCATACTGTCAAGTCAAGGAGCCTGACCACCAGATCCATTTAACCACCTTTACAACCAGCACAGGTTCTGAAATTAAGGCCCCTGTTCTAATCTGGTGTTTTAAATATAAGTATTTATTGTGGTCACAATGGGTACCTGCATATTAATTATGTGTCTGGATCTGCATCACCCATGCTACCAATTATTACTCAGGCTTACGTTTCCCAAATCTGCCATGATGTTCCTATGCTACTGCTAATGTGTAAAGTTACTTTTAAGCCAGACATATAAATATAATAACTGATATGCACCGTTATTATCCTTGGTCTGATCGCTACACCCTAATCCTTTAGATAGGATCACCTGTTCAGAGGCACACTTTCATTGATATGTCCGAGCGACGGCTCCTGTGCATATTCCTTCCTGGTTTAACTGACCTTCGATTGTGTACTGTAGAAAATGTTTGAGGAAAAGCTGATTCACGAATAACTCAGCCGAAAGCATATCAGTGCTAAATGCCAATATTATTTGTTTACATTCGGTATGATATGTATCAACCAACCATTATTTATTATTGTTGCCTCTACGTGGTGTCAAATGTGTTGTTGACCTGCGCAGTCAACATTTTCTCGAGTGACAAAGGCCTCACCGTTGCTGGTCATGTGTCAGACATTAGAGACCAAACTGTGCTGACTCGCACTCTCAGCTGCCTTGCATGTGCTTCCTCAAACTTCAAGAGGTCAAAGGTCAACTCATAATTATACTTTTCCATCTGCATTAATAAAGTATGCCAAGTACATTGAGAATCATTTAGTTTCACTGCATGTGTTTTGATGTAAATGCAAAATCGTCCACTTTCTATTAATATATTTCAGTGGGGACTACATTCTGTATCACCTCCGCTCTAACCGGAAGTGATTTTATCCGCCATTCAACGAAGGTGTCGGTTCATTGCTTTGTGGGTTTTGGATAAGTTTGGTATGTAATACGTGTGTAATATTTAAACTAAATATCTTTTGCATGTATGTGATGTAAATGCTTAGCATGTTATCACTGAATTGAAAGTGTTCATTCTCTGATTAAAAGAAAGTGAGTGAGTTTATTTTACCCGCGACTCAGCAATATTCCAGCTACATGGTGGCAGTCTGTAAATAATCAAGTCTGGACCAGACAATCCAGTGATCAATAGCATGAGCATCAATCTGCGCAATTGGGAACCGATGACATGTCTCAACCAAGTCAGCGAGCCTGACCACCCGATCCCGTTAGTCGCTTCTTACGACAAGCATAGTCACCTTTTGTGGCAAGCATGGGTTGCTGAAGACCTATTCTACCCTGGATCTTCACGGGTCTACTCTGATTAGGATACAAAATCCTAATAACAAAGTAACCACTACCAATGAATGCATAATGTTATAAAGCCTGTTATCAACTTTCACTATCTGTATGTAAGCACATCATTAGGAAGTTCATGTATCAGAAAGACTCCCATTACTCCTTCCTTTTCCTGCGATCAGCTAAAATGATTTATTTGTCAACAACAATCCAGCTCTACGATGACGGCCTTAAAACAATAGAGTCTGAAACAGGCAATCCAGTGATTGAAGTTGTGATTAACGATCCATACTGTCAAGTCAAGGAGCCTGACCACCAGATCCATTTAACCACCTTTTACAACCAGCACAGGTTCTGAAATTAAGGCCCCCTGTTCTAATCTGGTGTTTTAAATATAAGTATTTATTGTGGTCACAATGGGTACCTGCATATTAATTATGTGTCTGGATCTGCATCACCCATGCTACCAATTATTACTCAGGCTTACGTTTCCAAAATCTGCCATGATGTTCCTATGCTACTGCTAACGTGTAAGTTACTTTTAAGCCAGACATATAAATATGATAACTGATATGCACCGTTATTATCCTTGGTCTGATCGCTACACCCTAATCCTTTAGATAGGATCACCTGTTCAGAGGCACACTTTCATTGATATGGCCGAGCGACGGCTCCTGTGCATATTCCTTCCTGGTTTAACTGACCTTCGATTGTGTACAGTAGAAAATGTTTGAGGAAAAGCTGATTCACGAATAACTCAGCCGAAAGCATATATCAGTGCTAAATGCCAATATTATTTGTTTACATTCGGTATGATATGTATCAACCAACCATTATTTATTATTGTTGCCTCTACGTGGTGTCAAATGTGTTGTTGACCTGCGCAGTCAACATTTTCTCGAGTGACAAAGGCCTCACCGTTGCTGGTCATGTGTCAGACATTAGAGACCAAACTGTGCTGACTCGCACTCTCAGCTGCCTTGCATGTGCTTCCTCAAACTTCAAGAGGTCAAAGGTCAACTCATAATTATACTTTTCCATCTGCATTAATAAAGTATGCCAAGTACATTGAGAATCATTTAGTTTCACTGCATGTGTTTTTGATGTAAATGCAAAATCGTCCACTTTCTATTAATATATTTCAGTGGGGACTACATTCTGTATCACCTCCGCTCTAACCGGAAGTGATTTTATCCGCCATTCAACGAAGGTGTCGGTTCATTGCTTTGTGGGTTTTGGATAAGTTTGGTATGTAATGCGTGTGTAATATTTAAACTAAATATCTTTTTTGCATGTATGTGATGTAAATGCTTAGCATGTTATCACTGAATAATGATTTTACAGTAGGAATAATTATTACTTGCCGATCTTACTCATATCTTGAGCCGGCGACAGCGTATGAGTCAGTCAAGTAGTTGCCACTGGCACGAACACTTGCACATTCTTAAGAATATAACATGTAAATGACAAAAGTAGTCTTTTTGTTATGTATTCAACAAATCATTCGTTTTAACATGTATCGAGGCCATTATATGATTTTCTTAAAGTCCCATTGCCTTCAGATGTAAGTTGTAAATAACTTATGCAAATTAAAGAGGCATGTTCGACTGATGAAGTCTGCGTTTGGCTGGAAGATAAGTTGAGAAGATTATTTCTTCGTGGTGAATTTTAAGTACACTGTTAGCTATCAATTTTACTATATTAGACCATATGTATCTTGTACTTATACTTACTGTTAGTTTGCATTTTTTAACTGAAACATTATTTTTTCATTAAATGGGCATATGTCTGTCATTACGATGTTTTGTATCATAAACGTAAATGCCATAAAACTGACTTTTATAACCCACCTTTGCATGTTTAAGGATGACATGAACCAAAACTTTTAAAATAACAAACATTTACATGTTCTTGTGGTACCTGGTACCTAACTATTGGCAGTTCAGCAAGGGCCAATTTCAAATGTTGCTGCAGACCTTAATTGTTAATGTAGGTAAAATACTGCATTAATTTCTAATGGAGGGAATTATACAGATTTTCGATGAACATTGGTGAAACTGGTATATGCGATGTCCATCCAAACACTTACAATTCCTGCAACAAGAAATTTTTTATCTTTGCAGCACCAAAGCTTCTTTCCTGATGGAAGGAAATTTGCATTTAGCTGATCACATATTGAAGAGAGTTAAAGGCTCAGGCCAAAAAAGATGTCTGTTTCCTATTACATGCTTTTTGAAAATAGGGTGGGTGGGTCGGTTTTATCTTCTTTTTTTTTTTTTTTTTGTTGTAGTAGCACCAGGTAGGCACCTGAGAATGTCTTCAAGGATACCATATCGTGTTGTTACAATGCCTTGTGATGAAATATTGATAGATTTCTATATCAAATCATTATTTATGTTATTTATTTGCAGGTTTTGTCAGTGATAGCCCATTATGCCAATTCAATGCAATCCATTTTAGCCCTACGTACACTGAAAAACTTGAAAATATCATACTCAATTTGGATGAAAATGATGAGTTGAAATGCACTCCTGTCATGATTTTGACTTGGTTAAAAAAAGATTTAGGGTCGGGTGGGTAAGGATAGGGTTGGTCGGGTTACCGGAAACTGACATATATTTTTGGGGGCCTAAGGGCAGGGTGGTTGGCTTAGCTCTGATAAATGTGTTACAGAGTTTGTAATTAAGTAATTTGACTAATATTAGGAAGTGTATATATCCACATTTCAACTTTTGCCGGGCCGGTGGGGTAGTCAAGTGGTTATAGCATTCGCTCGTCACACTGAAGGTCTTGGTTTGATTCCCCACATAGAACAATGTGTGAAGCCCATTTCTGGTTTCCCCTGTCATGATGTTGCTGGAATATTGCTTAAAGCAGCATAAAACCATGCTCACTCATTCACTCCACTTTTGCCTAATCGGCAAAATAATCATTAAGTACTTTTGCTGTTGATTAGGTATCATCACATGATATATAGTCTGTTTGCAGTGAAAACGTACCGATGTCTTTCACTCTAAATAAAAAAGTAAATCAAATTATGTGAAATTAAGATTGCGAATCCTCATAATTTTACCTTGCCAAATGAACATTTAAATCTCAGAATTTTATTCAACTTAGGATAAAAGTTGTTTAACAAACAATCATAGATTCAAATAGCCATTATTGGTTTGTATTACAAGGGGGTAAGCGCAGTAGATGGAACAGTGAAACAAATGCACGTGCGGTACATGATGAGCGTTAACTTAGACCAACCCTACTTGTTCTCGGTGTTTCATCTAATGTGCATACCCCCTTGTAATAGAAACCAATAATAGCGATTTGAAACTATAATTGTTTGTCAAACAACTTTTATCCTAAGTTGAATAAAATTCTGAGATTTAAATGTTCATTTGGCAAGGTAAAATTATGTGGATTGGCAATCTTAATTTCGCTTTAATCGATTTACTTTTTTATTTAGAGTGAAATTCATCGGTACGTTTTCACTACAAACAGACTATAGTATTACTAAGAATAGGAGGGAAGTGTTTGTTGTAGCTTGTTTTTGCTTTAACATGTTTCTTAACTAGGATTGTACCCATGAAGATCCTTACTGAAATTGGTCTTCAGCAACCCATGCTTGTCCTAAGAGGGGACTAACGGAATTAGGTGGTCAGACTTGCACACATGGTTGACACACTGTCGTATCACAATTTGCATAGATCGATGCTCATGCTGTTGATCACTGGATTGTCTGGTCCAAACTTGATTATTAACAAATCTCTGTCATATAGCTGGAATATTGCTGAGGCCCCCCAAAATAAATGTTGTGGTTCCGATTTCCTACATTTCAGAACTAGGGTAGGTAGGGGTTGTTTTGGTGTTCTATTGGACTTAAATCCGTACTGAGTGCAGGCCATTGAAGGGATTGGATGCCACGTTGTCTTAGGAAGTCCAGTGTTGCTCTGGCCATGTGTACACGAACGTTGTCTTGCTGGAAGATGTGATTTCTGTGACTTTCAAAATGTGGTGCAACGTGGGGTCTTATGACTCGGTCAGTATAGCGAGCAGCTGTCACGCCATTTCTTCGTCCTGGACCGTGATTCTGGAACACCACGGGGCCAACTCTCTGTTCAGATCAATTGCACCCCACACCATGATGTTAGGATAACCCCACGAATCTCTTTCAACAATACACGCATTGGAAAACCGTTCCCCATGCCTTCTCCATACTCTCACTCTGCTGTCGAAACACAATATCGGCTCTCATCAGAAAAAAGCACAGTTCTCCATTCTCGATAAAGTCAATTTTGACGTGAATTGCCCATTGCAGTCGGTTTTGGCGGTGAGGACAGGACCACAACATGGTCTGTGACAGCAGAGGTTTCTTTCGCGCAAACGTCGACGCACTGTATCGGCACTAATGGGCCTCTTGTGAGTCCAAGTGGTCTGGCGAGCTGTTTCCGTGGCTCTGGCGAAGCGATCCTGCAGATGATAGCTCACAATCTGTCGGTCTTCACGTTGTGATGTTACTGCAGGTTGTCCACTTTGTGGACGGTCTGGGATGCTGTTAGTGGCCTGATACCGTTCCTGCAGTCGGCAGATTGTCCTAACATGAACATTAATATAATTGGCTACCCTCCGAGCAGCCTGGCAAGCTTGCAATCGTCCCAAGGCTTGATTCCTCTCATCTCTTGTAAGTCGTCGTATGGCGGTTGTGTCAACACAAGAATGATTTCAGGCAAGTTTTGGACTCGGCTTTCATTGGTAGGGTTGTCGCGATCTGCACGTGCATTTTCAATTTCACAAATGTCATACGGAACCTTTTACCACGTTTGTCTTTTTAGGTACGTTTGGTCGATATGCTTTTTTATCAGAAAACACACTAATGTTGGTAGTAACTGTCAATTTGGATTGCAAAACATGTTAACAAAATGGTACAATCACAATAAAAACACAACCTTGTAAGAACAAAATTTTGCATTTGGTTTTGGAAAGTCGCGTTTCTTTTGCGGTTCAGTATATGTTGAACTTTGATATTCATCCACTAAATCATGTTATTCCATGTTATATATATTATCCCATTTTACCCAACAAAATCTCTTTGCAGTTTAATTTCCCTGTCTATGAAAAGGCATATTCTTTGCCTTTCTAACATAACTTCACTGTTATCAGATACCCTTTGCACTGCTTTTGTTTGTACATTTTTGTAGACGGAGACAAGATTGATTGTTATATAAGATGAATATCCTTTGATAGGAAATCACTAGTCACTTGTTTTGTTTGCATGAGGAAGTAATGGTGATGAAGGATCAACATGTGCAGCTACTCACCAGGAAAATACAGACATAAAGGATCACTTAGAAATAGTGATTGGGTTTATACCATGTTATTAACTGAAATAGTTCCAATATTTCATTGACACATGATTTAATTCAGGATCTAAGTATCTGAGGTTATTAATTACAAATGACAAATTTGGTCTAATAGCCAAGCTTGACTTCAAAATTATCAAAGCTTGACTTCAAATAGGTGGTGAAATATTGGAACTGTTTTAGTTAATAACACGCTTAAGGTTTAAACAGTAAAATTTATAGATGTTAACTTATGTATTATCGGGATAAAGGTTGTCATCCACAATTTTTCACCCTTTTATGTATCACTTCTATTAGTTCTAAGTTTCTCACCATGCTTACTGTATGACTAATATCTAAGTTTTACATGAGTTATAAAGTGAAATTTCAAATGATGAAATCTCTAGTGTTAAATAGCGAGATAAATAATACATTTTAAATACACCTCAGCACTACCCACCCTTCACTACTCCACTCCACTCCACTCCAACCCCACCACACACAGATTGCTGCATGAACATACCAGTACATAAATAACCGGTCACATTAACATCTATTTCTGGTGTAGCCTGAAATGATTTTGCTGGAATATTGCTAAAACACTCACTCACTCACTCACTCACCTCACTCACTCACTCACTCACTCTCACTCACTCACTCACTCACTCACTCACTCACTCACTCACTCACTCACTCACTCACTCACTCACTCACTCCTCACTCACTCACTCACTCACTCCCTCACTCACTCACTCACTCATGAACATGAACATACATGAACATACATGAACATCAACACAATGTCATGCATATGCTCACACTGACCCATAAGCATACTGCACTAACAAATAACACTACTCCGATCCAGTCACTTGATAGAGGCTAAATAAAGGTTTCAAATCATATGTAGGTCAGGGAGGTGTAATTTATATGTTTGGACATCTTTACTGCATGTGTTACACAAACTTAAACATAGCCAACTGTACAAGACACAATCATAGGCATAGATACAGGTTTTAGGTCGTGTAGGTCGGGGAGATATAAATTATTTATCTTGACGTCTTTACTGCATGTGTAATATCATACCATTGTATACATTGTTGTGTGTCTTAGGACACTTCTGCATCAATACAAAATACACACATGATTTGTTTCTGGTTATGACCTGTGACGGTCCGGGTTAGGATTGGTCTTCAGCAACCCATGCTTGTTGTAAGAGGTGACTAACGGGATAGGGTGGTCCGGCTCGCTGACTGGACTGACACATGTCATCGTATCCCAGTTGCGCAGATCGATGATCATGCTGTTGATCCCTGGATTGTCTAGTCCAGACTCGATTATTTACAGACCGCCGCCATATAGCTGGAATATTGCTGAGTGTGGCGTAAACCGAAACTCACTGTTTCTGGTTGTATACAGAATTGTTGATGATGATGATGATGATGATGATGATGATGATGATATTGATATTTCTGTTGCTGACACATCGAAAATGTTTGGAACTTAGGTGACAGGACAATGCATTATTTATGAATGGTTACAAACAGAATGCTCAGGCAATTGAAAATCAGTTTCTAAGATGCACCTTAATACTGAGTCATTTTCCTGTTTGGTGATTTTTTGCATTTTGTCACTAACTTTGAAAGGGCATTGAAAAGTTTTGAAATACATTACCATCACTCAGTTTCAAAAGTAACGCCAAATGACGAACAATATTTTGCATGGCCTAAGTATGTATCCTGCATGTAATGCAATAGAGTTTCAATTTTTATTACAATACGATATCACATTGTAAATGCCCTATATCCTTATACACATGGTATGGGGTAAGGTTACAAAGTGATTTACTTTAGAAGCAGCTTTGAATCTTAATTACAAATACCTGTGTGATTTATTTCAAAAGATATATATTGTATGAGGAGACTGTGTTTTACTAAGCATTATAACATCTCCTTTTTTAATTAGAGCTTCTAGATAATTTGTTTAAAGGCTAATATCATTGACCTTCAAGTTCTGTTTGGTTTCTTCATCAAACTTTGAAAATAGAATTGATCACATTACTCATTGCATTTTGCCTTCAAGATGTATTTAAGTTGAAGTTTAGTGTTTTAAAAAAAAGCACTTAAGGTTTCAGTTATGTTTGGACCTGACAAAAATAATGTGTTTTTCACATCAAGAAATAGTTTTGATTTGATGCCTCTGGAAGATACATTTGAAATCATTATTGAGCACTCACAACTTTCTTTTACCGTACTTTAACATCAATGCATCATATTTAATTTTTATATTAAGTTGTTAATTTGACAGCAGTTTTATTTTAGTTGATAAGTTTATATATTTTCCTCTTTGGAACAACAAATAATTTCAACACTAGTTACCCGTGAAGGTCAGGGTTAGAATAAACCTTCAGTTACCCATGCTTGTCGTAAGAGGTGACTAACGGGATCAGGTGGTCAGGCTCGCTGGCTTGGTTGAGACATGTCATCGGTTCCCAACTACGCAGGCCGATGCTCATGATGTTGATCACTGGATTGTCTGGTCCAGGCTCGATTATTTACAGACCGCCGCCATATAGCTGGGATATTGCTGAGTGTGGCGTAAAACTAAACTCATTCAACACTAGTTGGATCCATAATCGATGATCAGTTTGGTTAAATCTGTTCATCCGTCTCGTGTTCGATTGGACGGACATAGGTCGCTCAAAGGTTAGCTGACGGGACCTTCTCCTAGGGTTTGTTAGACTCTGTATAGCAGTGTAATACTGAGCCTAAGTTTACTTAGACTGAGTTGGTTTGTTGCTTGATCAGGAACATTTAGTATCCTGAATCAGTGCTGTTTAGTGACCCGTGAAGGTCTGGGTTAGAATGAATCTTCAGTAACCCATGCTTGTCGTAAGAAGCGACTAAAGGTTGCTGGCTTGGTTGACAGATGTCATTGGTTCCCAATTTGCGTTGATCGATGCTCGTGCTGTTGATCACTGGAGTGTCTGGTCCAGACTCGATTATTTACAGACCGCCGCCATATAGCTGGAATATTGCTGAGTGCAGCGTAAAACTAAACTCACTCACTCAGTGCTGTTTAGTGATGACATATTGGAATAACACAGACAGGGACTGAAATTCAACTGTGTCAAGTATCTCCCAGGATAGCTTTAACATAAACAAATTGGCAAATGCCCAGCTTCATGCCTGATATTGTCCATATTGTTTTTATTCAGTAAAATGGCAGAACAAAATGAAGAGCCCGTTGAAGTTGGAGAAGATGACGTAGACAATCCTAACTACAAACCACCTGCGCAGAAGACGCTTAATGAGATCCAGAAGCTGGATGAAGATGATGAGAGCTTACAGAAGTACAAGAAGACGTTGCTTGGGGAAGTCAGTGATCCACCAAGTATGTCTGCTATATTTTAAGTTTCTGTCGTGTCATCTGTATGGAAATATGATCATGTTCAGGGAATACTAAATAGTTTTGCTACAACATGGGGGTATCAAGGCTGTGCAAAATGGAAACAAATTAAGATAGTCATTATCCAGGGGTTGAAAAATACCATTGCCGGGTCGAGTCAAATTCCCCGGGCGGTCGAGTAAATATCCACATTATACTTTACCGTGGTACAGTAGTGCCAAACTACTGAATTGTTTTGATATCTGTATTTTGATGATGTAATAAAAATGCAATTGCTACCAATTGATAAAGATTATTTGCAAAAGAAACCAAATTGTTAATTGTGGTCAAGTGAAATTAATATTTAGTCAAGTGGATTTTGAAAGTTTACTGGACCTGTGTCCAGTGGAGTTTAAAAATAATGTTCAACCCCTGTTATCTCGATGTTAGGTATTTATATTCGACAGTTGTATCCAATATGTGCGTACATTGTGGTGGTGTGTGGTTTTGTGTATATAGCACAGTTCACAAATAAGGTGGAGTTACGCAACATTGGTCACGGAGAGTCTTTGGATATGTGACTGTGCTTGGCAAGTTGACTCCTGACTTCTGTTCTGCCCCACAATGAAGCACCTATGTGGTCACGCCTTAGGCAAGCAAGTTTGTTCAAAATTGCCTCTGTTCATCTAGCAGAGAATGGGTACCTGGTGATATATGTCACATGACTGTTAACCGCCTAGCGTCTCAAAAGCAGATTGGGTTATCCGGGGGTAATAATGCCCATCATGTTGTCTGCACTTAGAGCATGTACCTGCAGTGTGGAGTTCAGCGCTATATCAGTGGCCATATTATTATTATTATCATTGTGTATATTGGGTTGTCAAACTGGCAATTTTCTACAAACTATGACTGGGGTGTAGATGTAAGATATGTCTTGGTTCGCCAGCACCATACACAAGCTTTTGACTTTTGTTAAACTGGTAAAGGTTCGGTGGAGTAGCCCAGTGGTTAACATGTTCACTTGTAACGCCAAAGTCCCGGGTTCGATTCCCCACATGGGTACAGTGTGTGAACCTATGTCTGGTGTCCCCTGCTGTGATATTGCTGGAATATTGCTAGAAGCAGTGTAAAACACAACTCACTCACTCACTAATTGGTAATGTCTGTGACCTGCATCACTGTATGTGTTCATTCCATTTCATGCTGATGTTCTGTGATCTGAAGGATACACTGTTCAAAGCAGGGTTAAACCAACTCCCTGTTTGAAGGATATGAACCAACTGTTTTAGTGTTTCTAATGACAGCAAGGCTGTTTTTGCAAATTCGTCACAGCCATTACTGAACTATCTCATGTCGATGTTCGGAACTAAGGGGGATAACAAGTGTCCATTTTGGATTGTAATGATTGTCAGTATATTGGTATTGTTGGTGGGGTGGGTGATAAGCACCAGTGCATCAACAATGTCGGCCAGACCATTTTTTCTTTTATTATAGATCAATGGAACAAATGAACAGATATTTGCAAATATGAAATATATATAAAGTGGCAGCTGCATTAGAATATCAATTGATTTCTCGGCGGAAGGGGAGTAACTCTCAGCAATCACCATGCCATTAGCAGACGTGTAAATAATTTATTTGGACAACTGCTTTCTTTCTGCCTATCCAGTCCACAATTGTGCACAGCCGAATTTGGTGTCAAGAGGCAGGTTGTGATTTTTGAAATTTTAATTGTTGGTGTTTTTTCGTTTATAGTTTTGCTCAATTGTTACCCAGTGCCTCAGAAGACAGTGGGTCTGACTTTAATTAAGGCCTCAGGAAGTTTTGCAGCTTGAACTTAAAGTTGAAGTTGCAGATTATTTTGAGTGGTTACTAGGACTGCAACGAATACACTATGTGGCGAATATGATACGTAGCATGAATATTGGGTAACGAATACGAATAATTATTCATGAATACAATATTATAGTTAAGTGATTGATGTACAATATGGAAAGCCCTTGTTGACAGTTTTGATTTGTCACAGCAATAACCAGTGATCTCATGACACTCAAATTTGGTGTGTATTAGTTATAGCTGACAGTACCATGTGTGGCCTTCGCAAACCATATTCCATTACTGCATATCTCACTTCGAAAAAGGACATAAGGGTTCAAGTAAAACATGCTCCCATAAAAAATCGGAAATATTCATTAATATTCGGTTCTGGTGACCACAAATAACGAATTGAATTCATAAAGGGCTACGGTTCAATTCACGGAATATGCGAGTGAATCGTTACAACCTTAGTGCTTCATTTGTCAAAAAATGTTGATCATTTTTATTAATTTTTTTTCCCTTTTCCCTCTTTATTCCTACAATTCTAGTCAATAAGACCAAAATATGAAGAAAATATAGGGCTGGATTTAGTTATCTGTACATCCTTGATCGATTTTTGGTAGTACTGATCATATTTCATAAGACTAATAGGTACTTTTTCATGAAATTTTGGACACAGAAATACCAAGTTGTCAACTGGCACCTTTTCTTATTTAGTTTTTTTCTTCTTCTGTGTTTCTAAGGCAACTTTGACTCCTCTTGTCACAGATCATAGTGTTGTGTTTGTCCTGACATTACAGCTAAGACTAATAAGTATTCTTTCATGAAACTTGGAAGACACAAGACCTGGTTGTCAGCTGTTGCCTTTTGAATGTTTGAATGTTTTTGTTTATTTAACATGTCAACAAGTTTGACTTAATTCAGTGGTGTGTTTGTCTGGATCATATCTCTGAAACTATTCTTCCACAAAACTTATGAAACACAAAGGCAAGTTTTTCAACCAGTGGCTTTGACCGTGTAGGGAGTTGGGGGTGGGGTTGTTTTTCATTTTCATGGCAAGAAGTTTAATGATGATTCAGTTCATAGGAGTTTGTTTTCCAGAGCATATCAACAAAACTACTGGTTTTCTTTGTATTTCATAGTATTGTTTTGAGTGCACAATGACTACCCAGCATACAGTATTAGGTTGAAATACTTGCATAAAGTTGGACGTACCACTCTTCTAGCACTGTAATAAACAGATGATTTGGTTTGTATTTTAGTTTATGGAGTTGTTGTTTTGTATATGTTCCTTCCCTCATCCAGCAATTTCTTTTTGTTCAAAGAATCTGTTATAGAAAATGAACAATAAGTCTGACCTTAGCATGGACAAAAGAGACTAAGGTGTGAATGTGGCTGGTATGACTTAGCTGTTTTAGGAAACTCAACTACCTTTCAGAGTTTGTTGTACACTTAAGACATGGTGACAGATGGAATGCAAAACATGCCAACATATCATCAGTGTGTCGCCTGATCACTGAAGCGGCTGATGAAGCATAATTCATGGTCAATCTCTACATTGCCCTAAGGGACACTTGTTGTTGAACAAGGTGAGGTGAAATTGGGTTCATGAATACCCCACTCAGACACATTATACTGATTCCGAGCCGACCAGTCCTTGTTGTACCCATTAATGCCGAGCGCCAGGCAGGGACCAACAAGTACCATATTTTAACGTCTTTTGGTATGACGCAGCCGGGGATCGAACCCGCGACCTTCCGCTCTCCGGGCGGACGCTCTAACCACTACACCACGGAGGCGGTCTCGATGTTGAACAAAGAGTGCACAGACTAGTACGTCATTATCATGTGGGTTTCAGTTCCATCACAGCATCCCAGACATCCCAGATCTTTCTCTTGGGATTCCAGCACAGCCTCAAAACCCCATGTTTATACGAGAACCAACAAACCTGGTTGATTGATTTGTTGTTAAACTGTATGCTCAGCAACATTCCAGCTGCATGACCACTAAGGCTGTAACGATTCACTCGCATATTCGGTGAATCGAACCGAAGCCCTTCATGAATTCAATTCGTTATTCGTGGTCACCAAAACCGAATATTAATCGAATATTTCCGATTTTTTAAGGGAGCATATTTTACTTGAACCCTTGTGTTCTTTTGGAAAGTGAGATATGCAAGGATTGAATATGTACTAGCAATGCAGTAGCGCAAGTCATGTTAGTTTGCCAAGGCCGCACATGGTACTGTCGACTATAACTATTACATACCAGGGCTGTGGGGTAGCCTAGTGGTTAAAGCGTTGGCTCGTCACGCCGAAGACCCAGGTTCGAATCCCCACATGGGTACAATGTGTGAAGCCCATTTCTGGTTTCCCCCGCCGTGATGTTGCTGGAATATTGCTAAAAGCGGCGTAAAACCAAACTCAGTCAGTCAGTATTACATACCAAATTTGAGTGTCATGAGATCACTGGTTATTGCTGTGACAAATCAAAACTGTCAACATGGGCGTTCCATATTGTGCATCAATCACTTAACTACAATATTGTATTCATGAATAATTATTTGTATTAGTTACCCAATATTCATGATACTGTATCATATTCACCACATAGTGTATTCATTGCAGCCCTAATGACTAGGGCCTAGATTTTCGAAGCTCTCTTAGCTAGCGCTAAGATAGTCGTAAGTGCCATGCATTAACATTAACTTACGACTAACTTAGCACTAAGAGAGCTTCGAAAATCTAGACCCAGGCATTCCAGTGGTTGCCATCATGAGCATCTATCAACACAAATGAGAGACAATGACACAAGTCATTATGATGTTCATGATGTTGATCACTGGATTGTCTGGTTTCAGACGTCATTATTTACAGGCTGCCACTTTATAGCTGGAACATTGCCGAGTGCAGCTTTAAACAACAACCAAACAAAGCAAACACAATCAAGTCATTTAGGCTGATCTACTGGTCATTTTGTCACTTTATGACAAGCACAGGTTTCAGGAGACATATGTCCATAACCAGAATCCTCATAGATTTCAGTCAGGATGGGGAATGGATGGTCACAATTGGATATGAATATGCATCGAAAGTGACCTGCAGAGAATTTTTTTCCAGTAATGTGGCAGGTAATTATGTTTGGACTGTGTAATAGTGATCTGTAATATTTCTTTCAGAGCCTGACGATCCCCGCAATGTTATTGTAGAAAAACTGGCTTTCTGCTCAGAGGGCCGAGCAGAAATAGAGATGGATCTCACAGGTAGGAAGCCTCTTAGTAATGTTGTCATTATAGGGGGTATTTTTTACATTCTTCTACCTATATTGGTAATACAGCTCTAATCCCAGACTTCTTAAAGATTTTTAGTGAGCTTGAACACGATTAAAACATTTTAGGATAAATAACTTTTGTTCTCTTCACCAAATTTGGAAGTGCGCAACATTGCATATTACTATTAGGGGCCATGAATTTGGTTGTTCTGGGTATTAGTAGGACTGCATATTACCGGGGTCGGTGGGGTAGCCTAGTGGTTAAAGCGTTGGCTCGTCACGCCGAAGACCCGGGTTCGATTCCCCACATGGGCACAATGTGTTAAGCCCATTTCTGGTGTCCCCCGCCGTGATATTGCTGGAATATTGCTAAAAGCGGCGTAAAACTAAACTCAGTCAGTCAGTCAGGCATATTACCGGAATACGGCAATATGCATTTTAAACAAAACATGTTGCATCATTTTTTTCTCAAATCCAGTATATTATAACCAGTTTTGTTTCTATGATTTAAGGTGAAATCTGCATAGACTTTCATTCACATCTCATGTTAAACAATTGAAAAAATGATATTCTGTACATTCTACCGATTGTATTCCCTACTATCCAACCTGTTTTTGAGATTGATGTTAATAGAACCAATTCCATTGCATTGACTATCAGTGTCACTCACTGTCAAATAATTTAGCTACAAATATATTGCAATGCATATCGCAATGCCTGTATCACAATATACTTCAATGCAATTTATTTCCCAATACGCAGTCTTATTATTAAGTATTAAGGCATGACATAATCAAACACAGACATGTTGCCACACAGATCTGAAGATAATTTTTTATTTTGGCATCCTATATGATCAGCTTATGATCAATTGGTTCTTTTCTTCACAGGTGAACTGTCAAAGCTGAGAACATTTATCGTAAAAGAAGGAACACAATATAAGATAAAAATCTACTTCTATGTGCAAAGGGAAATTGTCTGTGGCCTGGTGTATAAACAGAAAATTACCAGGAAAGGAATTTCTAGTGAGTACAGTTTGTTTATTAGTAGTATGTTTGCGATTTTTTGTTTAACAAAAATTCAAGCCTGGAACAGACAATCGAATGACTGATATTATGAGCAATGCTCCATGTTGTCATGGTCCAGTGATCCACTGTCATGGTCCAGTCAGCAAGCCTGGCCATCATATTTGTTTCCTCACTTTAACCGGGCCGCCTCCGTGGTGTAGTGTTTAGAGCGTCCGCCCGGAGAGCGGAAGGTTGCGGGTTCGATCCCCGACCGCGTCATACCAAAAGACGTTAAAATATGGTACTTGTTGGTCCCTGCCTGGCGCTCGGCATTAATGGGTACAACAAGGACTGGTCGGCTCGGAGTCAGTATAATGTGTCTGAGTGGGGTATTCATGCTTCACTGCGGCATGGTATCTCAGTGGGCTAGCACTATAAAACCAGCTTAAGTCTGGGCTAGTACAAGCAGCCACACATACACATACACACGCATGCACGTCGTCATATGAGCGAAATATTCTCAAGCACGACGTTAAACCCAATTTCACCTCACCTCACTTTAACCGTTTTGTATGTTATTTAACACCACACTCGGTAATATTCCAGCTAAGAGTAAAGTGACTGACATGAGCATTGTTCTACGTGTCATGACACATGTCATCAGTTCCCAATTGCGCAGAACGATGCTCATGCTGTTGATCACTGGATTGTCTGGTTCAGACTCGAATATTTACAGACTGCCGCCATATAGCTGGAATATTGCTGAGTGAGGCGTAAAACTCACTCACTCACTCACTCACTTATCCTGTCCATCCCTTCTTTCTATAGTGGAGACCATGAAGATGATGGTTGGCAGCTACGGTCCGAAGAAGGAACTCCACTGCTACACAACAGCCTTGGAAGATGTCCCCTCAGGAATGTTGGCCCGAGGCACATACGTCATCAAAAGTCTATTCACAGATGATGATAAGAACAAGTACTTGGAGTGGCAGTTCGGAATGGAAATAAAGAAGGACTGGCAAGACTGAACGATCAATGAAGCCACTGTGTATGAAATGTACAGTTTTATATTTCTTTAAGCCCCCGTTACATATTTTAGTTCTGTCTGTTTGATGCTGCTGGTTATTGAGACACTATTGTTTCTACAAATAGCATGTCTACATAATGATGTATGCATACCGTGACAGTAATCGTCTGGCATCCATTAAAGGGACTCTTTGGGAAGCTGTTCTGGGGCTTTGTCAAATAGTGCTTGGTGATAAATGTGGGATTTGACACAACAAATGCATAAAATCTGGTAAATTTGTTGGAATTTCCTTGTTTCCCTGGCAACCACCTGCAACATTGAGAGCCTAGCAGATTGAATCAGTGTATGAATGTTCTCTGCATGTTCATTCTCAAGAGTCCCTATAATTGCCTGCGATACAATCTCTGCTTTGTCCCATAATGACCACATATCTATATTTTAAGCTAAGGTTCATATTCATGTAGCCACGGTAACCACATTTGTAATCATGAATCTCTTCATTCCTGTTGGTGAACTTTCATGATAAGTATTCAAGTTATTAGTAATGTGTATGCTATTTCAAAAGTGAAGTATTATTTCGATGCCTTTGTACTTCCGTAGCTCACAGCATCAGATACTCAGTACATTATGATTGTGACGCGACCAACATTTCCGAATCCAGGGATACTGCTGGCAGCCAGCCGTAGCGTATACATATTTCAGTTTTGATGTACATTTCCCTTCACAGTACAGTCTTTCAGAATGGTTTAACATCAAAATATTTTGCTACATATTTTTATTTAAATACAGTATGCCAGAATTTGTTGAGAGTAAGTCATTGTGCAAAATGTCAGATGTTGATCGTGTTGATAAATATTGCACTATTTTTAACAGCTTTCTTTCCTATTGGGGTCATTGGAAAATTGGTTTTTGGAATAGATTCCGGTTGTAATAGAATGTCAACAGCATATCAACTGTTCAGCTACTCCATATTTTGACTTTTGGGTGGAAAACACCATGTTCTAACGGCTTGATGATTTTTAGACATTTTACAAGTACAAGTTTTTGTCAGAGCTGGAATTAAGATGCTTTGAAATATTTTTCTTATCATGGACATAATTAATTGTTTCAAGATGTTCCTTACTGTACACATTTGAGGTACCGGGTATGTTTTGATAATTCCCGTTTCTTTAACCGCAACATTTGTACTATATACATATGCTTTTTATCTTGGAAAATGTGTGTTCATTTGGTATTTTGTGGCAGTTGGGTGCTTGTAGAATGCTTTACATGTGGTGAGGCAAAATATACCTGTTCATCTGCAGCCTGCACTTGCTACAGGAGTCACGATTATCGGCTGTCCACGTGGAACCAGTGATGCACCAAGACAGTAATTAACTTGTCATGTGAGAGGCAGTTTTGTTTCCCAGTGTGACATGTAAAGTCCTCTGGTATTCTCTGCCATGATACTGTAATCTCATACTCGCTATGTTTGCAATGGCCACCATCCCATATGTCTGAATATGACCAGTCTTGCAAAACACAACTTTCTGTTTCTAAGATTCCAAATTTTCTTCTCTATCCTACAGTTCTGATTTCAATTTATCTTGTAACACACATTTGAATGTTGAATGTCATGTTGACGCCCCAAATTATATGTCCATATTTGGATGGGTTTGGCCCAACACCCCTTGAGTTTGGCCAGTGGTGCATCACTGTTCCTGTGCTCTTAGTTGAATTATATGCCTGTGTGATCTACAGTGACATTGTTATGGATGTAAACAGGGTTACCTCGTGTCTATCAGTGCAATACACGTTTTCCCACCCGAGTTCCTCAGCTGTGAACACGAAGGTAGGGGCGGTGGGACAACCAAGTGGTTATGGCATTCACTTCTCACGCCGAAGACTCGGGTTCGATTCCCTACTTGGGTACAATGTGTGAAGCCCATTTCTTGTGTCCCCTGCTGTGATACTGCAATCCAGACACTGCCCTGTCAAACATGTTTTCAGTAGCACAGTGCTAGATACAAACGTGTGAATGCTAGCCAAGCTTGTAAACCGATTTTTAAGCTATAGTGTAAGAGGTCACAATATTTGATCGATACTAGAAAATTATATATTTCTGTGTGGTTGGATCTTTGTGAAGGTACCTTGAATTCAGCACACATGATGAATGCGAGTTTTCATCAGATACCTCATCTTGCCATCAACTTCAAGTACCTTAAGTAATGGTTGCTGGGGACGTACAGGGTATGTGAAAATCTCCCCTCCCCTTTCAGAAACTTTACATGCCAACCATCACGTTTTGTTCAATTGGGTATTGTGTGGACCCAGTTTTTCAAATCGTAGTTCCACCTGTTTTGTCAAGTAAAGGTCTCTCACTTGGCTGTTAAGCTTCCATGTTATCTTCTAACGGTGCTTACTGTCAGCTATTATGTCATCAGGCCAGTGAAAATACAAACATTGCGTCTGTCAAAGCCTGTCCACCAATACCATTATTCTGTTTACTATTGATATCTCACCACCATTGCTTAGTGCTACCGTTACTCCTATATTGTCGACAGCAACTTGTCCTGAAGCTATGCAACTGTTCCTCACATTGGTCAAAGCTGTATGTCTTCTGTGGACTCAATGTCCGACCTTTGCCTTAATAAATATATGCCTCATATACATGGCTTGTTTTGTGTCCTGTGGAAGATACAGCTGCTGTTTCTGGAACAATTGTTCGCGATAGTGTATTATGTGTTCATTATGTAATAACTAACACGGACCCTTAGTTTCATCATCATAATTACCCTGGACTTCACCACCTTAGTTTCATTATGATAATTACCCTGGACTTCACCACCTTAGTTTCATTATGATAATTACCCTGGACCATTCACCACCTTAATTCCATGATAATTACCCTGCACTATTCTCCACCTTAATTTCATTATCATAATGACCCTTGATCACTCACCACCTTAGTTTGGAGGAAGTGGAGAATGGTCCCGGGTAATTATTAACAGCGTCCGTCCTTACGTCCCGGTTCTTGTTGGCGCGATATCGCATGCACTGATGTACCCATTGCCTTCAAATTTGGAGACCGCCTCCGGTGGTAGTTGGTCCCTGCCTGGCGCTCGGCATTAATGGGTACAACAAGGACTGGTCGACTCGGAGTCAGTATAATGTGTGTGAGTGGGGTATTCATGCTTCACTGCGGCATGGTATCTCAGTAGGCTAGCACTATAAAACCAGCTTCAGTCTGGGCTAGTACAAGCAGCCGCACATACACACATGCATGCACGTTGTCATATGAGCGAAATATTCTCAAGCACGATGTTAAACCCAATTTCACCTCACCTCACCTTCAAATTTGGTGACAGCCTACATTAGGAGATTACGAAGACACCAGTCGAGTTGGCTGACCTTGATTTTATCTTCAATGACACTTTGACCACAAAACATTTCACATAATTTTAGCCTTAGAGCTGAAGAACATATTGCCATTTCTTACAAATTTGCTGTCAGGAATTAACGTAACGGGTATCCGGGTAGGGTAATAATGGATGGGGTACCCGGGTAGAACTTTTGGACCCAGCCCAGCCCTAATACTCACTGATACTGACAGTGGATATGTGCATCTGCATTTGTACATTCAAATCTACTATATTCCTGAAATATCTTTAAGTTAGGATAAGATTCAGAGCAGTGACCATGACTAAAAAACTACATCACACAAAAGGTAATCTTCTATGTGACCAAAAGATAAAAACTAGTAGTTGTATTTCATTCTCAGTGTTGTCACAACCCCTAGTGTACAGTACACAACCCTGTGCACTTAAAAGAACCCACGAATCCGTTGGTATCTGACCAGATGGTGGCCACATCAATACATGCAAACACCTAGTTGCGGGTACAGCAACGTGCTGTAAACTTGGACAAAGTACTGTGACTATGTGTCCCAGTCCACCCAACTGAATGGGTACCTCGTTGAGAAAGCCACAATAACTCGGTGCGCCTAGTGGCAGCAAGAGTTGTATACTCCCCAGGGAGTTGAGACGGATAATACGATGTGCCATTGAGATTGACATCCAATGATCGAGGGGAAAATACCAGCGCCTTGAGCATGCATCAGTTGCGTGGATATGTGCGCTATATAAATATACTATAATAATAATAATAAAAATTATAATAATTCTTCTTTAGCGGCGCGGTACATTGCCATGTTAGTTGCAAACACTTGGTTTGTTATGAGCCTGACTGAGGTGAAAATTAGCTGTTTGGTTGTATGTTTCTTCCTTTGTTGTTTGACGCCACGCGGCAATAGGTTACCAACATCACAGTGGTCTTTAAATAAATCGGACAATCTGGTGACTGCCTTCATGAATATTGATCTACAAATTTTGATCACGATGACATGTCTGACCACCTGATCCTACTGGTCACTTCTTGCGACAAACATGGATTACTGAAGAACAGTTGTAACTTGGATCTTTGTGAGAGGTTAAGTGCTACGTTGGAGTGAGTGAGTGAGTTTAGTTTTACGCCGCACTCCGCAATATCCCAGCTATATGGCGGCGGTCTGTAAATAATCGAGTCTGGACCAGATAATCCAGTGATCAACAGCATGAGCATCGATCTGCGCAATTGGGAACCGATGACATGTGTCAACAAAGTCAGCGAAACTGACCACCCGATCCTGTTAGTCGCCTTTAATGGCAAGCATAGTCGCCTTTAATGGCAAGCACATGGGTTGCTGAAGACCTATTCTACCCCGGATCTTCACGGGTAGCTATGTTGGAGGTAAGACAGATAATATGAGCGTGGCATGTGATCCTCTGCACAACACGCTGTTCACAAGTTGGGTGAAGTTTGGCAATGTCAGTCTTGGAGAATAATTGGATCTGTGATCACAATTGCCAGCCTGACTCGTTTCTTGGGCTTCGGCCCTGCCCCATACTAAAGCACATGCGGTGTCTCCTATAGCCACGGAAGGATACAGCTTTTTTAGAAAGGGGGGTGCACAGTTCATTTTCACCTGTTTTCACGAGTTTCAATGGTCATTTAATAAGCTTTCAGGATAAAAGGGGGTTGCAAGCATGCACGCACTCACACCCTCCCCTCTCCCTCTGGATCCACCTATGTAAAGCAAATGACTTTGTTTGAACTTTACCTTTGTTCACCCAGCAAAATGGTTCCTGGTGATATCAGATGGTAACTCAGCCTGTTTTAACTGGCATGTGTCCAGACTAGCACCATGAAACTGGATTGTTTCCGCTTAAAAAAACTGGATTGTTTCCGGACTAGCACCATCAAACTGGCATGTGTCCAGACAAGCACCATGAAACCGGCATACCAGTAAAGTGCAGGTCGAGTTTGATGTATTCTTATGTAATCAAATTGACATTACTGATTGACCTAAATACAAAATATAAATACATGTACATTGTATTTCAACATACTATTGTAATACTATGCAGAAAGATGTGAGTGAGTGAGTTTAGTTTTATGCCGCAGTCAGCAATATTCCAGCTATATGGTGGCGGTCTGTAAATAATTGAGACAATCCAGTGATCCACATCATGAGCATCGATGTACACAATTGGGTGATGTGAGGTGAAATTGGGTTTTACGTCGTGCTTGAGAATATTTCGCTCATGACGACGTGCATGCGTGTGTATGTGTAAGTGCGGCTGCTTGTACTAGCCCAGACTGAAGCTGGTTTTATAGTGCTAGCCCACTGAGATACCATGCCACAGTGAAGCATGAATACCCCACTCAGACACATTATACTGACTCCGAGCCGACCAGTCCTTGTTGTACCCATTAATGCCGAGCGCCAGGCAGGGACCAACAAGTACCATATTTTAACGTCTTTTGGTATGACGCGGTCGGGGATCGAACCCGCGACCTTCCGCTCTCCGGGCGGAGGCTCTAACCACTACACCACGGCGGCGGTGTACACAATTGGGAGTGAGTGAGTTTAGTTTTACGCCACACTCAGCAATATTCCAGCTATATGGTGGCGGTCTGTAAATAATCGAGTCTGGACCAGACAATCCAGGGATCAAAAGCATGAACATCGATCTGATCAATTGGGATACGATAACATGTTACAACCCAGTCAGCGAGCCTGACCACCCCATCCCATTAGTCACCTCTTACGACAAGCAGTAAGTTCCTCCCATTCCCCCATCCCAAATAATGTTTATAAGTTAACATATGCTAAAATTATTAACAAAACTTAAGGGAACAATTACGAGTGAACTAACAAAAATGACTAAGAGTCCAAACTGTAAGTTAGGGTTAGGGTTAGGTTTAGAGTTAGGTTTAGGGTTGGGGGAACGGAAGGAACTCTTTCCCGACAAGCATGGGTTGCTGAAGACCAATTCTAACCCAGACCTTCATTGGTCTATACAATTGGGATACAATCAGAAAGACATGAGCTATGGCACTAAACATGAATATAACATGGATATATACCCCCGGTCTTGCTCAAATGTAAAGAAATTAATGGGTAAGAGTTCCTTACGTACCCCCCATCTAATTTTTTCAAACAATACAAAGTTATTACTAGGCGGGGGTACATAAGGAGCTCTTTCCAAACAATGCCTACTATTAAGTAATACAAGGAAGTGATCTCAACTGCCACACTTATGGAGTTCCATATTCTTGGACCTGAAGGATGTTACACACACCATGTAGACTAAAATATACGGAAATATTTCCGCCCATAACCCCTGTTTATTTTTAATCATTCAATGCCTATGGTTTTTATAAAAAGCCTAAACCTAACCATAAATCCTAACCTAACCCTAACCCTAACCCTAAACCTAAACCTAACCTCTAACCCCTCAATATAATCCTAATAAATAGAATACATTTCAAGTGGGGGTTACGGGCGGAACGCTTACCGAAAATACAATAATGTACATATACTATTCACAAAGAATCGTGCATGCATTATATCTAAATTTATATGTTAAACAAACTATATCTACAAAACCCTATTAAACATTCTAGAATGAAATAATACTTGCACACATCCATTCATTCACTAGCAGTGACATAATATTTAGGGATCTTTATACATATTTAAATAATTACTCATAACTTATTTTTATCTTATAGTTCATATATTTAGTTTACTCAGAAAGACAATGCAAAGATATTGAATTTTTTCAATACAATATATAAATAATGGATATTTAACTCACTTGATTTTTTGTGACAACTTGTCCCTTTGCAGACCTGGACAGTTCTATGATGTGCTGATAGATTTTCAGGATGAACAAATCATGCAGTTAAACAATAGATGTCAGCTTGGCCAATCAGTCTATTGAGCTTCTTGGTCTCGGTCAATAAGAGAGTGACACAAAAGTACAGATATACTGTGTTGTTGCTGACTGGCAAAATTTAACAAACTGACAACTAATTATTTCTAAGAATATACAAGCAAAATATTTGGATTTTAAAAGAAATATATATAAAGACTAAAGAACTACATCAGCCTTTAAACTGGCTTTGTCTGGGCAAGCACCATTAAAGTAACATGTGTCCAGGCTAGCACCATTAAATTGTCATTGTCCAGGCTAGCACCAATAAACTGTCATTGTCCTGGCTAGCATCATTAAACTGTCATTGTCCTGGCTAGCACCAATAAACTGTCATTTGTCCAGGCTAGCATCATTAAACTGTCATTGTCCTGGCTAGCATCATTAAGCTGTCATTGTCCTGGCTAGCACCAATAAACTGTCATTGTCCTGGCTAGCACCAATAAACTGTCCTTGTCCTGGCTAGCATCATTAAACTGTCATTGTCCTGGCTAGCATCATTAAACTGTCATTGTCCTGGCTAGCACCAATAAACTGTCATTGTCCTGGCTAGCACCAATAAACTGTCATTTGTCCTAGCATCATTAAACTGTCATTGTCCTGGCTAGCATCATTAAACTGTCATTGTCCTGGCTAGCACCAATAAACTGTCATTGTCCTGGCTAGCACCAATAAACTGTCATTGTCCTGGCTAGCATCATTAAACTGTCATTGTCCTTGCTAGCATCATTAAACTGTCATTGTCCTGGCTAGCACCAATAAACTATAATTGTCCTGGCTAGCACCAATAAACTGTCATTGTCCTGGCTAACACCAATATAGTGCATTGTCCTGGTTAGCATCATTAAACAGGCATTGTCCTGGCTAGAACCAATATACTGTCATTGTCATGGCTAGCACCAATAAACTGTCATTGTCCTGGCTAGCATAAATAAACTTGCACATAACTTGAATTATTATGTTTGTCTGTATTAATTATTTGTCTATGATAGAGACAGCTACAATGGTTGAAATCACCATCAGTGTTTACCATGGAATGAGCAAAGTGTACTTATTGCTTTGAATTTATCCATTGTTTCTAATTCTAATATATTTTTATATGCACAAACTTTATGCTGTATTCATTTGTGAACACTTTATCGTTTCATGAAGGTGCTTATGTTTGCATTGAAATGTCATGGGATATTTATTAAGAAGGTCCTACTATTTAATTTCATTACTATTAAATACCAAACATATATGCTTTTGTTCAAATATGTATGTATATTTGTTTAAAGTCTGAATCAAAGGTCGCAGATAATATAATTACTTAGACAGGGCCTGTTGATTGACGTTCAAAACGCTTTGTTTTCTAATGTTCGATTTAAGCGTTTATATTCTTTCGCTCCCACTTTTCACATTTCCCGGCCTAGAGGATTTTATCCGGGTCCTATTTCAAGATGGTGGTCGCTCGGCTGAGGCGGTACTGCTGCCTCTAAAATTCGATACCCTTGATAGAGTACATATTGGTGAAATTTGACAGAAAGATTTGTGCACAATGAAGAAGACCCCCAAAAAGGATGGAAGGGGGCATATTTTGAAAGGGCACATAAATCTGTCTACTGTTTATTTATATTTGAAGAGTGGTCAATATCCACCAGGATTGTCGGACTGTGACAAACGAGCGGTCAGGAAAAGAGCCAAATCGTTCTCTCTAACAGGGGATGACTTGTATTTCATCGAACAGTGGAAAAAGTCGAATGCCGAGGATGATAACGCCAAGCAGAGCGTCCCACGGAAGGTCCTTATCAGCGAGGAGGAACGACGCAAAACGGTGTTGGAGGCACATATTGACCCGGAAGGTGCGGTGACAAATCGAATCTGCTTCCGTTTTATCCGGGGGTCTGAAATTTAATGATGAACCGTGAAATAAGGTCACACCTGACGCAAAGACATTTGACAGGAGTAGTTTGAAAGTGTCAAAAACGTTACACATTAAAATGGAAGAATTATTTTTGGTATTTGAATAAAATACAGTCAAGTTATGGTCTAAATTATGATTAATAATATTTATTGATAATAGAGATTACATATGTTTTCCACTAAAAAGGATATTTCTTTAAATAATTCTTAGGAAATGTGTAGAAAGTATTTTGTCTGTTTCTAAATACCAGATAAGATACCTGAATAATAACACAAATTGAACATAAAGAAACACTGAGGTAAATAGCAAGCATAAGCCTACATCATTAAAATATATATTCCTGTCATGCATTTCATTAAACAGAACCAAAACTCCAACACAATAATGAGGTACAGCCAAAGTGACAATGTTTTTGATGTGGATTAATGCTTACAAGATGTAAAGCATGAAGCTATCTGTGAACATCATATAACACACAGTAAACAAACTAAACAGTATCCCTTAAGAGATTTAAGGTAAATGAACAGGTAATAACAAATTTGGTAAATGAAATGTGAAATATGAGATAAATTATCCCTAGACATGATAATTTATCTTGTATATTGTATTTTCAGTTCTGCTTGGCAGAATTTTATGCACAGATATAGAGATTATTACGTGTAATAGTAAACTCAGATAATGAGATACTATTAAATATTAGATTCTTACAGAGACACGTGACATCAAACACGTTTGTTCCGGTTAAGATGTATGTGACATTGTTTCTTTGTGTGTATACTAACCGATATATTCCTCGAACAAGGTGTCTGCCTTATGTTTAATGTTTTGGTTGTAATTATGATATTGACATGTTGTTTTCATTCATTTGCTGTAGCATCACCAGGGTGGGTGAGGCCTCAACGGCTACTGATCAAACTGTTCTATGTGTGAAATTTATCTGTCAATAGCAATCAATCTTTTCAAGGTGTTATTATTTTTCCAAATCTATTGTAAAAGCTGCAGCCAAATTATCTCAGTATTGGTACTTATTATTTCTGATAAAATAACAGTGGATCAACAGTTTAATTTGATTGTTGATCCAAAATTATATCTGTATTTTATAAATCCACAGATCTATTGCGTATTTATTTAATGGAATCACAGGTAGTTTTGTACAAAATAGACATACGTCTGATTGCTAGTTTCTGCCATAGTTTATGAGACCACACACACAGTAGTCTGCGTAAAAGACAATGTCTAGCGGAACACAAAGTACAATTTAAATGGTAAAGCATCATATGTCTCGTGATAATTTATATCAAATTTCACATTTTATTGACCATGTTTGTTATCTTCAGTAACCCATGCTTGTCGTAGATACTAACTGCATTCTATTCATGTAGGGATTCTATGTATATTTTGTCTGGTCCAAACTTGATGTGCATAGTATATGATGTTGCTGAGTCTTGGCATTAACCATTTGTTGTTTCTGTCTTGTTACAGTGCATTAATCAACACAAAACATGTAAGTCTGGTTGTCTAAATATTCCCGTGCCTCTTTAAATTGTATAATGTAAAAAATATTTTCTTGAAAAAACAAACAAACCCTACCTACCTACCCTAGTTCTGAATTGTAGGAAATCGAACCATAAATCTTATTTTTTGGCCTAAGCAAATTTGATTCTCAGTCACTGGTTTGAAACTTGGAGTTTTGTCTCCCTTTTAGTCAAGTGTGAGAACTTGTGTTGTATATAACCCATGAAAACCCGTGAAGGTCGGGTTAGAATTGATCTTCAGTAACCCATGCTTGTCGTAAGAGGCGACTAACGGGATCGGGTGGTCAGGCTCGCTGACTTGGTTGCATCATGCCATCGGTTTCCAATTGCGTAGATCAATGTTCATGCTGTTGATCACTGGATTGTCTGGTCCAGACTCGATTATTTAGAGACCACCACTATATAGCTGGAATATTGCTGAGTGTGGTGTAAAACTAAACTCACTCACTGAGAGTGTGGGTTCGAATCCTGGATGGACTCAACCTAAAAAAATACTAGAATCTGTACTTTCATGCGAAAGTGTAATCCCAAATATAAAGTATATATCATTTGACCACTTTCTAAATGACATTGTGTATTCAAAGAACATAAAGACTAACATTATTCTTCAGGAACCCACTATGGTATTGAGAAGACGACCAATGCCGTCAGCAGTCGGTTCTACTGGGTCGGAATTTCCCACATCGTACGAGACATCATACATAACTGCCCCTACTGCCAAGCATCACGCAGCAACGTCAATATGTCCATCACACCATCCCTGTCTCGGCTGTTCGGCATCAAGCAGGACGCGGAAGATGGCGGGGACAATGACGGCAACACCAGCATGGTCTCCAGCACACCTGTACAACTCTTTCAGCCAGACATGGAACCCGCCACCTACTTCTGGGAAAAGGTATGTCTGTGTTATTTCTGTCTGGTTGATACGTAGAAATCAGGGATAGAAATGCCTTGTGTTTTTTTAAAAGATTGCGATAGGGCACTAGGTTGCCGTTGTACAAAACGACCTTAGTGCTAAGACTGTCGTAACTCTATGTTAAGGTATGGGACTTACGATCACCTTACAACGGGACCCAGAGAGATAATTTAGATGTGCCTGTGTGAAAATAAGTGTGCCTATACCTTTTGATACAACTTAAAGCATCTCAACAATTAGGCCATTTCAATTTATTGTTTAATAAATTAAAATAAACATCATGTGAACCAGGGCCCAGATTTTCAAAGCTCTCTTAACGCTAAGATAGTCGTAAGTGACATACATTAACATTAACTTACGACTATCTTAGCGCTAAGAGAACTTCGAAAATCTAGGCCCAGGTGTGTTATCACTTTATCCGTGTTTCAGGGTCTAGATTTTTGAAGCTCTCTTAATCAGCTAAGATATCACTTTATCCGTGTTTAGCACTAAGGGTCTAGAGGCCCAGGTTTTTCAAGCTCTCTTAAGCTAAGATAGTAAGATAGTCGTAAAGTGAAATACATTAACATTAACTTACGACTATCTTAGCTCTAAGAGAGCTTAAAAAATCTTTGCCCTGTAAAATTGAGAGCTGGATTTCCTGTACACTATGTGGCCGCAAAAATATTTCAGCTTCATATTGTCCTTGACCCATAACCTAACCCACAAACTATGTTATCACCCAAAACAGGATTTCCTGTTACAGACTGGTTTTCAAATGGCCACGCCCATGTTAAGCTGTGAGATTGAGATTGCCACTGAACAGTTTTATGGGGTGGCAAACTAAGTTTTGAATCATTTTAGTTATTTGAGTCAAAATTTATATCAAATGAATCATGGTGATAATTATTTTCATCTTTTTAGTTGTGCCGCCAGGGCACACTGAAAATAATCCATCTGTGTCATTTCAATATTTTCAGTGCCATGGCACTGTTGCAACTTGGGAATCGGTTATAATGTCTATTATGAAAAAGTGATCATTAGTTAAAGAAAGCAGTCAGGGAATGATTGATAATTATATTAGCATTTGTTCTTAAGATTTATCCGATTATGATATGCAAATTAGGTAAAATGACAATAAAAGCAGAATTCCCAAATTCCATGTATATTTTGCTCAAATTTGCAATACCATACATTTACTTCTAAAATAGGTATTGTAACATTGTTATCACATTTGTTACTCTTTTACCATGTTAAAACTTTGTAATTTTATGTAATTTGTCCTGGGGAAGAATAGGTCCCAGCAACCATGAGGTAGCAGACTCATTGATTACATTGACAGGCGTCACTTCCTGGTTGCACTCAGACCATACCGTGTAGAATGCTCCTGATATTGTAGTCACTGGATCATCTAGTCCAGTCTGAAGTATCTAGTGTCATGTATGTCTTAAACAAATAAACAAATGTATCATATATGTTTCATATTTCCAATTCTTGCTAAATCTATTAACACACGGGGTCCCACCTTAGCGGAGTGAGTTTGTTCATAATTGCCTCTGTTCACCCAGCAGAAAACGGGTACCTGGTGGGATCATAAGTCATAAGACTATTAACCTCCTAGCGCCTCACAGGCAGCCTGGGTTATCCGGGGTAATAATGTCCATTATGTTGTATGCACTCAGAGCCTGTGCCTGCAGTGTGGAGTTCACTATATAAGTTAGTGGTGGTCCGATTAATTGAAATAATTGAAGATTGGTCGTAGTGACTAAATGACCAAGCAATCGATCATAATTTCTCATAATACACAAACAATTCTGGAACACTTGTTTTCATTAACAATATTTTTCACATGGTTGGTTTTGTCTGTTATATTTCGTAAGCACTACAAGCTCGTTTCAAGTCATGATTGAATTTAACTTAAAGATTCCAGGAAAGTTATGTTCCTAACATACTAGTCATCCTTTAAAGATATGAAATTTGGCCAATACACCCCAATAGAACTACATGGTTTTTGTCCTTATTTTTAAACGCATTAACAAATTTCATAAATGACGCTAACCAATTATTTTCGCTGATTGATCGGTAGTAATGAACCAATCATCAATTATGAGATTTTAACCAATTCGCAACACTAATATAAGTGGCCATATTATTATTATTAGAACTTTTATACCTAGCCAGACTTAATCATACCTATATTTTGCACCAGGTGGAGCTGCAGATCCTCGGCCCGTACATGAGCGGGAGGCGGGGGCTGTATGTTGCCGTCTGCCTCGACATCTACTCCCTGTGGCCGGAGGTTACCACACTGGCTGACAAGTCAGCACCAGCCATCACACACTTCCTCCTCAACCTGGTCTGTCGGTGAGTATCTATGCTGGACAAAACTGGATGTACTTAACATATTTTCCGTGATTCTTGTTACCAGGATCATGGTGGAGAAATGCACATCAGTCAAAGGTCTGTTTTCAGAGTCTGTTAACTGCATTCAGGTCTCCTGTTCAGGATGACAGGGGACTGTGCAAGGATTGTGCAGAGTTCGGTCCCTTAGTTGTGCTGCAATCTGCCTATGGGCTATAATGATGTATTTGACCATCTTGTGTGTGTTTCCCAGACTCATATTCATGCTTGTTGGTTCATTTAAGTGGTTTTACCAGTATTGACTTTACTTTAGCTTTAAAGTTACTTCAAACCACAACAGTTTTGAACGTAAATATAATAAGTTTTATGATTAATGTTCAATCTCATTGAATTCACACTTGAAAGAAGATCCAGTAGATGGTAATTGGTAGATTGTCATGTGTGTTTAGCTTCTAATTCTAGGCATTCACTTTATTCGTTTGAATATATTTTGATCATGTTGTTGAGCAAATGAACTTTCTCTACCATTGATCTGTTTGATTGGCATTTTAGAAGTTGGTGAGTAATAAGAAAGTGGTGGTGGTGGTGGAATTGGGTTTAACGTCATGCTTGAGAATATTTCGCTCATATGACGACGTGCATGCGTGTGTATGTGTATGTGCGGCTGCTTGTACTAGCCCAGACTTAAGCTGGTTTTATAGTGCTAGCCCACTGTTATACCATGCCGCAGTGAAGCATGAATACCCCACTCAGACACATTATACTGACTCCGAGCCGACCAGTCCTTGATGTACCCATTAATGCTGAGCGCCAGGCAGGGACCGACAAGTACCATATTTAACGTCTTTTGGTATGACGCAGTCGGGGATCGAACCCGCGACCTTCCGCACTCCGGGCGGATGCTCTAACCACTACACCACGGAGGCGGTCGAGTAATAAGAAAGTAAGATAACTTATGGATAACAACTTCTTTATTAATAATCATATAATAATAATATTATATATATGATGCGACGTTTCGGTAAAGAGCCTTATACCGTTGTCAACCACTCTTGCTTGACAGCGGTATAAGGATCTATACCGAAATGTCGCATCATAAATAATAAAGAAGTTGTTATCCATAAATTATCTTACTTTCTTATTTCACTACCATTGTTTCTACCATTGGGAAAAGTATCTGTGACTAAGTGTTTTTCAATCAACTCTGGATGAACCATTCATACTTCCATACACACAAGAGTTGGACATCACAATTACATATTTCCTGACTGAAAGTATAGGTAGATAAAATCAGTATGATACAACAAATATGCACATGACTGTGATATTTGTGATAATCTGAATCAAGATTAGATAATTAGCTGTAAATACTGAAGAGGTAGCGTCTTCTAAACAGAAAATGCTGTACAATATCTAAGAGTCAATACCCTGACTTAAATAATTTGTGGCTTTGTTATACAGTATGTTAAGATTTGTCAACCATTATCTTGTTCCTGATGTGAGGAAAGCATATGTGCTTGCATGTATTTAGCTGATGTTTTCACTACTGGATTTTGCCACAATTGACCTGTTTTTCAGGTATGGTGTGATGAAGAGTATCATCCTGCGAGAAAATGACTCGACAAAGTTCAGCGACATCCACATTCGATCTGACCTGTTGAGTAAGGTTGGCATTGACCTTGACCTTGAGAACTTTGTTGTTTCCGAAACAAGTGAGTAACAGTGACATCCTTTGAAACCTTTAGATACATGTCGATACTAATGTCGATACTTGTCGATACTTGATTCTGTTTGTCAACCAGTGATCCTGTATGTCGATGTGTGAACCTGAAAGACCCCCTGTGATCTTGTATGTCTATCTCTGATCTGTATGTCACATCTGTGATTCTGTGTGCTTTGTTAGAATGTAATGACTTTGAGGATATTCCAGTTTGTTCAAGACATCGCTATCTGCACTTTGCCATTGTCCTAAATATTGTTGCCTGAATACTTCCTTTTTCCAAACTGTTTGTGCCAATTTTTGTGTCACTCACAGTACATATCAGTACCAAAATGAGTTTGAAGTTACATGAAAGTAAGTCTGGATAGCTGTAGTGCCTCTCTTTTGGGGAATATTCTTTGAGGACTGTTAGTCTACGTATTGAAATCATGTTGTAAGATGTCTTGTATACAGTATCCTGTTATGGATACTAAAAATGTAATTTTTAAGTAAAATTGATATTTTATACTTATCCTGACTCATGATCTTTGCTTATCTCCCTTTTCCTTTCGAATGGTAGTGGAACACTTTAATCCCTTGAAGTTCCCGAAGCGGACGTACAATACTCACCCACGAGTTACCTCCCTTCCTCTTTCCCGAGCAAACATACCATGTGACGTGCCCAGACTTGTCACTCTCTCCTTATAATTTCGCCCATGCACTTGGATCTGCTGTGAAATCACAAGTGTCTTCAACGGGGAGGTTGGGAGGGCTTGTTCGTCATGAGTCAGGATAAGTATAAAATATCAATTTTACTTAAAACATTACATATTTTTCCTTATCCTGACTCATGATCTTTGCTTATAGAATCCATCGGAATAGGTGGTGGGTCAAGCCACTGGATTCAACAGCTGTCATTAGATAGGTCCTGTATCCCCCCCTTGGGAACTGCAAACGGCATATCCGTGGTCCTATTCTTCCAACTTGCGTAGTAACTCGGGGGGACCACTCCTTGTCTTACTTCAATCTCAGACAGGATGAATCATGTTGATTCGTGTGGTTATAAATAAACTAGTATCTCCTGTACTAGATATCTTATAACAACCCATGGATTATGATAAGGTCTTTATCATAAATGAGTTGCGATCCCTTTATGTGCAGGTAAGGTCCTTACCCGCACAGGATCTTAATCACACATGCTAGTCTGTCCTAGACTTTCAACTTCAGAAAAGTCGATAAGTCAACGTGATAAGGGGTGAGATTTCTTGAGACTTCAGTTGATGTCCTCCAGTGGATAATGGGATGAATCCATTATTGTCGGCTTAGAATTTCCTTGTAGAGCTAGTCCTCGCCAGTCTTAGTCTTTTGAAGATATATCTTCAAGGCTCTGACTATGGGGCACAAGGATAAGTCCTCTTGATATCTTCTCCGGGCGAATAGGAATTTCCTTCTGTTAGAAGATATATCTTCAAGCTCTGACTGGGCACAAGGATAAGTCCTCTATATCTTCTGGGCGAACTGTGTGGTAATGGAATTGTCTATCTGGTTGACCAGGTAGTTGATTCTTGGCAATAAAGTCCCATCTAAGTCCTAGATGAACTGTATTATTCTGCCCTCTATCGAACGTCGTTCGACCGTAGTCCAGCGCATGTATCTCCGATATGCGAGCTGCAGTGGCTAACGCTAGCAGGAACAGCGTCTTCTGTGTTAGCAGCTCGATCGTGATCTGGTCTAGTGGTTCATAGACATCACTGGTAAGATGATGCAGAATTACATTCAGGTCCCAGGCTGGTGCTCTGAATTTCTTTTGCTGGTCTTCCAACTTGAATGATTTCAGCAGAGCAAGTAATTCTGGTACTTTTGTCAACTTGATGCCTGTTTTCATGGTAATCACTGTACTGATGGCAGCGAGGTAAGTCGATAGAGTTGAACCTTTTAGATGTCTGGTCTGTCTCAGATGACATAGATATTCCGCCACTTGAGGATGCGTAGCTGTTATGGCTGTGAAGCCTTTCCGCCTTGCGTAAGTTTCAAACTTCAGCCATTTATCGTTGTATAGGTTGCGAGTCGATCTGCGTAACGCTAGAGTTACTGCTTTGGCTGCTCTGGCGGAGTATCCTCTTTTCTTCAAACACATTTTGATACAGTCCACACATGTAGCTGGAACACTGCTGGGTTTCTGTGGACTTGCTTGGTGTGCGGATGTATCAGTAGGTTCGGCCAATCTGGAAGCTTGATTACTGGGCTTCCTAGGGTTTCTAGTAGATCTGGGAACCATGCTCTCATTGGCCAGTAAGGCGCAACCAAAGTCAGTTGTAGCGTCTGTGTCTGTTTGATCTTGACCAGTACTTTTGGCAGTAGTATCGGGGGTGGAAAAGTGTAGCCGTTTAGTCCTTCCCACGACATGCTCAGTGCATCTGTTGCCCAGGCTTGAGGATCTGGAACTTGTGAGACGAACGTCTGCAGTTGTTTGTTGAACCTCGTGGCGAACAGGTCTATGGAGGGGAATGCTATTTCCCTTACGTTCCAAAACGCTTCTGGATGGAGCATCCATTCTGTTGGCGATGGGTGTAGTGGTCTTGAGAGAGCGTCTGCTAGTACGTTCTTGGCTCCGGATATGTGACACGCTTTTATGCAGATGTCTGCTTTTTGCGTGATCTGGAACAACTGGAATGTGAGCTGCAATAGGCTTGGTGATCTTGTGGATCCTTGCCGGTTTATAGAGAACGCCACTGTGGAGTTGTCTGTGTGAATCATCAACATCTTGTTGTTCAGCAAGCTCGACCATAGTTGTACTGCGTTGATCACTGCTTTCATCTCTAGTAGATTGATGTGGAGCTTTTGTTCTGTATGAGACCACTTTCCCGACGCTACTTGATCGTTGAGATGTGCCCCCCATCCCTGCAACGAGGCATCCGCGTAGAGGTGTGTCTCGAAGACCGGCTCTTGTAAATAGACTCCTTCGCAGACATTCGACCTGTGTGTCCACCATAGTAGATACCTCTTGAGGTTTTCGGGCAGCAGGATAGGGTTGACACTGTTCAGATGCTTTATGAGGAACCGTTGTAGCGGTCTTAGCTGTAACCTTCCTATGTGCGTCAAGTCTTGCGCCGAGGTTAGTAGACCGAGTAGAACTTGCCATGATCGTAGTGTTAACGGTGACTGCTGGCGGAATCATGGCTTGTATCTTGACCCATCGATCCTCTGGGATGACGATTCGATTCTCTGTAGTGATGAATCTTATCCCCAGGAATTGTAGATCTTGTTTTGGCTCCAATTCTGACTTCCTTAGGTTCACCAACCATCCCAGTTGAGTGAGCAACTTGATCGTGAAGTTCATCTGTAGTCTGAGTAGACTTGCATCTTGGTGGACCTGAATCCCGTCGTCCAGGTAGAAAGCATTGCGTAGACCTCGTAGATGCAGGTATGCGACTATAGGCTTGGTTATTCGACTGAATAGCCACGGAGCCGAAGATATTCCAAATGGTAGCACGCTCCATTGGTAGTGTTGCCCTTTGAACAGGAATCGTAGATATTTCCTTGATTCTTGATGTATCGGGATGTGCAGGTACGCATCCTGTAAGTCTATGCTTGCCATGTAATCTGCTGGACGGACGAGTTGTTTTAGTTGAGGTTGGTGGATCATGCTGAACCTGTCTGGTTTCAGTAGATAGTCTCTGTTGAATTTGCGCATGTTGTAAATCAGTCTGAACTTCCCTGCAGAGTTCTTCTTTGGTACTAGAAAAATTGGGGAGTAGAAGCCTGGGGTGAGATGATTCTGGTCTATTATCTCCACTGCATCTTTCGAGAGAAGTGCGTTGATGGCTTCTTGTAATCTGTCTGCCTGCTCCTCTCCGTACTTGAAGACCATTGGGCTGAGGGTTAACGGAGGGGCATCTTTCAGTTGTACTTTGTACCCTTCTCTTAGTACCTGAGAGGCGAGTCGCCTCCTAGAATCCCCAATTTTTCCAGTACCCTTGTAGACGTCCACCCACTGTCGATAGTTTTACAGGAGCGGCTGGGGTGGAAGACTCCAGTCGTTCGAATTGTGGCTTCAGCGTCTGGTACTTCTGGAAGCTCTGGGGCGCGGCCTCTTCCTGAGTTTTCCTCTGTAGTTGCCGAAGAGGGCGATGAAAAAGTCCTTCCACGCCTCTGGAGCTGGAGTACTTTCTGTCTTTAGCTCTCTGTATCCCAGCGTGCTTAGACTTGTTGTTGTATCTCTGGGAAGTATGGCGGATGGCGCTGGCCAAGGTGTCTATGGTCTTGATCATCATGACCTCTCTGGAGTCTTGTGTAGCTTGTTTAGCTGCATCATCCAATAGACAATCCAAAGATGGTAGAAGCCTCCCCACGGAGCTCGTGGTAGTAGAGGCTGCGTAAATCTGTCATTCCAGGAGCAGGACGCCAGTATACCCTGTCTGCGTATTAAGGTGATTGCCGCCGAAATTGATGTGAGGTGGTCCGATAGGAAGAACTGATCCTTCTTTTGTGTGACGAGGGCCGAGTAGATCATTTTATCCTCTTCCGTGGTGGAATTTTGGAATTTCTGTATCAACGCTTCGTTGATGGCCCTAGATCTTGCTATTCCGAAGAAAGATCTTCTAGAAGCTGTATCTTCACCTTATACACCTTAGTCCTGGCATCGTTTACCAACTTGATGTTGTCGTCTCACTCCGGCGCCTTCACAAATGGTTCCATGTGATGTAGGGGAAATCTCTTCTTATTAAAAGATGGTAGTTGCTGCGTCTGGAACTTAGAGGCCTTCCGAAGGCTGTGTGAAGATTGTCCGGTACGCTGGATATAGGCTCGATCGGTGGGATTGTGACGGAGTCGAAGTCATCATCCTTCATCATGTAGGTGTAACTTTTGTTCCTATCTTTAGATGGAGACTCCAGGTTCAATCCGCTGGCAATCCAAGCCGTTACTTCAGAGTCAGAGAAGACGGGGTCCGTAGTGTCTTGATTCAGAGAGCTGTGTCTTGTTGACGCATCTCTGTGTGAGCCTGTATCCCTTCGCGAACCTTCATCTTGGGTTCACGAACCTGCAGCTAAAGATTCCTCCCTGTGCGAACGTCTGTCATAGGAACGTTCCCATCGCGAACGTCTCTCTCTGGAACCTCTTCGCGAACCTCCGTGTGGTGAGCTGTGCCTTCGCGAACGACTGCCTGGTGATCTGGATCTGGATCGGCTAGGCGTCGGGGCAGGCTTCTTAGAGGTTCGCGAACCTTGAGGGTTCGCGAACGTGGACTGCGTCTCATCTGGGCTGTCTCGTAGTATGAAGGAGTCATCTGGTTGTGGAGCCCTTCGCGGAGGAGTACGTTCGCCAAAGTCAACTGCCGGTGTAGCTCTGATGGGTGTAGATTTGCACAGGCCAGTGGGTTGTCGCATGGTATCAGAAGACTGTTGGTTCTTCCTTGATTCTTGCTGGAATCTCTGCTCCATCATAGCCATCATCTTGTTGGTGAACTGCGTCATGAACTCCCCGGGTTGAAGTTCTGCATTAGTTGTGTCGGCTGCGATGCTGTTTTCCTTGCCTCAACTTCTGTCCTCGAAGTAAGAGGTCTTATGTCAAACAGCTGGCCTGCTGTGACATTCATAGGTGATGATCTAGTAGTAGTTGACATCGACTGCGTCATAGATGTCATCGATACCTCGGGTAGAAGTATAGGGGGGTCGTCAAACACGTCTTTCTCATGCGGCGGTACGATCTCATCGTTGAAAGATTTCTGCGTAACAGCGGTAGCACGTGTAGTTTTGCCCTCAGATCTAGTACTCGTAGATCTTTTCTGTGTAGTAGAAGAGGATGCCATCTTCTTCTTAGACTGGGATGGCGTAGGTTGCGAGGATGATGACCTTTTCTTAGCCCCCTTTGCCGCAGACTGGTTCTGTAATGTACTAGGCAACATATCACTATTATGAACTTCAGCAGCAAGCAACATACGGTTTTTGGCCTGATCTCCAAATTTATCACATGTGACTAGAGATGTCTTTTTCAACTGATCCATGGCACGTCTATAAACATAAGACAGATATTGATTAAATTGTAATTCAGTTAAATCAACACAGTAGCTACAATGCAAGGTGGATGAACATGGATCTGTACAAGATGGACATTGGGGGTGAGGATCAGCCAGCGACAACCTGTCTTTACACACACAACAAGATTTCATGAATTGTAAACAAAGTTACAACACGATGAAAAACACGACTCAAAGTCAATAAATTCCAACAAATTTGTACAAATATTACATCGTAATTATAACCAAAACCATACACAGCTTAATTTAGAAGAATAGGCCTAAATATAAATGATAGATTGCCGTATACGGGACTCAGTGCTCGCCCAACCATCCGCTTGGGCGAAAAGGGAGAGAGTGACAAGTCTGGGCACGTCACATGGTACGTTTGCGCGGGAAAGAGGAAGGGAGGTAACTCGTGGGTGAGTATTGTACGTCCGCTTTGGGAACTTCAAGGGATTAAAGTGTTCCACTACCATTCGAAAGGAAAAGGGAGATAAGCAAAGATCATGAGTCAGGATAAGGAAAAATCAGCAAACTGCTTACAAGGTGTTCAGCACATGTTTGCTGTGTGTTTGTAGAGGACGTATGGGAGAACTTAGAAAACTCCATCTCCACATTCATCTCAAGTGAGCCAGACTCATGGAGTCAGTGCCTGGAGGTTTGTCTGATGCCCCATCGAGTATCTCGTCCCCAGCAGGCAGAATATACACCAGCTTATTTGGCTCATGGAAGGTGAGTAGAAACAGGCAGAATATACAGATACACCAGTTTTCTTGGCTCATGGAAGGTGAGTAGAAACAGGCAGAATATACACCAGCTTACTTGGCTCATGGAAGGTGGGTAGAAACAGGCAGAATATACACCATTTTTCTTGGCTCATGGAAGGTGAGTAGAAACAGGCAGAATATACACCAGCTTACTTGGCTCATGGAAGGTGAGTAGAAACAGGCAGAAAATACACCAGTTTACTTGGCTCATGGAAGGTGGGTAGAAACAGGCAGAATATACACCAGCTTACTTGGCTCATGGAAGGTGAGTAGAAACAGGCAGAATATACAGGCAGCTTGCTTACTTGGCTCATGGAAGGTGAGTAGAGAATAACAGGCAGTACTCATGGATGGGTAGAAACACAGAATATACACCAGCTTACTTGGCTCATGGAAGGTGGGTAGAAACAGGCAGAATATACACCAGCTTACTTGGCTCATGGAAGTTGGGTAGAAACAGGCAGAATATACACCAGCTTACTTGGCTCATGGAAGGTGGGTAGAAACAGGCAGAATATACACCAGCTTACTTGGCTCATGGAAGGTGAGTAGAAACAGGCAGAATATACACCAGCTTACTTGGCTCATGGAAGGTGAGTAGAAACAGGCAGAATATACACCAGCTTACTTGGCTCATGGAAGGTGAGTAGAAACAGGCAGTACATGCAGATACACCAGGTTTATAACATACAGGTACATACATATATGTACAGGTACATGCAGATACATACAGATACATACAGATACATAACATAAAGACACAGGTACATACATATATGTACAGGTACATGCAGATACATACAGATACATACAGGCACATAACATAAAGACACAGGTACATATATATATGTACAGGTACATACAGATACATACAAGCACATAGCATACAGATACATGCATATATGTACTTGTACAGACAGATACTGGGTACATACTGTTACATACAGGAACATAACATACAGATACATACATATATGTACAGGTACGTATGGGTACTTGCAGATACATAGAGTCTACATGTTTTACATTATCAAGACTAACTTAACAGTATTTTGACTTTTCAAGTGCATTGTCTGTTTTGTAAATTGGGAGATATTATGAGAGGCATGTTTCTAGTAACTAGAGATTTTATTCTCCTGTATTTCAGAGAGTTTAGTTTACCCGTAGAACTGTCTCACCAAGATACCAACACATACATAGACGTGAACACAACAAGTAAACAGAAGGCGGAGACCACAGCCAGCCTGATGGAGGTGCATTGTGGGTACAGGGACAGTCTGCGGACTGTCAACACCCATCATCGGCTGCCATCTGTTGGTGCGGGCACAACTCCTTACGTGGCCTGTATTGAACCAGGACATGCGTTCCCTGTCATCAAAGTTGCAAGTGTCACTGTGACGGGGGATGAGGCAGAGAAGTACAAGCACAAGGATGCCAGGGCGCTTCCCAGGAACACCCAGGTGAAGACGGTGTCTGTCGCTCCGTCCAAACCACTGGAGAAGGGGCAGAAGAGACTTGTTGTTGTGTCTGTCATGGAGAGACATCTTGTGAGTAGTCCAGTGAGTGAGTGGGTATGTGGGTGGGTGGATGGGTGAGTGAGTGAATGGGTGGGTGATTGGTTGGATGAGTGAGTGAGAGTGCATCTCTGTGTATATTTATTTCAGTGACACCATCTATGTGATAAGCAAGAGCCTAGTCACGTGGTCAGAGGGATCATAGGCATGTCCGATCCAGAGGATGGATTGGTTGGCTGATAGTGAGTGAGTGAGTGAATGCATGACTGTCTATTTATATATGTGACACAATCTACATGATAATCATGAGTCTAGTGATCACAGGGACCATAGACATGGCAGATCCAGAGGATGGATGGGTTGGCTGATAGTGAGTGAGTGAGTATGGTTTTACGCCAGTTTTAGCAATATCACAGCAGGGGACACCAGAAATGGGCGTCACGGGTTGGTTGATAGGTTGATGACAGCGCATTACTTTGTTTATGTATATTTGTTATCTACATCACCGACAAGATTATCATGTGTCTAGTCATAATTTCACCCTCCACCACATGTCCTTGAATGATGATTGGGTCATCTTGTGTGTTGAGAGGGAGAAGGAAGATGAGTCCGATGCGGCGACAGATGCTGCTGCTATGAAGATGGAGCAGGACGACAGCTACGTCGACGATGGCGCGATACCCACACAAGACATGGACCCTGACTACACCTCCACCCCGGGCTTGCGTAGAAGTCGGAGACAGGAAAAGCAGACGTCACTCCCACAATCAGACAGAGTGACGCGGAGGTCGGGCAGGAAGACCTTGCTGACTCCAATAGCGAAGGCATCCGAGGAGGGTGAATCTCCGATGGTTACCGACCATCCTGTAGATAGAGTGTGCTCATCAGGAATGCACGGTCTGGGATTCGGGGTAAGTCCTTGGGGCAGAGAGCTTGCTGATAGTGGTATAATAATAATTGGCTTGTATAGGGCCTAGTTTCCATCACAGATGCTCAACGGTGCTGCATACATCGTTAAAAACACAATAGGTGTGAAAAGAGTTCTATTCAGAAACCATCTTGAAGAAGTAGGTTTTGAGCAAGTTCTTGAAAAGTGACTGGGACTCAGTATCATTATTAGTAAAGTAACAATGTTCTATGATTGTTTAAACCTCGATTTATCTTGACATGACAACACAGCAGATGCTAGTCATTTTCCTCTAATTTATATTCAATTTTCCAAATTCATATGGTGGTGGGTGGTCCCATGGCAGCGTAGACCACAAATCAGGTGAAGTTAAGCATTAGTTGCAGAAATTAGTTGGTGGGTGACTGTTTGGCAACTTGATTCCTGAGAGTTATAAGGCTTCAGTTCTGCCCTACACTGAAGCATGTGTAGCAAGTGCCGTGCCTCCTTATACAGAACTTTGTTCAGAGTTTGCCTCTTGTCATCCAGCAGTGAATGGGTGCCAGCAGGATGAGATGATAATTGGACAGTTACCCTAGTGCCTATGGGACAGTTGGGGTTGTATACTCCTAAGAAACATGAGAATAAAAATTAAGTGTCCACTGATTGAGTAGCTGGATTCAAGTTCTAGCGTTTTTAGCATGCTTTAGTTTTAGGGGTGGATTTGGCACATTATCATAATGTAAAAATAATTATAACTGGCATCTTTGGCTCAAATGTTTTACTGGGAGATGAAAATGTTACTTATTAAGAAAAGAATGCAGTGAAATGTTTGAAATACTTCTTGAATTCAATCCAGTAACATTTAGCAGCCAATCAGACTGAAGTATACTCTTCTGTTACTTTAAATATGTATTAATCACTGACTCACTCGCTCCTCAGATGGAAGATCTGGATGCCTATTACTCAGCTCTGGAGCAGTACAAGGTTGACGGCAAGTACCCCGATGGCTTCACTATCCACCAGAAACGTGTCCTGCGTAAGATCAGCCAGAGTTACTTCCTCCTGGATGGTGTGTTGTACTACCTCCAGGGGGCCAAGGGCAAGAAGAAAGTTGTGATCAAGACTGCAACACAGAGACTGGCACTGCTGAGACGGGCACATGTCTCGGACACAGGTAATGTTAGATTTATCTCTGACACAGGTAATGTGACAAATATATCTGACACAGGTAATGTGACAAATATCTCTGATTTAGGTTATGTCAGAAATATATTTTCAGGGGTGAAAATAACCTATTGCCCGACGTCCGAGTCCAGTGCTTTTTTCTGTCGGGCAAGCAAATTTGTATATCACGCTGTACCGGTGTCCAGTTGACTTTCCAATGTTAATAATGTTGTTTATTTAAGAAATTAACAAGAAAACGGCTGGTATAGTGGAAAAATGATCAGGGCAAGTGATTTTACATGTGCCACTGTACCAGAGTACACTAGCAATTTTAAAGTTATTTCTACCCCTGATTTTACACAAGTAATGTCAGGAATATTTCTGACACAGGTAATGTTACGAATATCTCTGACACAGGCTCACCAATACTGTAACATCTGAATATATTTGTAGGAACTCATGTATGTCGAACCAAAGTGATTGACCGACTTGATTCATGGAATACATACTGGAAGGGTCTGACATTAGACTGTGAAGCATTTGTTCGTGCATGTCCGTCTTGCGACCATGGCAAGGAGAGGACACGATCAGACCACAACACAACACTCAAACGGGCAGATGGCACCATGGATGAAGAAGAGCTTGACATTGACATGGATGTATCAGGAGTAAGTAGACAGGATATTGATGTCATCTAGGATATCTGTTCAGAGTAAGATGATGATGGAATTATTTGATCATTAATTTCATTTCAATCAACATCAGTGTGTATCTTAAAAGAAAAAGATATTCAACTGCAGTCATAATGAACTGTGAAAAGGACCACTAATTTAAGTTCGTACTATCCATAATTTGTTATAGGCTTTTTGACTAAAATATACCGCAAGTGTCAGGGACCACACCTTTTACAACAAGCATGGGTTCCTGAAGACCCATTCTGACCCAGATCTTTATGGGTCCATAGTCATGTAAAACACACGTGCATGGCCCAGGTGGTATAAGTTGGTTAGCTCCCCACTTTGTGTGTAATATGGACCATATTGTCCTTGTGTCTGGTAACATGTATCTGGGCATCAGGATACAGATGATGGCGGGGAGGAGAACTATGAGGACCTGCTGGAGTATCTCAAGAAGCAGAAGTATCCCAACAGCTGCAGCAAGAACTTCAAGTCCAGTCTGAGAAGGAAGAGTAAGAGCTTCGTGCTGATCGACTCCGTGCTGCACTACGTCTCCCGACACAGCAGCGAGGACCAGCCAAGACGGGTGCTTATCTCAGAGGAAGAACGGACACAGGCCATCAGAGAGGCCCACTCAGGTACTAATCATCTTTTAAGTTACACTGTCACTGGATACGTGCCGATAGTTGGTGAAGGGGAGGAAAGTAGTGGGTGAGTGAGTGAGTGAGTAAGTATGGTTTTTCGCCGCTTTTAGCAATATTCGAGCAATATCACGGCAGGGGACACCAGAAATGGGCTTCACACATTGTGCCCATGTGGGGATTCGAACCCGGGTCTTAGGCATGACGAGCCAACGCTTTAACCACAAGGCTACCCCATCGCCTTGTAATTGTTTAGGATATATAGGAGCAGGTTACATATCAAGTGAAGTTGAGCAACACTTGTTGACGAATTTGCTATTCACCCAGCAGTGAATGGATACCCGGTAGGATCAGATGATAATGTGTCTCTTAACCTTACAGTGCCACTGGTACCTTGGGTTGTTCACTGTGTGTTTCACCTGTGTTCTCTGTAAGATTATTATTATGATTATTATGATTTCAAGATTGTACGTTCATTAATGTGGATTTTCAAAACTCTTCTGTTGACATTGTAATTATCTTTATATATATGCTAACTTTCCGTTACTCCTGACAAGCAGGAATATATGAGATGATTATGATAAAATAATCCGCATTTAATAACACACTTCATGCATTTTGTTCATTTCATTTCATTCACCCATGAATATGCTCAGTTAGAATTGGTCATCAGGAACCCATGCATGATGTTACCGCCTCCGTGGTGTAGTGGTTAGAGCGTCCGCCCGGAGAGCGGAAGGTCACAGGTTCGATCCCCAACCGCGTCAAACCAAAAGACGTTCAAATTTGGTACATGTTGGTCCCTGCCTGGCGCTCGGCATTAATGGGTACAACAAGGACTGGTCGGCTCGGAGTCAGTATAATGTGTCTGAGTGGGGTATTCATGCTTCACTGCGGCATGGTATCTCAGTGGGCTAGCACTATAAAACCAGCTTAAGTCTGGGCTAGTACAAGCAGCCGCACATACACATACACACGCATGCAAGTCGTCATATGAGCGAAATATTCTCAAGTATGACGTTAAACCCAATTTCACCTCACCTCACCTCACCTCACCTCACCTCACCTCACCCACCTCATGCATGATGTAAGGCCACTACGGGAATCAGCTAGTCAAGCTCATTGACTTGGCTAATGCATGTCAGCATATCCACATTGCTAACATTGATGGTAATGATATCAATCACTGGATTGTCTTTCTGAATGTAGCATTAAACAACAAACCTACAAGCACAGTTGTAACTCTTTCCCATTCTACTTTGATTGGCATTCTAGAAGTTGAGGAGATGAAGAATGAGGACCATTTTATGGATACACAACTTCTTTGTTCTGTATATGCGACATTCCGACATAGATTAAACTCTTATGTATACAACCATGTACGTCCTCTCTACTGGCTTCCAATCAACCTACTTAATCCTGTATAGCTTCTGTGTTATCAGCCTCTTCTATTATATAAACAACTCATTTTTGCCTCGTCCCTCATCTATTGTCAAACATCTCATGTAAATATCACCCAAAATTACTTCTCATTTACCACTTGCTTGACAACGACATTAGAATCTATGTCGGAACATTGCCTATATAGAATAAAGAAGTTGTATATCCATAAAATTGTCCTCATTCTCTAGGGGTGGTGGGTAGCCTAGAGGTTAAAGCATTCGCTCGTCACACCGAAGACCCGGGTTTGATTCCCCACATGGGTACAACTTGTGAAGCCCATTTCTGGTGTGCACCGCCGTGATATTGCTGGAATATTGCTAAAAACGGCGTAAAACCAAACTCAGTCAGTCAGTCCTCATTCTTTATTTCCCATTCATCACACATATATGTTTATGTTGGTCCCTCAGAGCATCACTATGGTCGCAACAAGACATACATTGTGGTTCGTGACAAGTACTACTGGAAGGGGATGACGGAGGACATCACTGACTTCGTGAAGAAGTGTTGCCAGATGGAGGTACGCTGCCACACTATGGAGGAGGAGCTGGTGAGACGCCGGACGCACATGACTGACCGGGTCAACTGGTTCAAAGAGAAGATTGCCAGTCAGGTGAGTTACTTGGGTTTCTGGGTGGTGGGGTAGCCTAGTGGTTAAGCATTTGTTCGTCATGCCGAGAACCTGGGTTCGATTCCCCACATGGGTACAATGTGTGTAGCCCATTTGTGGTGTCCCCTGCTGTGATATTGCTGGAATATTGCTAAAAGCGGCATAAAACTAAACTTACTCACTCACTTGGATCTCTGGTGTCTCGATGGGAAGAGATGAGGTGAAATGGGTCTTAACATGTTGTGCGCAGCAGGATGTGGTGCAGATTGCACTGACCTGATTGTGTTGTGTGCAGCAGGATGTAGTGCAGATTGTACTGACCTGATTGTGTTGTATGCAGCAGGATGTGGTGCAGATTGTACTGACCTGATGGTGTTGTATGCAGCAGGATGTGGTGAAGGTTGTACTGACCTGATTGTATATATTGTATGCAGCAGGATGTGGTGCAGATTGTACTGACCTGATGGTGTTGTATGCAGCAGGATGTGGTGCAGATTGTACTCACCTGATTGTATTGTATGGGGCAGATTGTACTGACCTGATGGTATTGTATGCAGCAGGATGCTGATCTCTTGGGGGAGAATGTGATGCAGATCCTGATGAAGACAGAACACATGGAGACAGAGGAGGTGGATGATGTCAGTGTTGCGGAGGTGGCTGCAGTGAAAACCCTGGTTGATGTCTCCCAGTCCCACAAGGTGTACCAGGACATGGAGTCACATGGTCCCTCCCAGAATGATGGTGGAGCTGAAGGAGGAGCTGAAGGAGGAGTTCAGATGGACAAGAGTGGTCATGAATCAGTGCCTCGACAGCCTGAAAGAGAAGTGCCTGTTGATGAGGCAAGTGTTGAACCAGGGAATTATGTGATAGATGTGAAGGTGTACACTGATGTGATGGATTCTCAGGGTGCTGGATCTCACAATGTTGTTGTGGAATCGGTAGAGCCACAGAAGGGGGGTTCCCCAACATGTTCCGTCCAATCAGGAGGCCACCTTGGTGGTGGACGTACAACCAACCACTAACAGTCTAGTCAGTAACACTCAGGGACTGGATCAGTCCGTATCCCATTCCACAAGTGCTATGATTCCGGAACAAGGAATCCCTGTGACCACTACTCGGTCAATGTCAGACAGAGTGGACATGGTCATGGTGCCGTATGATCAGTGGAACACTCCTGACCTGAAGATGCTCAGTGAAAGAGTCCGGATGACCAATCCAGGGGAACGTGTCAGTGTGGAACAAATCCAAGACCAGGAACAGTCTGTGATCCTGTCCAAAGTGAACAATGCCACCATCAGTTCAGGGAATGCTTTTGCAGAGCTTGTGAAAGCCACAGTAGGGGACCTCACTGATGAGGGAACAGTTGAGAAAGTATCGGAAACTACATCAGCGGTGGCGTCCATCCCTGATCCCTCCTCGACAGAGGATGCCCAGATGGAGGTGGACGAGGACGAGGATGAGGACTATGCTCACGAGGAAGATGAGGCCCGAATCCGATGCAGAGAAGGAAGTCAAGGATGTTGAGATTAAATTGCAGGTGGCATCAACTCCCAAGAAAACACCCAAGTTTACCTGTGAGTTCTGCAACAGGGAGATCAAGGGACAAGTTAATTTCAAAAGTAAGACTTTTTTCTTATTTCTTGTGACCCATGAAGATCCGGGTTAGAATATTGATCTTCAGTAACCCATGCTTGTCGTAAGAGGCGACCAACGGGATCGGGTGGCCAGGCTTGCTGACTTGGTTGACACATGTCATCGGTTCCCAATTGCGCAGATCGATGCTCATGCTGTTGATTACTGGATTGTCTGGTCCAGACTCGATTATTTACAGACCGCCGCCATGTAGCTGGAATGTTGCCGAGTGCGGAGTCAAACTAAACTCACTCACTCACACTTATTTCCTGTGATGAGTATAATGATAATGATGATTATTAATGACAGTCATGAACATTCAATAGGAAGTATGATAATTATACACTTATATTTTGTATAATTGAATCATGAATATTGCATTTGAGCCCACACATGAACCTTGGAAGATCTGGGTTAAAATTTGTCTTCATCAACCCATGCTTGTTGTAAAAGGCAACTAATGGGATAGGGTGGTCAGGCTCGCTCACTTTGTTGACACATGTCATTGTATCCCAGTTATGCAGATCGATGCTCATGATGTTGATCACTGGATTGTGTGGTCAGATTATTGACAGACTGCCACCATTTAACTGGAATATAGCTGAGTGTGGAGTTAAACAACAAACAAAACAAACAAACAAACAAACACGTGAACAGGTGTAACTAATCAAGATAACAATCACTGGATAATCTTGTTATTTGATTAGTTGCACCTGTTTGTCTGTCTCTGCTTGGAGTGAAAGTATAAGGTATTAGGGGTTACAGAGATTCAAAAGATGCAAGGACAAAACAAAAGAGTGATAAAGTGGAACTAAATGTATTAAGGAGAATAAAATGAAATACTGTCTGATTACCTTGTTTTCAGTGTGCCATGGCATATGTACTACAGTGTATTATCAATTTTTCTGATATACGTGCAAGTATATCTGTTGTTGTCTACGAGCCTGATCTGAGTAAAATAATTTGTTATTTGAAAACGATTCATAAACACATCCTCATGATAGTCAGGATTTTACAGTTTTCTCATTATATAAAGGATTCTGCCACTTTATATGTATATTTGAATTACTTTTGTTAGGTTTTAGCCTAAATATACATTGACAAATATATGTTAATGTACTAGACCAAAAGATATTTTGCTTGACGCTGGCTTCTGGCCAGTGGTTAAGATGATCAACTCATCTACCTTCATGTATTTCCTGTATCCAGTGCATGTATACAAACACACCGGCATCAAGCCCTTCACTTGCGATATCTGTCCCAAGAAATTCAGCAACAACAAGAGTCTGCGCATCCATCTGCGGAAACATACGGGAGACACTCCATACCTGTAAGTGTTCATAATGTTACCTGTGAAAATCCGAGCAGCCCATGCTTGTCGTAAGAGGTGACTAACGGGATCGGGTGGTCCGGTTCGCTGACTTGGTGACATCATGCTGTTGATCACTGGATTGCCTGGTCCAGACTGAAATATTTACAGACCGCCGCCATATAGCTGGAATATTGCTGAGTGTGGTGTTAAACAACAAACAAACCATAATGTTGATGTAAGAAAAGTACAAAAGCTATTATTCTTCCATAAATTGGGGTACAATGGTTAAAGCGTTAGCTATTCATTCTTCCATAGTTAGCCCATTTCTGGTGTCATGATGTTGCTGGAATATTGCTGGCGATTGCTCAGTCAGTCAGTCCATAGTTAGTTTTCATCACCGAATTTGTGCTGTGTTGCTACAGAATAATGCATTGTGTATTGTAGCATTAAGTTTATATTGTGAGACATGGTTAAACTGTAAAGAAAGCGGAAGGTAGGTTGTTTGATGATGTCATACGATAAGGCCTAAAAACAAATGTTGTTCCGATTACCAGACAGACCCTTGAATTCTGGTGCCAACCCTAATTTGTTTATGCAGTCTAAATGAAATAAGTTTTTAGATACCATTGTTTTGTACCCGGCACCAACGGACATTGGTCATTCTGATAGAGAAAGTCGACATGATGGCCGAAACCTTGATTGAATAAACAATTATACATTGATGAATGTGTTAGTTTGTACTTTACTTCTTAAAAAAATTATTATAAAAAAAAATCCTACCTACCCACCCAAAATTTTAAAGAGGTGTAATCGGAACCACAATATTTTTTGTATTTGGCCTAAGACACCATGCCATGGGATGTAATAGTCTGGCCTGACTCTACGAATTAAGACTGACCTCACTGTTCCCATCTTTGAAATACATGCTGGTCTTCTAGCTTGAGACAACTAAATTGTGCTGAGGACAAGGACAATTGCAGTAATGGTAGTTCTTGATCACTAGAAGCATTTGAGGGTTGTAACTCTGAACCAGTCCTCAATGCTTCAATTTTGCTACCAACTGGATCTGAATAAAACTGACAGAAAATGGAAACATAGTAAACAGTTTTGTTTGCGCTTCACCAATTTTAAATTCTCAGGATTAGTGAAATGTGGTTCTTTTTAATCCTGTTGACTTGTCCTAAAAGTCAGTTTGTTTGCTGCTGGCCTGCTTCGGTGAGTGACTGTTTTATCGTGCTTTTAGCAATATTCCAGCACTTCGGGGACAACTTAAATGGGCAACTGAAATGGGCACCACACATTGTACCCATGTGGAAAATCTAACCAAAGTCTTCGCTGTGATGAGTGACGCTATAACCAATAGGCAGCTGCCCCTGCTAAAGAATGAATGTGCACACATTGTAAGTCTAATACTAGGAGCACATCAAGTTGTGACATACCATTATATATTTTCTCATTTTGATTCACAGATGTAATCTATGTGGAAAGGGCTTCTCCCGAGCGACGTCTCTGCGGTACCATCTGAGGGCTCACGAGGAGGGAGGAGGTGTACCTGTGACTTGTGACGAATGTGGACGTGATTTCACCACACCGAGTAGACTAGACAAACATAAAGCCTGCAAGCATCCTGTGGAAGCCCCTGTGTTCCAGTGTGCCGACTGTGGCAAGGTGTTCACTGCTCAGAGTGAGTACCTTGGTTTTGTTCCAGATTAGGGGAGAATGAGGGGAGTGAGGGAGTATGGTTTTACGCCGCTTTTGGCAATATTCCAGCAACATCACAGCGGGGGACACCAGAAATGGGCTTCACACATTGTACCCATGTGGGGAATCGAACCGGGTCTTTGGCGTGACGAGCGAACACTTTAACCACTAGGCTACCCAACTGCCCTTAGGGGAGAATGATTGAGGGAGTATTGTTCTAGCAATATTCCAACAATATCACGACGGGGGTACACTAGAAATGGGCTTCACACATTGTACCCATGTGGGGATTCGAACCCGGGTCTTCGGCGTGATGAGCATACACTTTAACCACAAGGGTATCCCACAGCCCCCATATCCTGATAACTGAGTCCTAAAAAATTTCTGTTACTATTCACATTTTACACCAGTATAACTTGTAATGTGTTGCAGAGGTACTATGATACAAGAGTATTGATGTATGGGGTTGTAAGCCTTGTATGGTGATACAGTACTATATTGTTGTGTCGTATTGTGAGTGCTACATGGCCTTGCATATATTCCTCTATCACCCTTAAATATGTCTGTCGTGTTGAAGAGAGCATGTCTAGATGCCATTTGGTGTTTAATACCACACTCAGCAATATCCCAGCTAGATGAAGGCAATCCAGGCTGGACCAGACAATCCACTGATTGCTACTTTGAGCAATGATCCAACTGTCGGGGTACAAGGACACTGTATCTATCAAGTTGCTGATCCATTCTGTCACCTTCACGGGTTGCTGGGGACCTGTTCTCACCTAGAAACCCCAGAACAGCCTTACACGGCCTGCATATATTGTATACGGCCTTTTCTAACCCACAATGACCTCTAGGACAGTTGTAAAGAGGTAATAGAATGATTCGTTAAAAACTGTGATAGCATCAGCCATATGGTGATGGAGAAATATGTTGTATACCCGTGAACATGGTGCAGTATTGGTGAGTTTAATGAAATATCCAAGGAGTGAGTGAGTGAGTTTAGTTTTATGCCGCAATATTCCAGCCATATGGCAGTGGTCTGTAAATAATCGAGTCTGGACCAGACAATCCAGTGATCAACAGCACGAGCATCAATCTGCGCAATTGGGAACCGATGACATGTGTCAACCAGCGAGCCTGACCACCCGATCCCGTTAGTCGCTTCTTACGACAAGCATGGGTTACTGAAGGTTCATTCTAACCCGGACCTTCACGGGTAAAATATCCAAGGAGGGTGACCCAGGGGAAGTGTGGAGAGTCGTTCCAGTTGTGAACTATACATGTTGGTGAAACCCATAAGCTGATAGATAGAAATTAATCATTTGGATTTTAAAACCCACAACCTTTGAAATCTCTGAAACCAGAGTCTGCCATTAAAGGGGACTAAGTGGATTGGGTGGTCAGGCTCGGGGGCCTGATTTTTTGCATGGAATCAATGCTGATGTCAGTCACTGGATAGTCTGGTCCACACTTGCTTGTTCATAGGCCACAGTCGTACAGCTGGAATATTGCCCCGTGCAGCAGACTATAAATAAAACATAGATGGCTCACCCATGTCCTCTTGGTTGGAAGGATGTACTTGGGTTGTTATTGGCCATATGTGATGTAATGTGCGTCAGTGTAATATTGCAAGCATCTCCTCATCAGGAGGTCCTGGTTACATTAACTGTGACATATGTCATCCCTGTAAACTACAACATGTAATTGAATGAGTCCATTTGTAATGTGCTTAACTCCACGCCAAAAGGCATGATCATAGTGCTACAAATTTGACTAGTGAACTAGTTTAAATATTTCTTGAAGAGCAGGGCCCCGTTCCACAAAGCTCTCGTAAGCCTAAGATCTCGTAACTTTTCTCGTAGCACAATCTTACGATTTTATGGCCATTTCCAATTCAAAGGACGAGAAATTCGTTTTTCTAACCCTTCCCTTTGACTTCAAGTCCTCAATTGTACGGCGGGTTGTCGTCTGTTTAAACAAAGGAACGTAACTCGCAATCCATGTTCTTTTCAAGTCTTCTCAGCAAGTAACAACGAGAGTACTAACATACTTTCGTGAGTACTTTCGTGAAACGCCCTTAGCGTGGTATCGTAAAATATATCGTAGGTGTTACGAGATCTTAGGCTTCTGAGAGCTTTGTGAAACGGGGCCCAGGGTCTTTAGGTCTGACTTGAAAACATCAAGAATTGGCGCTCTTTTCAACTGTTCTGGAAGAGAATTTCAAAGGATTTCAGCTTGAGTGGGAAATCGTCTGTAGCCAAATCCTTTAAGTCACCACTTGGGGACAATACAGAGAAACGGATCTTAGTGTTCTAGTTGGGTCATATTGCTTAATCAGCTCACAGAGGTATGGTGGTGCTGTACCATATAGACATCTATATGTGAGTGTTAGTCCTTTGAACTATCCTGGCTGGAATAGGCAACCAATGTATGAGACTGTCTGGAGACCAGAGTGATGGGGCTTTGATTCCTATATGCATCATACAAAAGATGTCAAACGATGGCACTGTTTGTTACCTTGCATTGTGGGGATAAAATAAGGACTGCTTGCGTCGAAGATGTTATCTTGGGCAAAGTTAGTTACGGCATTACCTCACTTCACCTAAGGTGAATATTGGGTTTTTGGTATCTATTCTAACCTTGAATCCTGACTGATGTTCACATCATTGCTACAGTTCATAGCAGGGGTTCAAAATCTTTTTAAAAAATTACTTGCCACTTGGCAAGTGACTTTAAGAAAGTAACTTGTCCTGACTAACTTTCCACTTGCCCTGATTTTATGAAATAATCATGATGATGTAATTATGAAAGAATAAATCAACATGGTTTTTGATGTTAATGTTTACTGGACTATTTATTGAAAAGTGATAAATAGCAAAGAAAGATAACTCTACTTTATTATCATTGCAAAATTTAATAACTACATTTTGAGCAGATATGGAATTTGATCCAAGTTTATTTGCAGTTTGAAACCATAAGTGGAAATTATCTAGTAGCCCACGGACAAGTAAGATACTATTATTTGATTGCCCGAAATGAAAACTGACTTGTCCCGGTGGGTCGGGCAATGGGATTTTTGAACCCCTGCACAGCTATTTCTATTGCCAAGTGCAGTGTTAAACAACAAACCAAATCATGACTATCTCAAGGATAGACAATCACACCCAACCTCAGCAAACACCTGATCCCCACCAGCTCACCTTGGTTGAATTGCATGTCCTGGGTCAGCCCCAATCATGAACAGCAAAGATTCAGTTCACTAACCAAGTACTATCTTTCACGGAATCATATTTTTTTTACAAAGATGTAATAATAAATGTGTTTTCTGTTTCAGGGAGCTTAAAACGGCACATGGTCTCCCATCAAGGAATCCGTCAATACCAGTGTGAGGTTTGTGGCCGTGGCTTCTTCCGCAAGGAGTACCTCAACAGTCACCTCGCACAACATCCTGAAGCCTTCGATGTCAACAGCGGCCACAAAACTATAAAAAGCCGAACCAAAAAGAAGCCGGTTGTTGTTGACCTTGACCCTAACACAGGTTTACAGGTTCAGTCTGTGGTTCAGGTGTCAGGGAACCAGTCCACTGCCCAGACGTCGGACTCGACAGCGTATGTGTTTCCCCAGGAGAGTGTTCAGTATGAAGTGGAGTGTCTGACAAGCGAGTCAACTCTCACGGAGGCAGACCTCAAGGCCATCCATTTCCTTGCTCAAGCTAGTATACATGGCCAGTTCTGAACATCAGAACATCCAGCTACAGACTTGATATAAATATCAGAATATCCTATTGCAGAGACGTTCTTAACATCAGAACATTGGAACACCAGGATGTGGACAAGTTATGAACATCAGAACATCCAGCTGTGGACAAGTTATGAACATCAGAACATCCAGCTGTGGACAAGATATATTTATCAGAATATACTGCTGCAGAAAAGTTACAAACATCAGAACATTGGAACACCAGGCTGTGGACAAGTTATGAACAGCAGAACATCCAGCTGTGGACAAGTTATGAACATCAGAACATCCAGCTATGGACAAGATATATTTATCAGAATATACTGCTGCAGAAAAGTTACAAACATCAGAAAATTGAAACAGCAAGCTGTGGACAAGATACCAGCAGCAGAATATCCTTATGCAGACTGGATAAAAACATCACAATATTCTGCTGCACACTTGTTCTGAAGATAACATTGGAACACCAGGATGCGGACAAGTTCTGAACACAAGAACGCCATGCTGCACTCATTGGACTGGGCTGTCATAAATAGCACCTGATAATGATATGTATCATCAAAACATTGTGATACTATGAATGAGAGGGGAAAGAGTTAAACCTGCATGCATATTTTTAGACATTGTCATGATGATGATGATGATGATGATAGAGTTAAACCTGCATGCATATTTTTAGACATTGTCATGATGATGATGATGACGATGATGATGATGATGAAGATGATGATATAATCATGATACAAACATTGGATCTCAAGTGTTCTGAAATGGCATGTACAGTATATATTACACCAGACTGATGGGACCATTGATGACCGATTTGCTCCACAACATGAAATACCTGATTCATGGTAAACATGATAATCAACCGTTCTAATCCGATATCTTATTATATTTCATATTTGATCATGTTTCCACAGGCTTTTTCATGCTTATGATGGACAATATCCTTTCCCCGTTGTTTTTGGCAGCAAAAATCACCAACATTTTACACCTTTTGAATTTGCAATTTTAATTATGATAATACTGGTATACAGTTAAAGATACTTCCTGACATCATGGGAAGAGATCTTACTGATGAAACGAGGCCTGGTCTGTGGCCAGCATTTACACAGAACTTACATTTTATTATGTTGTTTGTGTAGAATAAAAATACGGGCTACCATCTCCCAATGGTAAAGGAGTTGTGTTCATTTAATTTTTATTTAAAAAAAATAAAAAAACTATATAAAAATTGAAATAAAAATAAGAAATGAACATGTGAAGGAGTCAAGTCTATTTTCTACATCAAACAGAAGAGAAATGCATAAGAGAAACAAAGATGACTTTTATTTGGTAGATTTTGCAAATTTGGTCCCACTTTGATGTTGTTTTGGCTTGGTTGTTTAACGCTGCACTCAGCAATATTCCAGCTTTATGGTGGAGTTCTGTAAATAATCGAGTCTGGACCACACAATCCAGTGATCAACAGCACGAGCCTCGATCTATGCAATTGGGATACATTAGTCGCCTCTGACGACAAGCATGGGTTGCTGAAACCCAATTCTTCAGGGGGTACAGTTGAGGATGGAGATGAATTCACTGGTAGACAATGTATCTTAGTATTTTCCATTGTCTGAATTTGTTCCGGTTGTGAATAACATTAACATTGATGTCTTTCAGTGGCATTTAGAAGTTGTACATTGATGTCCAAGATATTTTTATGGATTAAACTTCTTTTTTAATTTCTCTCAGACGTTTCGAGACCATTCCATCAGGTGAACTGGCAGTTAGGACTATGGCGATGTCACTATGACGTCATAACTGCGATCACAATCAAGTGACATCACAGTACACTAGGGAGAGTACTGTATAAGTGAGTTTGAAGAATTAATTACATAATGATGAAAATTTATGCTAAATAATAGAGTTGAAAGTTGAATTGTCAATACACAACAACTGCTAATTACACAAAGGTTACCAAAAAGAATAGTAGACTCGTTTTTTCTTTTATCTAAAGTTCATCAAAAGTTAATCAAGAGGTCCCACGATCAATATATTGGCGAGACTCTCAGGCCCATTAACACCCGGGTTGCTGAACACAAGTCACCAGTATGCAAACAAAATGATAAGTCAGCTATATCGGAGCACAAGGCAAATAACCCAAGTCATGTTATCATGTGGAATGATATTGGGGTGATTTCGAGAAATAACAACGACTGGCGTCGGAGAAAACTACAGGAAGCTGTCGAGATAAGGAGACATAAACCAGCAATTAATTTACGCATGATCAAGGTGTATACCTGCCAAGTCGTGGGACCTCTTGATTAACTTTTGATGAACTTTAGATAAAAGAAAAAACGAGTCTACTATTCTTTTTGGTTACCTTTGTGTAATTAGCACACCATAGTGTCCTTCCAGTCATAGTCCTAACTGCCAGTTCACCTGATGAAGGGACCTGGAATGGTCTCGAAACGTCGTGAGAGAAATTAAAAAAGAAGTTTAATCCATAAAAATATCTTGGACAACATTAACATTACCCATCAAGTTGTTCTTCCAGCATGATCATTACCCATCAAAGTTGACCTTCCAGCCTGCATTATCATTACCCATCGAAGTGGTCCTTCCAGCCTGCATTATCATTACCCATCGAAGTTGTCCTTCCAGCCTGCATTATCATTACCCATCGAAGTTGTCCTTCCAGCCTGCATTATCATTACCCATCGAAGTTGTCCTTCCAGCCTGCATTATCATTACCCATCGAAGTTGTCCTTCCAGCCTGCATTATCATTACCCATCAAAGTTGTCCTTCCAGCCTGCATGATCATTACCCATCGAAGTTGTCCTTCCAGCCTGCATTATCATTACCCATCAAAGTTGTCCTTCCAGCCTGCATTATCATTACCCATCGAAGTTGTCCTTCCAGCCTGCATTATCATTACCCATCAAAGTTGTCCTTCCAGCCTGCATTATCATTACCCATCGAAGTTGTCCTTCCAGCCTGCATTATCATTACCCATCGAAGTTGTCCTTCCAGCCTGCATTATCATTACCCATCGAAGTTGTCCTTCCAGCCTGCATTATCATTACCCATCAAAGTTGTCCTTCCAGCCTGCATTATCATTACCCATCAAAGTTGTCCTTCCAGCCTGCATTATCATTACCCATCAAAGTTGTCCTTCCAGCCTGCATTATCATTACCCATCAAAGTTGACCTTCCAGCCTGCATTATCATTACCCATCGAAGTTGTCCTTCCAGCCTTCCCCATCAAAGTTGTCCTTCCAGCCTGCATTATCATTACCCATCGAAGTTGTCCTTCCAGCCTGCATTATCATTACCCATCAAAGTTGTCCTTCCAGTCATTATCTTCCAGCCAAAGTTGTCCTTCCAGCCTGCATTATCATTACCCATCGAAGTTGTCCTTCCAGCCTGCATTATCATTACCCATCGAAGTTGTCCTTCCAGCCTGCATTATCATTACCCATCGAAGTTGTCCCCATTCCAGCCTGCATTATCATTACCCATCAAAGTTGTCCTTCCAGCCTGCATTATCATTACCCATCGAAGTTGTCCTTCCAGCCTGCATGATCATTACCCATCGAAGTTTTCCTTCCAGCCTGCATTATCATTACCCATCAAAGTTGTCCTTCCAGCCTGCATTATCATTACCCATCGAAGTTGTCCTTCCAGCCTGCATTATCATTACCCATCAAAGTTGTCCTTCCAGCCTGCATTATCATTACCCATCGAAGTTGTCCTTCCAGCCTGCATTATCATTACCCATCAAAGTTGTCCTTCCAGCCTGCATTATCATTACCCATCAAGTTGTCCTTCCAGCCTGCATTATCATTACCCATCGAAGTTGTCCTTCCAGCCTGCATGATCATTACCGATCAAAGTTGTCCTTCCAGCCTGCATTATCATTACCCATCGAAGTTGACCTTCCAGCCTGCATTATCATTACCCATCAAAGTTGTCCTTCCAGCCTGCATGATCATTACCCATCAAAGTTGTCCTTCCAGCCTGCATTATCATTACCCATCGAAGTTGTCCTTCCAGCATGATCATTACCCATCGAAGTTGTCCTTCCAGCCTGCATTATCATTACCCATCAAAGTTGTCCTTCCAGCCTGCATTATCATTACCCATCGAAGTTGTCCTTCCAGCCTGCATTACCCATCATTACCCATCGAAGTTGTCCTTCCAGCCTGCATTATCATTACCCATCAAAGTTGTCCTTCCAGCCTGCATTATCATTACCCATCGAAGTTGTCCTTCCAGCCTGCATTATCATTACCCATCGAAGTTGTCCTTCCAGCCTGCATTATCATTACCCATCGGTTGTCCTTCCTCCAGCCTGCATTATCATTACCCATCGAAGTTGTCCTTCCAGCCTGCATTATCATTACCCATCGAAGTTGTCCTTCCAGCCTGTATTATCATTACCCATCGAAGTTGTCCTTCCAGCCTGCATTATCATTACCCATCGAAGTTGTCCTTCCAGCCTGCATTATCATTACCCATTGAAGTTGTCCTTCCAGCATTATCATTACCCATCGAAGTTGTCCTTCCAGCCTGCATTATCATTACCCATCGAAGTTGTCCTTCCAGCCTGCATTATCATTACCCATCAAAGTTGTCCTTCCAGCCTGCATTATCATTACCCATCCAGAGGTTGTCCTTCCAGCCTCGCATTATCATTACCCATCAAAGTTGTCCTTCCAGCCTGCATTATCATTACCCATCTGAAGTTGTCCTTTAAGCCTGCATTATCAATACCCATCAAAGTTGTCCTTCCAGCCTGTATTATCATTACCCATCGAAGTTGTCCTTCCAGCCTGCATTATCATTACCCATTGAGGTTGTCCTTCCAGCCTGCATTATCATTACCCATTGAAGTTGACCTTCCAGCCTGCATTATCATTACCCATCGAAGTTGTCCTTCCAGCATTATCATTACCCATCAAAGTTGTCCTGCCAGCTTGCATTATCATTACCCATCGAAGTTGTCCTTCCAGCCTGCATGATCATTACCCATCAAAGTTGTCCTTCCAGCATTATCATTACCCACTGAAGTTGTCCTTCCAGCCTGCATTATCATTACCCATCAAAGTTGTCCTTCCAGCCTGCATTATCATTACCCATCGAAGTTGACCTTCCAGCCTGCATTATCATTACCCATCGAAGTTGTCCTTCCAGCCTGCATGATCATTACCCATCGAAGTTGTCCTTCCAGCCTGCATTATCATTACCCATCAAAGTTGTCCTTCCAGCCTGCATTATCATTACCCATCGAAGTTGTCCTTCCAGCCTGCATTATCATTACCCATCGAAGTTGTCCTTCAGCCTGCATTATCATTACCCATCGAAGTTGTCCTTCCAGCCTGTGTGGGCCTCATGACAGCATCCAGTGAGTGAGTGAGTGGTTCTGGATGAGCGAGCTAGCATTCCTCTGGAAATATTCCAGCAATATCATGGCAGGGGACACCAGAAATGGCTTCACTCACTGTACTAATGTGGGGAATCGAACCTAGGTCGTCGACATGACAAGTGAACACTCTAACCACTAGACTACTCCACCATCTGAGGCAAGTGAATGCTTCAACTGGTTAAGCTAAACAACAAAGTCTGTCATATACACAACAAACATCATTGCATGGAGTTTTATGGTTTATTCTCTATCAAAACAACACTATATGACATAAAGATGTTGGCTTGATGCCTTCACACAATGCTAATCCATCACTTTCAGCACATGGACATAGTCTGCAGCAGGAAATCTAGTCTGTTTGAAACTGAAAACTGGAGCCATTGACAAACAAAAGTAACGTGAAGCACTTCAAAACAGATTACATTTGGATAATAGTTGGAGCTAATCCTTGGAGCTAATCCTTGTCCTACACAGATTAGCTTGGGAAAACAAAACTGTCCTGGTCAATTATCAGTACCACATTATGACGGAAACTGGAGGCCTAAGAGTAATTGTAATAATGAAGCCAGGATAAAGCACAATACAATACAACAATATATACAACGGCTTCATATACACAGTACAACAAAACAGGCACTTTGGTTAATAGGCAGCAGATTTATCACACCTGGGACAATATCAACAAATTCCACATGAAACCAATAAATTTATCTCTGATAGTCAAACAACATCTATTTCACAAAAACTTCGACTGAACTTGTTCCACAAACACATCAGCAGCAAGCATATTATGTACAATGACAACCAAAGTCAAACCCAGGCACGGTACCTTTACAATGTAATTCCAAGTTTCTATTATACATTGGTAATAGTCATCACAACACGCCAGTATTGCTAATAATGCATACCTGGTATATAATGCATAATAATGTTCTCTTTATACTAGGTATGTCTGATCTACAACACAAGGCATTTTTCTCAACACAAAACGACACAATTCCCTGATACAGGCAAAAGGTATTGTTCCCTCTTATTCAAAATTTCTATTGTAAGAATATACTATACTACTAAAAATAAGTCGAAGACCACTCAACTGTTTCATAAAATTATAGTTCATCTGTCACAGCAATATCGATACAGATTATTGAGATCTATAATTGTTACCTGAAATTCATTGATTATTGATAGATATTGGAGAAGTAACTTTGAGGAAAAATGACAAACCTTTTGATAGAAATCAACATATTTCACATCACTGGTGAGAGGTGACATATTTGAACTTGGATTACTTACAAAACACCGCCCTGAACATAATCTAGATTTAAGACCAAACTTTGTGTATTGTAAATTAAAATTTATTTCATCTCAATAGTTTATGTATGTTATTATCAATGGCACAATTTTCATATCAATAATCTTTGATAATTGTTCCCATCAATGATATTTTGATCCTTTTAGCAGGGTATGAAACTTGACCTTCCAGCCTGCATTATCATTACCCATCAAAGTTCTCCTTCCAGCCTGCATGATCATTACCCATTGAAGTTGTCCTTCCAGCCTGCATGATCATTACCGATCAAAGTTGTCCTTCCAGCCTGCATTATCATTACCCATCAAAGTTGTCCTTCCAGCCAGCATTATCATTACCCATCGAAGTTGTCCTTCCAGCCTGCATGATCATTACCGATCAAAGTTGTCCTTCCAGCCTGCATTATCATTACCCATCGAAGTTGACCTTCCAGCCTGCATTATCATTACCCATCAAAGTTGTCCTTCCAGCCTGCATGATCATTACCCATCAAAGTTGTCCTTCCAGCCTGCATTATCATTACCCATCGAAGTTGTCCTTCCAGCATGATCATTACCCATCGAAGTTGTCCTTCCAGCCTGCATTATCATTACCCATCAAAGTTGTCCTTCCAGCCTGCATTATCATTACCCATCGAAGTTGTCCTTCCAGCCTGCATGATCATTACCCATCGAAGTTTTCCTTCCACCTGCATTATCATTACCCATCAAAGTTGTCCTTCCAGCCTGCATTATCATTACCCATCGAAGTTGTCCTTCCAGCCTGCATTATCATTACCCATCGAAGTTGTCCTTCCAGCCTGCATTATCATTACCCATCGAAGTTGTCCTTCCTGCCTGCATTATCATTACCCATTGAAGTTGTCCTTCCAGCCTGCATTATCATTACCCATTGAAGTTGTCCTTCCAGCCTGTATTATCATTACCCATCGAAGTTGACCTTCCAGCCTGCATTATCATTACCCATCGAAGTTGTCCTTCCTGCCTGCATTATCATTACCCATTGAAGTTGACCTTCCAGCATTATCATTACCCATCGAAGTTGTCCTTCCAGCCTGCATTATCATTACCCATCGGAGTTGTCCTTCCAGCCTGCATTATCATTACCCATCAAAGTTGTCCTTCCAGCCTGCATTATCATTACCAACCGAGGTTGTCCTTCCAGCCTGCGTTATCAATACCCATCAAAGTTGTCCTTCCAGCCTGCATTATCATTCCCCACTGAAGTTGTCCTTTAAGCCTGCATTATCAATACCCATCAAAGTTGTCCTTCCAGCCTGTATTATCATTACCCATCGAAGTTGTCCTTCCAGCCTGCATTATCATTACCCATTGAGGTTGTCCTTCCAGCCTGCATTATCATTACCCATCGAAGTTGACCTTCCAGCCTGCATTATCATTACCCATCGAAGTTGTCCTTCCAGCATTATCATTACCCATCAAAGTTGTCCTGCCAGCTTGCATTATCATTACCCATCGAAGTTGTCCTTCCAGCCTGCATGATCATTACCCATCAAAGTTGTCCTTCCAGCATTATCATTACCCACTGAAGTTGTCCTTCCAGCCTGCATTATCATTACCCATCAAAGTTGTCCTTCCAGCCTGCATTATCATTACCCATCGAAGTTGACCTTCCAGCCTGCATTATCATTACCCATCGAAGTTGTCCTTCCAGCCTGCATGATCATTACCCATTGAAGTTTTCCTTCCCGCCTGCATTATCATTACCCATCGAAGTGGTCCTTCCAGCCTGCATTATCATTACCCATCGAAGTTGTCCTTCCAGCCAGCATTATCATTACCCATCGAAGTTGTCCTTCAGCCTGCATTATCATTACCCATCGAAGTTGTCCTTCCAGCCTGTGTGGGCCTCATGACAGCATCCAGTGAGTGAGTGAGTGGTTCTGGATGAGCGAGCTAGCATTCCTCTGGAAATATTCCAGCAATATCATGGCAGGGGACACCAGAAATGGCTTCACTCACTGTACTAATGTGGGGAATCGAACCTAGGTCGTCGACATGACAAGTGAACATTCTAACCACTAGACTACTCCAGCATCTGAGACAAGTGACTGCTTCAACTGGTCGCTAAACAACGAGTCTTATACACAACAAACATCATTGCATGGAGTTTTATGGTTTATTCTCTATCAAAACAACACTATATGACATAAAGATGTTGGCTTGATGCCTTCACACACTGGTAATCCATCACTTTCAGCACATGGACATAGTCTGCAGCAGGAAATCTAGTCTGTGTTTGAAACTGAAAACTGGAGCCATTGACAAATAAAAGTAACGTGAAGCACTTCAAAACAGATTACATTTGGATAATAGTTGGGAGCTAATCCTTGTCCTACACAGATAAGCTTGGGAAAACAAAACTGTCCTGGTCCTACCACATTATGACGGAAACTGGAGGTCTAAGAGTAACTGTAATAATGAAGCCGGGATAAAGCACAATACAATACAACAATATATACAACGGCTTCATATACACAGTACAACAAAACAGGCACTTTGGTTAATAGGCAGCAGATTTATCACACCTGGGACAATATCAACAAATTCCACATGAAACCAATAAATTTATCTCTGATAGTCAAACAACATCTATTTCACAAAAACTTCGACTGAACTTGTTCCACAAACACATCAGCAGCAAGCATATTATGTACAATGACAACCAAAGTCAACACCCCCAGTTTCTATTATACACTAGTTTCTATTATACACTGGTAATAGTCATCACAACACGCCAGTATTGCTAATAATGCATACCTGGTATATAATGCATAATAATGTTCTCTTTATACTAGGTATGTCTGATCTACAACACAAGGCATTTTTCTCAACACAAAACGACACAATTCCCTGATACAGGCAAAAGGTATTGTTCCCTCTTATTCAAAATTTCTATTGTAAGAATATACTATACTACTAAAAATAAGTCGAAGACCACTCAACTGTTTCATAAAATTATAGTTCATCTGTCACAGCAATATCGATACAGATTATTGAGATCTATAATTGTTACCTGAAATTCATTGATTATTGATAGATATTGGAGAAGTAACTTTGAGGAAAAATGACAAACCTTTTGATAGAAATCAACATATTTCACATCACTGGTGAGAGGTGACATATTTGAACTTGGATTACTTACAAAACACCGCCCTGAACATAATCTAGATTTAAGACCAAACTTTGTGTATTGTAAATTAAAATTTATTTCATCTCAATAGTTTATGTATGTTATTATCAATGGCACAATTTTCATATCAATAATCTTTGATAATTGTTCCCATCAATGATATTTTGATCCTTTTAGCAGGGTATGAAACTCCAAAAATTTCAGCCAGCCCTGACCAAAACTTACCTGCCTACAAAATATCTTCATATGCATGTCTAAATTTTAACCAGGTGAATTTGAGAATCTGGCAGTCCGTGTTGAAAATAACCCGTCCCAGGCGGTCGGACAGACAGGTATTTTGAACGCTGCTTTTAGTCATCCCTAAGCAAACTTGTCCGATCAACTGTAGTAATATGACAGAGTGGAGGGTCTGTAACCTGGTTCAAGTGGTATTGTTTACACAAATCTAAGTGTCATTCTGTGTCGTGTACTACATGTGCATCAATAAACCTGTACAGAATATTTAAATGTATTCCTTGCAACAATAGTCGATGAATTCATGTAACATCTATGTACAGAGTATGACATTTACACCATGTCAAGGAGGATTATTACTATGCATTTACACATTTCTCAAGCTATCAAATCAGAAATATTCCTCAAACATAATTCATATGCATATCACACACAGGTAAGAGTCCAGCATGACTATCATAACTATTAATTATATTACATGTATATATGTATATACACCAAGATAATATGCTCTTTCTATACATTCACTGACAATGCATAATTCCACTGCTCATCGAACTATAGTTTGTTGTTGTTTTCTAATGTAGACAAAATTATCGGTTTGAGTCATTTTCAATGTGAGTATGGACATTATAATCTACCTGTTTCTCTTTTATCATAGACCATATTATCGGCTTGTGTCATTTTCAGTACAGACTATATTAACAGCCTGTGTTATACAGTGACAATATTTTAAGTACTTAGAAATTCTGGAATAGAGGATGGTACTTCTAAATTATACAAAGTGAGGGCAGAGCGAGGAGTGCTTAACTGTACTTGAGCCCATTCCTCTATGATCTGATAGATAAGGTCCTGTCTCAGAACACTGACAATTACTTGGGATTCATGAGGGCCATGCTCTATCTAGTCTCTGTGTATCAAGTGACAGCATTGAAACTTATAGTAATTGTACTGATTATGGGCTAACTGACCTATTTGACCTATGACTGACTGACTGAGTTTGGTTTTACGCCGCTTTTAGTAATATTCCAGCAACATCATGGCGGGGGACACCAGAAATGGGCTTCACACTATTTGACCTATGACCTTAATGTCCTCGAGGGTTGTAATGAAACACTGTCATTATAATATATTAACCCTGTTATGTAATGCTGCAATCAAAATGGAGACCCGATTCATCGTAAGCACAGCTGTGTCAATTAAACTCTGGTTCAACATGTATTGCTCATGCCATCAGAGGGTATGTAATAATTCTTATATTCATATAGAGACGTATTCAGAGGCAGGCTAGCAAGCACTAAATCTTGAATCATTTCCTCTCACCTTCCATTTGTGTTAGAATAAACTTGAAAATTTATTTACTTATAATACATAAACAAGAACAGTGTTACCTGTGTGACAAAGTGGAGCCGTGGAAGTTTGTGTGTACCAAAGATACTGTGAAACCTGACAAAAAGGCATCATAAACTGGTTCACATTCTTCATAGGAGTGAGTATGGTTTTACGCTGCTTTTAGCAATATTCTAGCAAAATCATGGCGGGGGACACCAGAAATGGGCTTCACTCGTACCCATGTGGGGAATCGAACCCCAATCTTCGGCGTGATGAGCAAACGCCTTTACCACAAGGCTACCCTACGCCCTTCTTCATAGGAACCATAGAATGCATCAAACCAAATTGTTCGCATGATTCTGTCACAAATTTTTGTTTGCTGCCAAATATGTCTCATCAAAGTAATTGTTACATTACTTACAAATCCAGCCTCCAAATATTATCTAATGCTTCTAACTACTACATTTTAAGAACTTTGATGCAATAATACTGGACAAATCCATACAAGCTTGTCATGTTAAAGTAACAGCCCTCACTTAGAAACACAGACCCTGGGCCCAGTTCCACTAACCTAGCAATGCAAACACCATGAGTAAAATTAATGGGAGTTTGGACGGAAATGGCTTTGTGAATATGATGAAGTTTTATCACTCTTGAAAGACATTTAGTCATGCAAGGTGAATTGTTAGAGATTTGCAGCAACAATTTCTTAACTCTTATATTCTAATTAACTTATATATGACTTTAATTGTGAAGATCGGAGCTCATTACGTCAACCACTTGATTGTCTGAAAATGTAAAGACTGACATATAACTGGAACGTACCTGAGTACAGTATTACACAACACACTGATATACTGAGTTCATTTATATGTGTATTCTCGTGTTTGACAGTATCAATAACAACAGAGACAATTAAAATAAACAAATCCAAATAATGTTGGCAAACCCTGCACCAAAGTATATATAAGACTATAACTAAGATAGTGATAATCTGTTATCGGCAAGACAATCTTACAAGAAGCATTGTTATAATCATGCAAATTATACACTATAGCAGGCCATGTCTGGACGTCCAGAACAGATCCTAACATCCACTCCTCGTCGTCATCGTCGTCCTCCCCTACATCGTCTCTGATTCAACTTCGTCATCACGGTAACGTTACCATTTTATCTGATTACACAGATTTAAGTCATTAGTCGAAGAAAGTCATCAGCATCAAGTAGCTTCTGTTTGTTTCTGTAATCTCTGAGAAGTTCTCGCCACAGTGGGTCACACTGAAGCAGGTACTTGTTACCTGAAGGAAAATTAGTGAAAGTGTTAAAGATACATCAGTGCAAGAACATTAGTTGTTAATATGCAGACAATGACTGGAGTACCAGGATCCTATGGGTCCTAGGATCTTATGTGGACAAAGATTGGGTACCGGGATCCCATAGGGACAATAATGAGGTCCTGGGATCCCATAGAGACAATAATGGGGTCCTGGGATCCCATAGGGACAATAATGGGGTCCTGGGATCCCATAGGGACAATAATGGGGTCCTGGGATCCTAGGGACAATAATGGGGGGATCCCTATAGGGACAATAATGGGGTCCTGGGATCCCATAGGGACAATAATGGGGTCCTGGGATCCTATAGGGACAATAATGGGGTCCTGGGATCCTATAGGGACAATAATGGGGTCCTGGGATCCTATAGGGACAATAATGGGGTCCTGGGATCCCATAGGGACAATAATGGGGGTCTGGGATCCCATAGGGACAATAATGGGGTCCTGGGATCCTATAGGGACAATAATGGGGTCCTGGGATCCTATAGGGACAATAATGGGGTCCTGGGATCCTATAGGGACAATAATGGGGTCCTGGGATCCCATAGGGACAATAATGGGGTCCTGGGATCCCATAGGGACAATAATGGGGTCCTGGGATCCCATAGGGACAATAATGGGGTCCTGGGATCCTATAGGGACAATAATGGGGTCCTGGGATCCCATAGGGACAATAATGGGGTCCTGGGATCCTATAGGGACAATAATGGGGTCCTGGGATCCTATAGGGACAATAATGGGGTCCTGGGATCCTATAGGGACAATAATGGGGTCCTGGGATCCTATAGGGACAATAATGGGGTCTGGGATCCCATAGGGACAATAATGGGGTCTGGGATCCTATAGGGACAATAATGGGGGTCTGGGATCCCATAGGGACAATAATGGGGGTCTGGGATCCTTTAGGGATGGGGTCCTGGGATCCTATAGGGACAATAATGGGGGTCTGGGATCCTATAGGGACAATAATGGGGTCTGGGATCCTATAGGGACAATAATGGGGTCCTAGGGATACTTTAGGGACAATAATGGGGTCCTGGGATCCTTTAGGGACAATAATGGGGGTCTGGGATCCTATAGGGACAATAATGGGGGTCTGGGATCCTTTAGGGACAATAATGGGGTCCTGGGATCCTATAGGGACAATAATGGGGTCCTGGGATCCTATAGGGACAATAATGGGGTCCTGGGAACAATAATGGGGGTCCCTTAGGGACAATAATGGGGTCCTGGGATCCTATAGGGACAATAATGGGGCATTGGGATTGTATGTGGACCAGAATGTGTGGAATAAAAATCTTAGACATAAACATTACACAAGCCAGTAACCTTCATAGAAAATCTTTAAAACATGCCACACACATGGAAAGGTCTCAGTATCACATGATATCAACTGAGCTTCTCATATCCATGGCATTGTTTCTGAAGTCGTGAACAAACACAAACTTCAACATACTTGGGAATCAATTTTGCCAGTTCATAATCTCTTACATAGCTACTGATAAAAAACATGGGAAGCCAAGAAAATGCACACAATAAAAAGCAACACATTTGTACCTACCAATAAGCACAAGTCCTTTTCTAGCTCGCGTGATCGCCACATTAACTTGGTGATGGTCTACAACTGCTCCCATGTTGCGGCAAATCCAGCCACTAGTAGGTTGTCGTTCTACCTGACATTTAGGCATCGATCGCACAGTTGATATTATAACATAGTCCCATTCTCTACCTGCAGAAATGGAAAGGAATTACATAAATAACCAACAGCTCTTACTCCTTGATCAGTTACTTCACACCAGCTTTTACTGAATCATTACAGTAGTCAGTTATTTCCACCCAACCATTATATGTCCAAATCTCAAAGCATCACTAGTGATACAGAACTGATTCTGGCTTCCTATGCATTATATTCTCAGACAAGAAGGATCTTCATTCTTCACACTGAAACAATGACAGCTTGAATGCTTCCACATACTATGAACATGATCAAAACATGATCAGATCATGATTGCTAATCGAGCAATGGAAGCATTAAAAAATCTTAACTGAGTCCCATACCTGCTCTATCTACCCAAGAGTAAATGACTACAGGCCGTTTGAGTCAGAAACGGACCGATGAATTGCAAATTTTATCATTGTACAAAATTGCCACATAAATACAAATAGTATACATGTTTATCATTTACTAATACCCAACAGCTTTCTTATATTTGAAAATTTTCCGGACTCCACCAAAAAAGTTCTTTAAATATATCATTAAAATTTTGACACAGTTCACTATTTGTTACGAGGGAGGAGTGCAGAGAAAGGGACAGCCAGGTGTTAGAGAAGCATGTGCACAAGTGCCCACCAAGTTATTGATTCATTAGCCTGTGCTGTGCCGTCCCATCCTTTCTTGCACACCTGGCTGTCCCTTTCTCTGCACTCCTCCCTCGTAACAAATAGTGAACTATGTCAAAATTTTAATGATAGTTATTTAAAGAACTTTTTTGGTGGAGTCCGGAAAATTTTCAAATATAAGAAAGCTGTTGGGTATTAGTAAATGATAAACATGTGTACTATTTATATTTATGTGGCAATTTTGTACAATGATAAAATTTGCAATTCATCGGTCCGTTTCTGACTCAAACGGACTGTACTGTGTGTTGATACTGTGTAAGGATACAGTCCAACACTGTTTTTGAACTCTCATAAGTTGAACATAAGGTTGTCTCCATGCAAAAGCTTGTTTATTGCATTGTCCTTCTATATTCATCAACGTCCAGTGGCAGAGAACCTCATAGCTTGAATAATTTACTTGTGTCCTTTGAACTTGGACAGTGTTCGGCTGCTTCTCACTAAGTGAGTTCGGTTTTACATTGTTTCTAGAAACATTACAGCAATATCACTGTGAGGGACACTGGAGCTAGTTCATGTTCAGTTGGGGCTAGCTAGTGGTGGTCCGATTAATTGAAATAATCGAAGATTGGTTGCAGTGACTAAACGACCAAGCAATCGATCACACAAACAATTCTGGAACACTTTTTGCATTAACAATATTTTTCACAAGGTTGGTTTTGTAAGTTACATTTCATAACCACTACAAGCTTGTTCCAAGTCATGATTAAATTTATCTTAAAGACTCATGGAATTTTATGTTCCTAACATACTAGTTAAGTAGTAATCCTTTCAAGATGTGAATTTGCCACACAAAAAACCCCCAAAGAACTACATGTTTTTTCATTATGTTTTTTTTCAGTAACAAAAAACAACAACAAAAAAACATGAAAATTTCATAAATGACGCGAACCAATTATTTTCGATGATTGATCGGTTGTAATGAAGCAATCATCAATTATGAGGTTTTAACCAATTCCCAACACTAGGGCTAGCAATATAGTTTTTGAGTCATTTTCTTTGTTTATGCCACTAAGCACTAATTCAGCCTTAAGATGGCGATAATCTGTTCGAACCAGACAAACAGGGGATTGATATAATGAACAACATACCTTGCCAACAATGTATGCAATGAACTAAGTTGCCATGTGTGAACACATGATCATTTACTTTTCTTATAAACAGTCCAGCAAACAGACGACTTGGGACATAATCTCAACCAGAATCGCTACATCCTACAGACTCAACTTTAATCTGACCAATCACACCTGGCCATTACAAAAGCTGACAGAATTACCAAAACACACAAGAGAAGCAACTTTACCTTGACTCGCTAGAACTGTGCAGACGGTTATTTTGCGAAGTCCCTTCAGCTGCAGTTTTTTCTGAATAGCGGCACACTGGGCTTGGTGTTGTGATAATACTACAATATCAGACTCACTCACTCTGTACCGGTTAACTAAGCTAGTGGCGATAGTAACCTGCAACACGAGACAAAACAAAACACAATTATTAAAACCAAAACAATATACCAGACATGTAAAACATGGCTCAGCTATTTTGTCAAGTTTTGTACAACAGATACATTTTTACAACTAAGATTTGTTTTGTTTGTTGTTAAATGATGCACACAGAAAGTTTTCAGCTATTTGATTGCAGTGTGTAAATAATCAAATCTGGACTAGATAACCTGATGATTGAGATCATGAGCATCTACACTATTGGGGATATGATGACATGCCTCAACTAAGCCTGACCACTATACTAGGTGAGGTGAGGTGAAATGGGGTTTAACGTCGTGCTTGAGAATATTTCGCTCATATGACGACGTGCATGCATGTGTATGTGTAGGTGCGGCTGCTTGTACTAGCCCAGACTGAAGCTGGTTTTATAGTGCTAGCCCACTGAGATACCATGCCGCAGTGAAGCATGAATAACCCACTCAGACACATTATACTGACTCCGAGCCAACCAGTCCTTGTTGTAGCCATTAATGCCAAGCGCCAGGCAGGGACCAACAAGAACCATATTTTAACGTCTTTTGGTATGACGTGGTTGGGGATCGAACCAGCGGCCTTCCGCTCTCCGGGCAGACGCTCTAACCACTACACCACGGAGGCGGTCACTACTATACTAAGAATGAGTATACATGGCATACATATTGGTTAAAAGGTATCACAACTTCAACAGAAACAAGAGGACATGGTCATCAATATTTCTCCCCGCCAGTGTCCTTTTCCTGTTTGGTTCCTGTTTTTTAACTCCACCATGACATTTGTGTCCTGAAAACACATACCACATTTGGTTTCCCTATCTATAACAGTAACTGAGAAAATCTTTTCCCATTGGGGATAACGTGAACTACGTCAAGAAACGCATGACAAGTGCAATAACTCTGTAACAAATTGTAACACGGTACTCCATCAAGGCACTCATGTCAAACACATACCAAATTCCGTTTCCCTATCTTTAACGTTTTTTGAGAAAACCACTTTCATGCATGATTATGTAATCACACTTTCTTTCTCAAGCCAATATGGAATTACTTTCGACATTCAAAAGTTGACACCTGTTGAGCTTTGTTTCCTATAATTCCCAATATCTGTTCATCACAAAACAATTTGACGTACAGCGTAATTGACTTCCCGGTCGTTGATCTTGGACTGAGTGGAAGTGGCAGCAGGTGTCTGCGAGTCCTCGGTGCCAGCAACATGGCAGAAGGTAACAGGCTGGTTTCTACCGTTAGGCCAGATTGACAAGGGGGCGGCGTTAAGCTGAGACGACGTGCCACATTCCAGGCGATCAGAGTAGAAGTAACGAGAAGGGAACTCAGCTATTCCTTCATGCTGGAATGAAATGTTACACTTATATGAATGACTCTATTTGCTTACGACTATATATAATAATCAATAATCACTTTGAAGAAATATTAGTATGATGTCTTGTAAAAGGATGTCTGTAACCTGGAAATTGGCTTCATGACCTGTCAAGTGAGTATGACCTTATTGATCCAGTAAACATTTATAGCTAAATTGCTTTTAATGAACTGTGAGACATACAAACTGTAATTTGGTCCAGCTCACTTGCTGCATATTCAGAGTGAGTACCCCGCTTCTGTTACAGATAAGGAGTGAGGTGAGGTGAAATTGGGTTTAACGTCGTGCTTGAGAATATTTCGCTCATATGACGAGGTGCATGCGTTTGTATGTCTATGTGAGGCTGCTTGTACTAGCCCAGACTTAAGCTGGTTTTATAGGGCTAGCCAACTGAGAAACCATGCCGCAGTGAAGCATGAATACCCCACTCAGACACATTATACTGACTCCCGAGCCGACCAATCCTTTTCGTACCCATTAATGCCGAACGCCAGACAGGGACCAACAAGTACCATATTTTAACGTCTTTTGGTATGACGCGGTTGGGGATCGAACCTGCGACCTTCCGCTCTCCAGGCGGACGCTCTAACCACTACACCACGGAGGCGGTCCAGATTAGGAATGAGTGAGTTAGTGAGTTTAGAATTCAGCCACACTCCGCAATATTCCAGTTATATGGCAGCGGTCTGTAAATGATCGAGTCTGGAAAAGACAATCCATGAGCATCGATCTATACAAATTGGATACGATGAAATGTGTCAACCAAGTCTGCAAGCCTGACCACCCGATCCTACATAGGCAACACAGGTTGCTGGAATATTGCAGGGGAAAACCATACTCACTCACACTGCTAATTTATGTTGCATATATTATACTAACTAGAAGACAGCCACAAGAAGCCATACATACCATACGATACTGAGTTGTTAACATGAGTGCTCTTGAGGCGTAGCGTTCAAACAAAGATTTATTGAGACCAAGTTGTTTAGCAGCCATCTCCTTGACAGGTGGCTGAAGTTGGTGATGGTCCCCGATCAGGACTACTTGCTTTACTCCTTGGAACAGGATAATTGGGATCATGGCTTCTGGCTCTGTACACATGCCACACTCGTCGATGATAACCTGGAACATAAGATCGAGAATAGTCATACTTTTGAAAACTTGATTTGCTGAACATTGTCAAGGAGAGTAGACACAATTTATGGACAACCTCTTTGAATAAACTGTAATTATGAGGTTCGGGTCTTGATTCTTGTATCTCTCTAACGTAAGAGTGACTTAATTCATCATGTTACAGAATATATGGCTTATGTCTTCCTTGACTAAGTTCTATTGACATATTTACAGGGATGGCAACAGGAAAATCTATTTTCAGCGGAAAACTTTATATTGTGTCATCGAATGGGGGTTTCTCAATGGATTTAGACGATTCACAATTGAACAATTTGAAATAAAATCAGCAGAAAATTGCCATCCCTGTATTTACAACAGCACACAGATCTATGCCAAAAGATCCGTGAAGATCCGGGGTAGAATAGGTCTTCAGCAACCAATGCTGTTGATCACTGGATTGTCTGGTCCAGTCTCGGTTATTTACAGACCGCCGCCATATAGCTGGAATATTGCTGAGTGCGGTGTAAAACTAAACTCACTCACTCTATGCCAAAATGTTGCTATAAGGATATATTGAAGAAGTTGTTATGCATTAACTCTCTCCTTTGTCATCCATGAACTAAGAAATGGTGACTAAACAATTCCTGTTTGCAAGAGATCATTACATCAGAAGACTGCGAGCCTGATCATCTGATCAAGTTAGTTGCCTCTTACGACAAGCATGGGTTACTGAAGATCAATTCTAACCAGGATCTTCATGGGTCACAACAAGCAAGAGGTGCTGGAGAACTATCATAAACCCTCAATCAGCCTGGGACTTAAAATATTTGCATTAAGTGAGTGAGTGTGTTTAGTTTTATGCCGCACTCACCAATATTCCAGCTATATGGCGGCGGTCTGTAAATAATCGAGTCTGGACCAGACAATCCAGTGATCAACAACATGAGCATTGTACTGCGCAATTGGGAACCGATGACGTCAACCAAGTCAGCAAGCCTGACAACCCAATCCCGTTAGTCGTCTCTTACGACAAGCATAGTCGCCTTTTGTGGCAAGCATGGGTTGCTGAAGACCTATTCTACCCCGGATCTTCACGGGTGATTTGCATTAAGAACCTTCACACAAAATCATCATCAAAAAGAGATTCTTTGATAGAGTGTCTCGAATAATCGGACAAGACCAACCACAAAGTTAAACAAGAATATGGTACCAACCTGTTGTACATTTGTTCCCCAGTTCATCTTATGTCTTGCACTTGTGGAACAAGTAGCCAGCAGAATCTCTGCCTGCTGCAGTTCCGCCACGGATGCTGTGGTAATTAGCTCCAGATAGTCGTTGATCTGATCATCACTTATATCGTCCGGGTAAAGCCCAAACAACGTATCTAACTCTTGTATCTGCTGGCTGTACTGGTTCGCAGCTTGACGGATCAGCTCATGAAGAGCTATTTGTTTTATATGTGGATCTACATACACTTCGGAGGCTTTGCGCTTCTTAGGGGCGATAGGGTCTCGAGGGAGCGGGTAATCTCTACGCTCTAATTTCTCACTATACACATGTACAAGACGAGGGCACCTGGGACCCATACTCAGTAGATAAGCTGAAACAGATAGGGGATTACAGAAATAATCGCGATTCAGGATTCTGACTGTGTTCATATAACAGAGATCACAGAGAATGAGAAATGTGTCTTGCTATGTTCTTGTATCTTTTGATGGAGAGCTCATGAGGGAAGCGAGTTAAAATGTAACTTCACATCAGCAATAATGGTGGTGGTGTGTGGTAACGTAGAGAGTGAGTGAGTGAGTGAGTGAGTTTAGTTTTACGCCGCACTCAGCATTATTCCAGTTATATGGCGGCAGTCTGTAAATAATCGAGTCTGGATCAGACAATCCAGTGATCAACATCATGAGCATCATACTGCGCATTTGGGATACGATGACATGTGTCAAACAAGTCAGCGAGCCTGACCACCCGATACCGTTAGTCGCCTCTTACGACAAGCATAGTCCTTTTGTGGCAAGCATGGGTTGCTGAAGACCTATTCTACCCCGGATCTTCACGGGTCAGTGAGGGAATGAGTATGGTGTTTACACTGCTTTTAGCAATATTCCAGCAATATCAAGGTGGGGGGGACACCAGAAATGGGCTTCACACTTTGTTACCATGTGGGGAATCGAACTCGGACTCTTTAACTTTTAACTATTAGGCTACCCCTCCATCCCCCTCTGCATAGAGCCCAGGTCACAAATTTTTGTTAAGTTAGGCAGTGTTAGTCACGTAGAATCCTTAGATAGGTGAACATGTTACACAGCTTGGCATTTGAGAGTTTCTAGGACTCCAGTCCCACAACAAAGCACACGTGACACATGTGGTCTCACACCCTAGCCAATTGCCTCTGGTCACCCAGCAGCGAATGGGTACCCAGTGGGATAAGTCATTTGAGTGTTAACCTTCTCTGCATACAGGCTCTTTATACATAGCCATTATTATATCATTAATACTGTGATCAAACAAATACGCAAAAATACTTGAATGGCTGATAATTATTTTCGCTCCAATTAAAAAACCTTACTTTATCTGTCATTGAAATGCCAACTTTCATCTGGATGACAAAACAAATTTTTCAAATAGTGACAGTGCAACATTTGACAAGATAAACAGTGAGTTTTGTTACCTGCAACAACATGAAGTGATTTATTAGTAGGCCCACAGATGAGGACTTGTGCTGGTTGGTTTGGACTCTTCTTATTGCGCTCACAGAACATAGAGGCCAGCTTGGCCCCCGTCATGGTCTTCCCTGTGCCTGGGGGGCCGTGAATAACTGTGAAGGGCTGACTAAGTGCCTCCTGGGTGGCTCGTTGCTGGTTCTGGTTGGGAGGAGGAAGTGGGGTGCATGGCATCTGTGCCAGGACGTCTACATCAGCAAAACGATCTGAAACAGCAAGGTCCACATCAGCAAAACAATCTAACTAGTAAGGTTCACATTCGTAAAATGATCTGAAACAGAAAGGTCCACATCAACAAATGGATCTGAAACAGAAAGGTCCACATCAACAAAATGATCTGAATCAGAAAGGTCCACATCTGTAAAACGATCTGGAACAGAAAGGTCTATATCCATAAAACGATCTGAAACTGGAAAGCCCACATCAACAAATGCATCTGAAACAGAAAGGTCCACATCAACAAATGCATCTGAAACAGAAAGGTCCACATCAACAAATGGATCTGAAACAGAAAGGTCCACATCTGTAAAACGATCTGGAGCAGAAAGGTCCATATCCGCAAAGTGATCTGAAACAGAAAGGTCCACAACAGCAAAGTGACCTGAAACAGAAAGGTCCTTATCTGCAAAACGATCTGAAAATGTAATTTTCTGACTAAAATTGATATTTTATACTTCAAGGGATTTCAAGTGTTCCACTATCATTCGCAAGAGGAAGGAGACAAGCATAATTAGCATGAGTCAGGATAAGGAAAAATCAGAAAGGTCCATAGGTTTCATTTTGTTCACTGGAGCAGTTTCACCAATCTTTGCAACCTATGCACTTCCACAAAACAGTTCATGAGATATCGCATTGACAAGAGTTTCAAAAGTGGTCAAAGTGTCGTGGTGACCATGAAAATAAGGTCAAGGTATCCCAAATCGACTGGTGTCTGGGTAATCCCCCAACATAGGCTGTCACCAAATTTGAAGACATTGAGTACAACAGTTCATGAGATATCTCGTTAACAAGAATCGGGACGTACGGACAGACGCCACTGAATACATAGTCCCCGTTCCTCTGGGGGGACAACAACATATTCATTTGATTTGGGACTGTTTTATCAATATATCATCATTAATGAAACAAGGAGGGAAAGAATAAGAAAGTTTCATGGTCTTGATAACAGGCAATACTTTGTCAAACTTACTATTGTCTACGGGCTTCCTTCCTGTGGCTATTGCCCTAGCTAAATCTGCTGCCCCATCCAGACATCGCAGTGCATACTCAGCATTCCTGAAACAGTTAGATACCATTGTATAACATAAACGTATTCAGAAATAATAACTGAACAGACATATTTTAACAGCAACAATACAAGCTATAAACACTTTCTGTGTATTACAACACGATTAAGGAGACCAGTTACAGGCAGAGCTCAACACCCCACCCCATTGTTTTTAATTACATGATGTAAGATAAACCATTGCTGAATCATTTCATCTATCATGACAGGGTAATTATAGTAATACTGAAGAGTAAGGTCACTTTTTTGAGCACAAAATCACCATTGCTCTACAAGAATGGGATCATGGGAACTTATTCTGCACGAAATTCTTGAAGGCCTGGGCCACGTTCCACAACACAACGCTAAGATGATCGTAACTCCCTTACTTAACACAGACTTATGACAGTTGCAGAGCTATGACAGCTTTGTGGTATGGAGCTGAGAGCGTTACTTGTCTAATGAACCAACCTGTCTTGAGGAGTCTTGGCAATCCACTCCACTGTGCACTTCATCCTGGCTCCTTCAGGGCCCAGGAGTTGATCTGGCAGCGCCATACTGCTCTGGTTGAGGTCCACCTGCACCTGCAGCTGCTCACCCATCATCCGCTCTACGCCTCGGACACGACAATGTCCGACCCACGTCACTGGATCCGAGGAAGTTCAACAGAACAGACACATCTTCCTGCAGAGTTGGATCAGGAGGCAGCTGGAGCTCCTTGTACCTCACACACATGAAGTCTTGGAAGAAGCTCTGTGCTAACGAGCTGCTCTTGTCAAGCAGGTCATCGAACTGGATATCGCTGGAGAACTTGATCTTCCTCTCTTTACAGAAGTTTACAGGGAGGGTTATTTTGCCTGAGTAAGAAGCTGCAGATGCAGGCCCCCATTCCACACTAACATTATGTACAATGATGCTCTCCAGGCTCTCAACTGCCCGGGTAGCGGCCTCCATCCCAATGATAGGCATCCAACACTGCTGATAATCCCTTTCACTGCTGTATGTGGGTCTGGACGCTGGTTTGGCAGTACTGCCAGTGAAGCATTTCATGGGTGAGGTGCGATGTTCCAGACAAATGTCCAGTTTTGGGGTCAGATGAAGCAGCTGGACCTTCGGAGTCAGGAGACCTTTGTTAACTTCTGCAGCTATCTGAACACACATTACCATACTAGGATGTAACTTGAGAGAGAAATCTACAAAGCTGCTAGCGTTTCTGTTTCTGGAGCCTTCAGATGAAACATCCTCAGCAAAGTGACCTTCTGGAACAATACTCTCCACTTGATCCCTGACAGAGGAGACCATTGTCTGCAGCTTAGCGAAATCTTCCTCTCGGATGGCATTAAGCAGACGTTGCCAGTGGAAGGCGGGAACCTGGTTCACAAACTTGTCTGGGTCCAATTCCTTACCTCGGTCTGCCTGTGACATGTTTGCAACTGGTCCAGCAGTATCGTAGATCCTCTCCTGCCATTTTACCTTCACTTCTACAGGATCTTCAGATACTTCAGGCTTGTCGCTTAGACCAAGATGGACCATCTTGACATTCTTCTCCAAGACAGGAACATCCTTGATGTTGGGGAAGAGCAAGGTGATGGTTGAGTCATCTACCTTCTCAACTACAGGATGCATAACAATCGGCTTCTTTCTCAGGGCAGCTGCCAGGTGGAGGGTCAGCATAGCTTGATCGTAGCTATGTTCACTGTTTAGGACGCTACTGAACTGACTGCAAAGGGTCTGAATGTCCAGCTTACTATATGGACAGGCCGTGTTGTCTATCCTGGCGGCCATCAACCTCTGGACCACGACATCTATGTAGCTACTGAGAGGTCTTGTGAAGGAAGTGAAGGGTGTAACATTTAGAGAGTAGTGTCCCTGTTTATCGGCACTGACATCAGCCGAACATGCATAGTTGGTGGGTTCCTGGATTCTGCACAGCTCTGCTTGAGCGATGGCAAGTTGAGGATGGTTTTCTGGAGCAACAATAAGCTGCTGGACAAGCTCATAGTTCCCTGTGTCTGCTGCAATGCATAAGGTCTTCCACAGACCCTTGATAATATCAAATGTTCCTTGAGCTTGGATCCCCCTCTGTCTGATGTAGGTGAAGATGCATGTACAAGCTACTCTACACTTACAGATTCTGTTTCCATCCAAGAAGGGTTTGGTCAGGGCCACAGTATTGATAGCATCTGTGGCATGCTTTTCTTTCCATTCATCAGACAGCTGCTGGTTCATTGGCCCCTGGCATTTCAAGGGTGTAGCCTGTGGATAGACATTCAACAGGATCTTTGCTACTTGGTGGTTGGCAGTGATCCCCAGTTCCTCCATCAAAAGATGAGCTTTTGGGGTCATCTTGTTGGATCCTTCCAGGTTGACACACAGGTAATCATTCCCCAGCCTGTTCCGGCGCCATAGCAGTGCAACTTGGTACAGAACCACCATACAGCTAGTGAAGTAGTCAGTTTGAGCACCCTCAGAATTGTGAAGAATTTCCTCCGTTTCTCTGAAGGAGAATCTCTTCTTTGAGTTAATGATGCATTTCTTCATGTCTACTTTTGTGATCTCTCCAGACCCATTAACAGTCATGAAAACTGACAAAGTCAATCTGTCTTCATCTGGCTGGATACTACAAAGATCTGTACTAAGCCTGTTGGGCAACATGTGAAGTGGATCTCTGCTGAGGGGGAAGAAGGATGCTCCTCTACGCTGGGCCTCTTCATCCACACTGGAGCCCTGTTGCAGGAAGAAGGCAATGTCGGAGGTGTGCATCCCGACCTCGTACATGCCATCGGCTGTCTGCTCTATGCTCATAGCCTGATCAAGGTCTTGTGATGACGGCTTCGTGACTGTGAAGCACCACCTGTCAGTCAGGTCCTCCCTGGAATTATACAACTCCTGAGGAAGGCTGTAGTTGTGGTACATTGCCATAATCTCATTGTCCACATCTTTCTGTGAGACACTGTGTTCCAGATCCACCAATTTCATCCCAGTGTCCAGATCTCGGCCCTCTGGTAGAACACCAATCACAATTCCAAATGGACAGTAGAACGACAGGTCCCACTTCAAATAACGTACAAGGAACAATTTCCTGGTTGCATCGCTTCGGATTGACTGTTTCAAAGTGGGAGAACTCCACCTTCTGGTCCTGTCTCAACCTGTACACACAGACCTGTTCACTTGACCCCATCTGTGCCTGTGTCGGGGTTGTCAGGTTGAAGATCCTAGGGATGCCTCTGTTGATGGGTATCAGGACACCAGTCCTACTGGCTTCAACACTGCAGACAAAGGATTTACTACTGGGGTCGATTGCTCGTCGTAGAATTCCAACCACTTGGCCATGGACTTCATGATGCTCTGCTTCGTGTTCCAAAACCTCCACAACCACCTCGTCATTGTTGAAAGCTTGACCGCAGTGTCTTCGACTGCTCAGTTTAATCTGGTGGATCGGTGAGGTGACGTCGATTACTCTGGCAAACATCTTCCTGGATGATTCAATATGAAGCACACAGTGCTTGTACTTGTCAGGACTACTCTGGATCAAGCTTCTCAGATGGAAGATGCTGTAGTTCTTTAGGAGATTCCGCTGTCCCTGCTCTTCATCCAACAGTGCCGTGTCTGAATCTTGATCCTCATCGGACTGAAGTCTCCTCTTCTCCTGGGCCCAGGTGGTATCATAATGTACAACAGCATGGCCTCCATCTTCCTTCACCCTGATACACTCCATGTCCAGATGACTTCCATCTCCACCGTCAGCAGCAATCTGCTTGATGATGCCATCACATTCATGTGTGACAACCTGCTTGTCTTCAGCAACTGGCAGCTGTCTACTGAACTGCTTCAGAGGAGGTGGTTGAGGCATGAAGCCATTCGTCCCCAGGGGCCTTAGAGGTTGGGGTGCAACTGGTTTCTGACCAACTGGGGAAGACCGCGATATCTGAGAAGGCTGCTGAGTTGGCGTCACTGTCCGAGATGATGGCGGCAGTGTATGAGATGATGCAGGGGCAGGCTGAGATGTTGAAGATCCAGGGCCATTCTTGCTTTGCCAGACCTTCGAATCCTTTTCTCCCCGTGCTCCTGACAGCGATGCCCTTTGCATTACATCAGCATTACGACTCAGTTCCGTTATCTCTGTCAACCTCAGTCCCATCGGTGACATCTGCAGGTTGAGGACTTGGCTCTTGATGGAGTCGTATGTTACTGATGGAGGGAACAAGCTCTTCATGTTGGCGCAGTGCTTCAGGTAAGTCCTCCACACTTGGACACACTCTCCAACTGCACACAAGCCGACCGGATCACCCACAACACACACATAGGACTTGGCCCGAGTCAGGGCTGTGTTCAGCAGCTTAGGGTCTGACAGGAAGCCGAAGTCCCCGATATCACCGTCACACTCGGATGATTTCAGCAGGTTCTCCACGTGGCTGGACTCCAGCAGATGCCGAGTTCTGCAGGTACTGATGAATAGGGCACGGAACTCTTTTCCTGCAACACAGATGGTGACGTATCATGTACACATCTTTATGAAGGTTGTCAGCAGACATCAAAAGCATGTTCCATCCATATCATGGCAGCTTGTTAAGTAGCAAGTCTTTGAAACTAGTGGTTCAAAGCATGAATTTTTGGCTTGTTTATTGTTAGTTCAACACCACACTGCTTCAATTTACAATGCTTATAATTACAACTTCTCAAAACTTCTTATTCAAACAATCTTTTGACACTGATTCATTTAAGATGTTTTCAAGACTGAGTCAGTTTACACTGAGTGAGTGAGTTTAGCTTTACGCTACACTCAGCAATATTCCAGCTATAAGGCAACATTCTGTAAATAATTGAGTTTGGACTAGACAATCCAGTGATCAACATCATGAGCATCGATGCTGTTGGGATTCAATGATGTCAACCAAGTCAGAGAGCCTGCCCACCCGATCTATTTAGTCGCCTCTTACGACAAGCGCCGCCATATAGCTGGAATATTGCTGGATGCGGTGTAAAACTAAACTCACTCACTCACTCTTATGACAAGCAAGTATCAAGTAGTTTTTCCACAGTTAAACGTGAATATGCCTATTGCTACATGCATCATATCATGATCTGTTACCAAGAGGTGAGGTGAAATTGGGTTTAACGTCGTGCTTGAGAATATTTCGCTCATATGACGACGTGCATGTGTGTGTATGTGTAGGTGCGGCTGCTTGTACTGGCCCAGGCTGAAGCTGGTTTTACAGCGCTAGCCCACTGAGATACCATGCCGCAGTGAAGCATGAATACCCCACTCAGACACATTATACTGACTCCGAGCCGACCAGTCCATGGTGTACCCATAAATGCCGAGCGCCAGGCAGGGACCAACAAATACTATTTTAACGTCTTTTGGTATGACGCAGTAGGGGATCGAACCCGCGACCTTCCGCTCTCCGGGCGGTGTTACCAAGATGCATATCATGAGCTTGCTGCACCCATGTACTGACATGTCCCACACATAGTAAAAGGGGTCACTCTAATGTTGAGCATGGGGCGGTGGGGTAGCCTAGTGGTTAAAGCGTTGGCTCGTCATGCCGAAGACCCGGGTTCGAATCCCCAGATGGGTACAATGTGTGAAGCCCATTTCTGGTGTTCCCCCGCCGTGATGTAGCTGGAATATTGCTAAAAGCGGCATAAAACCAAACTCAGTCAGTCTAATGTTGCCCATAATAATGTAGATGAAGGAATAAAGTCCCACAAACCTTGAACGTTGTGGATTGTGTCGACGCTGATTCTCCGTAGCTCTGGCCTCCTCTTCCTCAACATGTGTCTGATCAGAACAACCTGGAAATGATTTACTGGGTATGTGAGACTAGCTACCAAAATGTTGGATACATTTGTTAAACATCAGTATATAGAATATATAAACCATAAACAACCAGCTGATTATCCATCAAAACCGAATCCACCGAGCACAAAGACACAATAGTGATGAAAATTATGAATGGATCACTGACATCAGGTGTCACAACAAAATGTTGGCAGATCCTGCTCATTTGTTACAGTCAGACTCTATTGAACTGAAAAAAACATTTGGGCCGTTTTCGTGTTGATTTAACATTATTAAGATTGGAAAGTCAACTGGACACTGGTACAGCGTGATATACAAATTTGCTTGCCCGACAGAAAAAAACACTGGACTCGGATGTCGGGCAATGGGTTATTTCCACCCCTGTTTATGTCTCGAGTTTGGCCAAAAAGTCAACACACTCAAAACTGTGTGAAAAGCATTAAAATGCCTTTCAGACATGTAACACTATATTTTGGATTACACTTTCTCAGCGAAGCACTCATAGCTTCGGCTTTGAGCCGTCCCAATTAACACTTGTTAGAATGGTACACAAAGAAGTGGTATAGATTATCAGTGTTCAGACTTTCAGTTTTGTGGAACCCATGGTGGTGACCAGGGTTAGATTGCTGATTTTGTGTGCCTCAGTCAGAGTGGGTTTGAATCCAGGAGGGGACTAAACCCCAAAAAGGGCTAGAATCAGTATTTTACTAAGAAAGTGTAATCCCTAAAATAACATGCTACATCTGAAAGGTGTAAAAGAATTATGAAAGAGCAGCTAAATGTATGGTGTCTCAGTAGGCTATGAAACTAGTTATTTAAAGCTGCAGTCAGCAATTTTCCAGCTACATGACGATCCCGTTAGTCGCCTCTTATGACAATTGCTAAAGACGAACACCTTTACAGGTACTACATAGCTTGTTGGGACTTCTACAAGCATGCATGCAAGTTTGTGTACTTGAACAGTCAGACACACACCTGGTCATAATATGGGGTGACGACCTCAATCTCCTGAGGTGCTCTCTCCCCCCACTCAGTGGGCCAGTTATTGAAGAGGTCCTCCACCCTCTCTACGATCTCCTCCACCTCTGACATGTTGTAGTAGGAGGTGCTGTCTGAGTCCTGGATCTCTCGCCCCTGAACCACGTAGAACACCAGTGGCGTCAGCTCCACCACAGAAGGAACAATTCCTGAAACAGAATACAGATTAGTTCAGGAACTGTTGGATCATTATCATCCCAGTTTAAACAACTCTCCTATCTACTGTGCCCTCCGAATTTCTGAATCAATTGCAGTAAATTTCAGATTTTATTAATACCTGTGTTTAGGTAGACCAAACAAAAGCTCACAAAACTAGTCATTCAAACAAGTAGCTGAGATTACCAAGTTTGAAGCAATGTAGACAAGTAAGGGATGTAGCCCTTGGATACATAGCCATATCCCCTTCATCGGGGTGAGATATGTTTGTTTGTTTGTTGTTTAATTGAGTCTGGACCAGACAATCCAGTGATCAACAGCACGAGCATCCACCAAGTCAGCGACTGGCCTTTAAAAGCCTGCATGACCTTCACATACCCATTGCCTTGAGGCTATCTGGTCCCCCATAGAAGATGGCGGAGATGAAGCGAAGGATCTCCATCTTCGTCCTGTAGTTGATGCTGAGGAATATGTTGAGTGGGTTGTTGGACTTGTTGGCGATCTTCCCTGAGAAGCTCTCGTAGTACGCGTACAGTCGTTCCAACAGCGAGGTGTGGAAGCCGAGCTGTCTTGCCTCTGGGCTGTAAACCTTGGGGCTTATCTGCTTGTGGTCTCCCGTCAACACGATGCAGGTCCTCTCAGTAGCAAGTGACAGCGGCATGATTGTCTCACACTCCAGTGCCTGCGCAGCTTCGTCGATGAATATGTGTGTGAAGTAGCCCTGCAAAGTTCAAGGTATCTTGGGTCACATTTAGAGTGAGTGAGTGAGTGAGTTTGGTTTTACGCCGCTTTTAGCAATATTCCAGCAATATCACAGTGGGGGACACCAGAAATGGGCTTAACACATTGTACCCATGTGGGGAATCGAACCCGGGTCTTCGGCGTGAGGAGCGAACTCCTTAACCACTAGGCTACCCCACCGCCCCAGGTCACATTTAGAAAATTTACAGTTTCTTATATTCATCTACTCGACACCTCTGCTATGTATTGCAGCAAATAATTTTTTTAACAGAGGATCACCAAAATAAAATAATCATCCAAACAATTACCTAAAAGGGCACTATAATGATTGTTAGTTCTCATTCTATCAGTTGCTAGCAATAAGAATCCAAATCTTCTCCTGAAGCCCAATTGTCCAGACTAACAGACACCATCTACACAGCACATCACCATTTCCTGGCAAAACTGATCAAATTACTCAGCATAACTGACTGACTGAGTTTGGTTTTACGCCGCTTTTAGCAATATTCCAGCAACATCACGGCGGGGGACACCTGAAATGGGCCTCACACATTGTGCCCATGTGGGGATTCGAACCCGGGTCTTAGGCGTGACGAGCCAACGCTTTAACCATTAGGCTACCCCACCGCCCTACTCAGCATAAGACCCATGATCCACGTATACCTCAGACTGACTGACTGAGTTTGGTTTTACGCCGCTTTTAGCAATATTCCAGCAATATCACGGCGGGGGACACCAGAAATGGGCTTCACTCATTGTACCCATGTGGTATACCTCAGAAAATGTCAAGAAAGATCAAAGTATTCATCTGAAGGCTCATTATCTTGATTAACACTCACCATCCAATATTTACACAACATACCTTAAATATGTCATGAATGATCAAAGTATTCACCTGAAGACTCACTAACTTGATTAACACTCACCATCCAATATTTACACAACATACCTTAAAAATGTCATGAATGATCAAAGTATTCACCTGAAGGCTCACTAACTTGATTAACATTCACCATCCAATATTTACACAACATACCTTAAAAATGTCAAGAAGGATCACAGTATTCACCTGAAAGCTCACTACCTCAACATTCACCATCCAATATTTACACAGTATACCTCAGAAAATGTCCAAAAGGATCAAAGTATTCACCTGAAGGCTCACTAACTTGATTAACATTCACCATCCAATATTTGCACAACATACCTTAAAAATGTCAAGAAGGATCACAGTATTCACCTGAAAGCTCACTACCTCAACATTCACCATCCAATATTTACACAGTATACCTCAGAAAATGTCCAAAAGGATCAAAGTATTCACCTGAAGGCTCACTAACTTGATTAACATTCACCATCCAATATTTACACAACATACCTTAAAAATGTCAAGAAGGATCACAGTATTCACCTGAAAGCTCACTACCTCAACATTCACCATCCAATATTTACACAGTATACCTCAGAAAATGTCCAAAGGATCAAAGTATTCACCTGAAGGCTCACTAACTTGATTAACATTCACCATCCAATATTTGCACAACATACCTTAAAATGTCAAGAAGGATCACAGTATTCACCTGAAAGCTCACTACCTCAACATTCACCATCCAATATTTACACAGTATACCTCAGAAAATGTCCAAAAGGATCAAAGTATTCACCTGAAGGCTCACTAACTTGATTAACATTCACCATCCAATATTTACACAACATACCTTAAAATGTCAAGAAGGATCACAGTATTCACCTGAAAGCTCACTACCTCAACATTCACCATCCAATATTTACACAGTATACCTCAGAAAATGTCCAAAAGGATCAAAGTATTCACCTGAAGGCTCACTAACTTGATTAACATTCACCATCCAATATTTACACAACATACCTTAAAAATGTCAAGAAGGATCACAGTATTCACCTGAAGCTCACTACCTCAACATTCACCATCCAATATTTACACAGTATACCTCAGAAAATGTCCAAAAGGATCAAAGTATTCACCTGAAGGCTCACTAACTTGATTAACATTCACCATCCAATATTTACACAACATACCTTAAAATGTCAAGAAGGATCACAGTATTCACCTGAAGCTCACTACCTCAACATTCACCATCCAATATTTACACAGTATACCTCAGAAAATGTCCAAAGGATCAAAGTATTCACCTGAAGGCTCACTAACTTGATTAACATTCACCATCAATATTTACACAACATACCTTAAAAATGTCAAGAAGGATCACAGTATTCACCTGAAAGCTCACTACCTCAACATTCACCATCCAATATTTACACAGTATACCTCAGAAAATGTCCAAAAGGATCAAAGTATTCACCTGAAGGCTCACTAACTTGATTAACATTCACCATCCAATATTTACACAACATACCTTAAAAATGTCAAGAAGGATCACAGTATTCACCTGAAAGCTCACTACCTCAACATTCACCATCCAATATTTACACAGTATACCTCAGAAAATGTCCAAAAGGATCAAAGTATTCACCTGAAGGCTCACAACCTTGATCAACATTCACCATCCAATTTATACTGTGTATCCAATATTTACACAGGATATCACACTGTCAAAAACGGTCAAAGTATTTACCTGAAGGCCGAGCTTGGTGAGTTGCAGAGATGTCTCTACGGTAGTGATGACAATCCTGTGATTCATGATGTCCTCCTTTGAGGGGAACTCGAAGGCGATGTTTTCGGCATTGAAGATGCAGTACTTCTGGACCTCAGGTGGCACAGTGTTGACTCGCCTCTCCTTGATGTAGATGCGGCGGAGACTGACGCTGCTGTTCCGTCGCAGGAATGGGTCCAGGTGTTTAACGATGTACAGATCCGCAGCACTGAGGGGAACAACAGCTGAGGTCACTGACTACTTGAACTAAGTATCCAAGACAGATACAAAGAATGAGTGAGTGAGTGAGTTTAGTTTTACGCCACACTCAGCAATATCCCAGCTATATGGCAGCGGTCTGTAAATAATCGAGTCTGGACCAGACAATCCAGTGATCATCAGCATGAGCATCGATCTGCGCAGTTGGGAACCGATGACATGTGTCAACCAAGTCAGCGAAACTGACCTCCCGATCCCGTTAGTCGCCTCTTACGACAAGCATAGTCGCCTCTTACGACAAGCATAGTCGCCTTTTATGGCAAGCACATGGGTTGCTGAAGACCTATTCTACCCGGATCTTCACGGGCCAGATACACAGAAAGTCAAGCACCTTACTAACCGTGCTACATATTTATCTGGAGACAAAGTTCAAATGGCATGGAATCTAAATACGCTTTCTAAAAGGAATATATCAATGTCCTCTTTTTCTAAGATTCCATGCAATAACATTAACACAAATTATAAAAGAGTTTGTCAAGTGTATTAGTCCTTACAGCAACTAAATATGACACAAACTTGCATAGCCATCATTGCCATTGTACTTGTGATCATTTTAATAACTTGAAATGGGAAACACTGATCATTTATAATAACTTGAAATGGGAAACACTGATCATTTATAATAACTTGAAATGGGAAACACTGATCATTTTTAATAACTCGAAATGGGAAACACTGATCATTTATAATAACTTGAAACGGGAAACACTGATCATTTTTAAAAACTTGAATTGGGAAACACTGATCATTTTTAATAACTTGAAATGGGAAACACTTATAATTTTTGAATAATTTGAAATGGGAAACACTGATAATTTTTTAATAATTTGAAATGGGAAACACTAATAATTTAAAATAACTTGAAATGGGAAACACTGGTGATCATTTTTATTAACTTGAAATAGGAAACATGGAGGACGTATCTGCACATTTCTAACATTTGCCTCTATACCTGTTGGATTGTGCACAGATGAGAATTTTTGTCTCTTTTCTCTCCTTTAAGAGCACCATCGCTGCCTGGGCTAGTGTCTCTGTCTTGCCAGTGCCAAATGGACCAAACATAATGAAGGTCGGTGTGTAGCCGGTACGTTCAGCTACGATGTGTTTCACAGCTGCCATCTGGTCGTCATTCAAGATCTTCGAACTAAAAAATACAGCATGAGCATCAATCTATGCAATTGTGATAGGAGCAGCTGGTGTTGTAATTTAAGTAAACTGAAGATCACTGTCTACCTGATCTAAGCACATGTTTCAACAGTTTCAATGACACCTGTCACAAACCCAGAGAGATCATCATTATATCTACCTGATCTAAGCACATGCTTCAACAGTTTCAATCACACCTGTCACAAACCCAGAGAGATCATCATTATATTTAGTCCAGGAGGAGAATCTCAAAAGGTGCCTAGAAATAGGATTTCGTAGCCTCCCCAGTACTGATTTGGTTTGAGACTATTTTCAGTTAGTATGATGTCTTGGGCTCATGAAAAGGCCTGTAATACTCTCAGATTGTGGTATCAGGTTTTTTTTACAGGCCATTATATGAGGTGGGGGTCTCCGAGCATTTTCGTCACATTTGGTTTGCTGTCCGACAACACATAAAGTTAATCATTAATAGTTTTTTACTATCAATCTGACCCTTTCATTTTGACTTCTGTGTACTGCTAAAGGATGTAGAAATTATTTGACATAATTTTGTTTTGAAAAAAAAATCAAAATGGCCGCCATTTTGGCCGCCATTTTGTTTTGTCAGTGTTTTGCCTTCTCGGTACTTAAATTTACATAAAATGAACACGAATGTTTCCATTTACATCCAAAGTTGATACTTTTGATGTTTTTGACACTTGTTTCTCCTAGAGTGATGACTTGGGCACAAAACAAGTTATTTTGTATGATAATATCGTGTTAATTGAATGTTTTACAGCTTATTCTTTGAGACAGGGGTATTTTAGCGATTCTCCGACTTTTCATGGAAATGTGTGATGGTGATTTATTTAATGGTAGTTAACATTATTTTTGTTACTAAAACAAGTTGTTTTTGTTTTCTCTTTACTTCTAGAGTGACAGCATATTATTAGGAATTTTTATATATTACCCAGAATTCAAAATGGCGCCTAAATGGCGCCATTGTAGTTTAACTTCATATGCTTAGTGGAGGACTAAATTTGTACTGATATGAAATCCAAACAACTCATTTGGTGTCTAATGTTTAATACAGTTTAGGAATAGAGCTAAATTTCAATGATATTGTCAATCAAAGCTTCACACTCCTAAAATATTTGATGAAATAACATTATCCAGAAGTGTTTGAAAACTATGCTTCATGACCGATAACTTCGTTTAAGCTTTGGTTGTATGTATTCAAATTGTTCTATCAGATAACTCTTAATCACATTTGATGCATCCATAAGCTTGCAATTAACCCTCCTTTTCACTTTCTTTCATTTCATATGTTACTTCATGTCAGAATCGGACCTGTAAAGATCCGGGTTAGAATTGATCTTCAATAACCCATGCTTGTCGTTGGAGGTGACTAACGGGATCGGTGGTCAGGCTCGCTGACTGGGTTGACACATGTCATCGTATCCCAATTAGCGCAGATTGATGTTCATGCTGTTGATCCCTGGATTGTCTGGTCCAGACACGATTATTCACAGACTGCCGCCATATAGTTGGACTATTGCTTAGTGCGGTGTGAAACTAAACTCACTCATGTCAGAATCGGAGTCATCTACTGGCAACAAGTCGAAGATGTTCGGGCAACAATCATCTGCCATACAAATGAACATGCCTCTGTACACACTATATCATTCTTTCTGCTGGCATGCTGACCTTTTGCATTTACACGATGTCAGTTCAACCAATCCACGGGGAGCAGGATCTCAACACATAGAATAGGGATAAGCTGACCATCACAAATGCTCCAAGCATGGTCAACTGGTGAAGGAATGTTCATGATTGGTTGCAGAGACTGTTTCCAAACATGGACTTCAATGTGATGTTTGGGACTGTTGGATGTTGGTGGGAGGTTTTCATTCAATATCTTGTGTCATCTACAAACATCACTGGATTATTTGGTACATACATAGAACTTACAAACTTGCCACAAGATGTAATGAGTGTTTCTTGAAGATCTAGATTGTCACCCAATTGTGTCAATGTTTGTTGGTGATTTTCAGAGGACTTCTGTAAGTTAATTCCCCATGTCGAACGTTCTACACGTTCTAAAATTGGACGGAGTAATAACGTACTTAAAATGAGATTGCCATACTAAAAACGGAATTGCCATACTACGAACGGAATCGCGGCGCTTCAATCTTACTGGGTACGTGTGCGGGACGTAGTGCAGTCCGGCATCAATTGCAATCACGTTTGTACAGTTTCCAACTGGTCCATCCCATTTGCAGAACTCTACTGAACTCTAGTTAGTCGCTATTCCAATCAATTATGTTCAAAGAAAATGAATTGTTCTGAAGAAGCTTGTAGTAGAAGGTTTTAACAGTTTGCAATGGGTTCTCATCACGTTCTACTACCGTAAAGTATGTTTATGTAGTTCTCATGCAGTTCTTACTTTGTCAACTCTGTGTGCATTACGATATGACAAGGTAGAATTATATATATACATCGTTTTTAACATGGTGCGTCATTTGGGATTGAGTTTCTATGAACAAGTTTGCAGTTGTCAAAATATTGAATGCTGGTTTCCTGCAATTTTATCGGACTGACTGACTGACTGAGTTTAGTTTTACGCCCGCTTTTAGCAATATTCCAGCAATATCACGCGGGGGACACCAGAAATGGGCTTCACACATTGTGCCCATGTGGGAATCGAACCAGCATAGCCGTGACGAATAGCGCTTTAACCACTAGGCTACCCCACCGCCCCATTTTTATGGAAGCAGAGCAAGAGTACAAGGAGTTGGTAGAGCAAGAAAGAAGGAAAACACAAGAACTTGTTGGGTGAGGAACTGGCTTAAACCTGAGAGGTGAATAGTTGTGGGACATTATCATCAACTGATGGGCGAGCTCCGCCTTGATGATCATGAGTCCTTCTACAATGTCTTGAGAATCACCCACACCATGTTTGATGAACTTCTTGAACACATTGACCTCTTTAAAATTAGTTTTCCACCCTTCTTCTTCCTTGGAGGCATGGTGATGTCAATGTTTCCACCTTGAAACTGAAGCGGAATAAGAATGGGCAGGGTATTTATACAAATCGAAACCAGGAAGTGATTGCTATTACGACTGCAGCACTAGAAGCGAATTGAGAAAGTAGTGAGAATGGGAAGAAGTGCCTGAAAATGAGTTGGTTTAGTTAAGAATGAGTTAGAACGGGGTTGTGCTTGTTAAGAGCGAGATAGGTCTAGTTCAGAAGGGATATAAAGTGACTAAGGGCGGGACTGGACTGCTTGAAAACGTTGTCCACACGAGGTGAGCGGGCAATTTTACCCACTCTAAGCGTAACACCAACTGTCTGGGAATGGGGTAAAGAGGAGACAGGCGTACTGAGAACTGTTTATGATCAAACTAGCATTGTAATTTATACAAAAGTTACACGTTCTATCCGTTCGAGCTCACTTTACAATTATTGTTTGGGCGAGTCAGGACATCCTAAGAACTACCTTGGTGTGACTCGGGCTTTACCCACAGGTAGCATGGCTGGATCAACAGAACACCATCGTTAGTTCATAAATACTACAAGACTAGACTTGTTGACTGCTGATGTGTTTGTCCCATTGTCTTGGCATTGGTTTGTTTTGCCAACAATCTTGACTTCTACGCCGTTGGCGATCCTCTTTTGATTTGCTCCCCTACTTTGATTGACTCTCGTCTATGCATACCTGTCCCAAACAACATCAACTCTAATGTAGTCTGTTCGATTCAGAATTGAAGTGAAGTTGTCCCAATGCATATCAGCCAAGTCTCCAAATCTGGAAGCAGTTCCCTTTCTGAACATTTGCAATTTTGCCATTCCATCAACTATATGAACTGGCAACATTCTAAGCTTCTGCTAGTATAAGCAGCGAAGGACCAAAACTTCCTTTTCATGTTCAATTAACAAACCGCTTTTGATGTTCTTTCTTAATTTTTCCATCTGAATGAGCCATTGTAAAATGAACACTAGAAATGTCCATGTTCACATCAAGGCTGATGACAAATCCATTCAATCTTCAAATAAATTATGTCTGTGAACATTGAAAGTGAAGTTGTTGTCCCAAAGGATATGATTCACAGCCTCTTGCATGTTAAACAGATTGGGGCAGAGCAAAGGGATAACTTCATAAGTAGTCGATTGAACTCTTCAGGACAAACTTGTGGTCACCTTTACATCGACTGAACCTGAAAACCTATTCTACATTGATTCCCAAAAGGCTGTAAAGCCCAGGGGGTGAAGCTTCACACAACAAATGGATGACAAGTTGGATGTTCAAGAAACACTCATTACATCTTGTGGCCAGATTGTGAGTTCTATACATGTACCAAAAAATCCAGTGATTATATGTCTGTAGATGACACAAGATACTCAATGGAAACCTCCTACCAACATCCAACAATCTAAAACATCACACTGAGCAGTAAACTACCAAGTCCATGTTTGGAAACAGTCTCTGCAACCAATCATGAACATTCCTTCACCAGTTGACCATGCTTGGAGCATTTGTGATGGTCAGCTTATCCCTATTCTATGTGTTGAGATCCTGCTCCCGTGGATTGGTTGAACTGACATCGTGTAAATGCAAAAGGTCAGCATGCCAGCAGAAAGAATGATATAGTGTGTACAGAGGCATGTTCATTTGTATGGCAGATGATTGTTGCCGAACATCTTCGACTTGTTGCCAGTAGATGACTCCGATTCTGACATGAGTGAGTTTAGTTTCACACGCACTAAGCAATAGTCCAGCTATATGGCGGCAGTCTGTGAATAATGGAGTGTCTGGACCAGACAATCCAGGGATCAACAGCATGAACATCAATCTGCGCCAATTGGGATCACGATGACATGTGTCAACCCAGTCAGCTGAGCCTGACCACCGATCCGTTAGTCACCTCCAACGACAAGCATGGGTTATTGAAGATCAATTCTAACCCGGATCTTTACAGGTCGATTCTGACATGAAGTAACATATGAAATGAAAGAAAGTGAAAAGGAGGGTTAATTGCAAGCTTATGGATGCATCAAATGTGATTAAGAGTTATCTGATAGAACAATTTGAATACATACAACCAAAGCTTAAGCGTAGTTATCGGTCATGAAGCATAGTTTTCAAACACTTCTGGATAATGTTATTTCATCAAATATTTTAGGAGTGTGAAGCTTTGATTGACAATATCATTGAAATTTAGCTCTATTCTAAACTGTATTAAACATTAGACACCAAATGAGTTGTTTGGATTTCATATCAGTACAAATTTAGTCCTCCACTAAGTATATGAAGTTAAACTACAATGGCGGCCATTTAGGCGACCATTTTGAATTCTGGGTAATATATAAAAATTCTAATAATATGCTGTCACTCTAGAAGTAAAGAAAACAAAACAACTTGTTTTAGTAACAAAAATAATGTTAACTACCATTAAATAAATCACCATCACACATTTCCATGAAAAGTCGGAGAATGGCTAAAATACCCTGTCTCAAAGAATAAGCTGTAAAACATTTAATTAACACGATATTATCATACAAAATAACTTGTTTTGTGCCCAAGTCATCACTCTAGGAGAAACAAGTGTCAAAAACATCAAAAGTATCAACTTTGGATGTAAATGGAAACATTCGATTGTTCATTTTTATGTAAATTTAAGTACCGAGAAGGCAAAACCGACAAAACAAAATGGCGGCCAAAATGGCGGCCATTTTGATTTTCAAAACAAAATTATGTCAAATAATTTCTACATCCTTTAGCAGTACACAGAAGTCATAATGAAAGGGGGCAGATTGATAGTAAAAAAACTATTAATGATAAACGTTCAGGTGTTGTCGGACAGCAAACCAAATGTGACGAAAATGCTCGGAGACCCCCACCACATATAATGGCCTGTAAAAAAAAACTGATACCACAATCTGAGAGTATTACAGGCCTTTTCATGAGCCCAAGACATCATACTAACTGAAAATAGTCTCAAACCAAATCAGTACTGGGGAGGCTACGATTTGAAATTTTTCAGCTGCCTCCTCCTGGACTAATTTACCTGATCTAAGCACGTTTCAACAGTTTCAATCACACCTGTCACAAGCCCAGAGAGATCATCATCATATTTACCTGATCTAAGCACATGTTTCAACAGTTTCAATCACACCTGTCACAAACCCAGAGAGATCATCATTATATTTACCTGATCTAAGCACATGCTTCAACAGTTTCAATCACACCTGTCACAAGCCCAGAGAGATCATCATCATATTTACCTGATCTAAGCACATGCTTCAACAGTTTCAATCACACCTGTCACAAACCCAGAGAGACCATCATCATATTTACCTGATCTTTAGGACATGCTTCTCATTCCACTCAGGGCTGAGCTGGACGAAGTCAGGGAACACGATGTCCGTGTTCTTCAGGCAGTCAATGGCGTAGTGCATGCGGCAGAAGTGGAGGCGATGCATCTGGAACTGTATCTCCAGCTCCAGCTTCATCTCTGGCCGGATCTTCAGCCCCTTGACGCACACAGGCGGAATACACAGGTAGATGTACTCCTTGCCTCGGCCGTCGTAGTTGAAGTTGTCCTCGCGCACAATATTTGCCTCATAGACAGTTTTCTTGCTGTCATTCACTGGGGCCATCAGAACCTTTTTGACACTGGTCAGGATCAGTTTGCCGGCATTTGTGTCTTCTGTGAGATTCTCTGTGAGATGCACTCTGCCGAACATTTCCCCAGGTCGAGGGTAGATTGCACACTTGTCTTCTATTTGATTGATGATTTCAATTTCAGTACGGAGATTGTAGCTGCAGCAAGGAAAATCGTAACACATAAATATTTACATGCTTCATGATCATATTGATCTATAGCTGAAAATAGTTTGATATGAAGTAAGAGCTTAAGCTGCACTTTTAATACATGTAATTGGCAGCAGTGTTCCAGCTTACCAGTAACCTAAGTTAAGGGAGTCTGGGTCAGCCTAGTCTGTGTATGATGACCATGATAACATGGGCAATGATTTCTGCTGTTGTTCACAGCCAACAATCATTTTAACCTTGTAACACAGCTGTCACAGCAATCACGTGACTGACCGACTGAGTTTGGTTTTACGCCGCTTTTAGCAATATTCCAGCAACATCATGGCGGGGGACACCAGAAATGGGCTTCACACATTGTGCCCATGTGGGGATTCGAACCCGGGTCTTCGGCATGACGAGCCAACGCTTTAACCATTAGGCTACCCCACGGCCCCCAATCACATGATGCTGGAGGAAAGTTGTTTACTATATGCCTGTCATATAACTACAAAACTTCAAGCAAGGCTCCAGATAACTTTAGAGGATGTGGGTGTACTTACACCTCATATTGCAAGTGGAGGTGTACTGAGAATTTTGAAGAAGTACTGACACATTTTTGTGTGAGCGAGCCGGTGATGTGGTTTGTTATTTATAATATTAAACAACTTTTCAGCTATTAAATTTTATATACGCTAGTTGTACAAAGGTATTGTCCGTACATGATACACTTGAGATCTTAAATTATGTCGTAGATTACGTCATTGAATTTTAGGCGTACATTACGCATGTATATCCCTTATCTGTAGCCCTTCAAGGATGAAAAGGTCCAGTATTTGAAATAAAGAATGCAAAAACAAGGGGTCTTGTCATTACTGTAATGTGAAATACCAAAGGGTGGAGGGTAACAGTAGTAGAAAACCCTCCAAGTGTCAGTCTATCAAAGACTTATCATTTCCCTAGTGAAGAATTAAAGAACTGTCCGCAAAATTTTCACAGAAGTAAAACAGATCGGACTCCAAAATGCTCTTGAGAAATTTCACTTACTGTGATTAAACTTAACACGCCTGCCATGATACATTAAAAACTGAAGAATAGAAAAGAAATTTTCACTTCCTATAAAAAACAGGTCAAACATACCCATAAAGCCTTCATCGTTCAGAATTATTTACAGACCGCCTCCATATAGCTGGGATATTGCTGAGTCCGGCGTAAAACTTAACTCACTCACTCACTTCATCGTTCAGAAGTAAAAGGACTCCAATATGCTCGAGAAATTTCAGTAACGGTTCCCAACAGTTATGGTGGCGTGACTTTAACATGACTGCCATACATAAAATGGTGATGCTGACCTGGATATGATGTGATGTCTGGTCATCTCCTCCAGTTCCAGGAGCTTGTGCATCTTGTGGATGTAGTTGTTGCGGTTGAGCTCCGCGATGATGCTGTTCTGGGTGACAACATGTTCCGAGGAACTGGGCTCCTTGTATTTCCTTAGCAGCTGTTCGTTGAACTCATCTCCGCACATGTTGCCTGGACGTATTATTTCCCGATTGAGGCTGGTCCATCGATCAAATGCCAACTTCTGTCGGAGGGAATGCACCTGTTCATGGATCCTCTGATGACCAACCTCCACGGACATCTTCCGGACCAGGACGGGCGCAGAGCCGAAGTCGAAGATGACCCACTGGCTGAAGGAGCCGAACATGCCACCAGTAAACTTGATGTCAACTCTATAGCAAGCCATCCCTTTGGCATCTGTGTTCTCAAACGTGTCTCCAGGAGCAATCTGGTGAGTTTTGCCATCCTGAGAGCAGATGGTGAAGTGGAGTCTGTCTCGGTTGTACAGCAGGGCTACCTTCTGAAGAGGATTCTGAAAAGATGATGGCATAATACCATCAGGTTTTACACAACTCAGAAAGAAATATGCAAACAGATACACGGACTCGGAAAACATATATATATCTTTTTGTGTGTGTTGTTTATTAAGCTTGTCATTTCAAGCATATTTCAGCCAGTGGTAAGTCCTGGAAACTTGTGGTCCAAAGCATGAACGTTTGTTTGTTTACTATTACTTGTTTAACACCACACTCAGTAATATTCCAGCTACATGGCTGTGGGCTGTAAATAATCGAGTCTGGACCACACAATCCAATGATCAACAGCATGAGCATCTTAATCATACCTTTTAAATTGCTATTTGTATATGTTAGACCAGTTATGTTAGATGACCAGCTGTCATGCCCAATGTCAATGTTTATCTTCATATAAGTGCCAATTCATTATCTAGAATTGTTACTGCTCTGATTTATACTGTATCTTATTTCGAGTGTACCTTAATTATTTAACTCACTCATTGTATTTGTAAAGAAATGAAAAAAAAAAATCTATCCCAGATGTTCACAGGTTTGTGGTGACCTATATCCAAGGTATATGTTGACACTTACAATTGACCTGATGATGTATGTCCACACAAGCGAAGCCTTCTTATCCTCTCTGTACACATTCAGAGACTCCATGGGCGGAGTGACCGTCACACCTTCAACTTCCTCCGACATCTGAAAAAGGTGTAGTGATTTCATGCTGTGCACTAGGGGACTGAGGGGAAATGAATAGGTTTTGGTAACTAAATTCATACTAAAGGTGCTTAAATCACCTTTTGGTGTTACCATGGTAACTGTAACCTGCTGAGTAGGTCAGACAGCCGACTTTGTGTCCTGGAGTGAGTGAGTGAGTTTGGTTTTACGCCGCTTGCAGCAATATTCCAGCAATATCACGGCGGGGGACACCAGAATGTACTTTTCAAGTAAAATTGATATTTTTATACTTATCCTGACTCATAATCTTTTGCTTATCTCCCTTTCCCTTGCGAATGGTAGTGGAACACTTGAATCCCTTGAAGTTCCCGAAGCGGACGTAAAAATACACTCACCCACGAGTTACCTCCCTTTTCCCTTTCCCGCGTAAACAGTCATGTGACCAGCCTTACTTGTCACTCTCACCTGATTTTTCTGCCCATGCAGACTTTACAAGACTCAGGAGTCTGGCAAATGGTTAACGCTCCAACTAGTGTATAGATACTGCAGTCAAACAAGTACGCTGTGGGATTTTATCACACTTGACCTAATATGCGGTCAAATATTCCTTGAGAGGCATTTAGAAGTTGGAGCAGATGACTGTGGTCAAATAACTTCAGTGAGAGGCATGTAGAAGTTGGAGGTGAGGTGAGGTGAAATTGGGTTTAACGTCGTGCTTGAGAATATTTCGCTCATATGATGACGTGCATGCGTGTGTATGTGTATGTGCGGCTGCTTGTACTAGCCCAGACTGAAGCTGGTTTTATAGTGCTAGTTCACTGAGATACCATGCCACAGGGAAGCATGAATACCCCACTCAGACACATTATACTGACTCCGAGCCGACCAGTCCTTGTTGTACCCATTAATGCCGAGCGCCAGGCAGGGACCAACAAGTACCATATTTTAACGCCTTTTGGTACGCTCTAACCACTACACCATGGAGGCGGTCGTAGAAGTTGGAGCAGTAAGGAAGGATAACAATATATGGATGCTGTTACATGTCCAGGTTCCGACAAAAAAGAACTCCTTGAAAAATTATTTTTTGTGAACCAAAACAATGTGTCAGATTCAAGGCAAACACTGAATTGGGAAATCAGTGACCTGTTTGATTTGATCAAGAAAGTCCTGTCCTCTCAAAAGAATCACAACCATCACTTCAAATGATCAATGAAGAAGGGGTTTCTTTAAATATTTCAAAAGAGAGAGTATTACGACTTACAACAGCGATCCCAGAATCGGATGTCTCATACTTCTCAAGGAGTTGATCCATGTAGGAAAAGACCTTCTGTTTCTTGGCCATGTCTCTCTTCAATTGCCGCCACTCGTAGCGCTCTTTCCACTCGTCCAGTTCCTCCTCCGAGTGGGCGTAGTTACAAAGGTTGTACATCTCCGGAACATGGGAGTACTGACACCTCTCATCAATCATGTGTCTGCAATAATATGGAACATGTCATGCATATTACACACACTGCTATATCATGAATTCATGAACAGGTATGTGTTCTCATTGTATTATATCCTGAATTCTCCAGCTTTAGGCCAAATCATGTAAATCATGAATTTGTGAATCCTGGGTTCATATACCCTTGAATCTTAAAATGGGAGTAGAGAAACCCACAAAACATACCCATTGTACATTGTACCCATTCTCCAATCACGGTCGCATTTTCCTCTTGTATCTTATCATGAATTATAGAGTCCTGATGAGTCGAATCGCTGGGGACCAAGTAATAAATTCGACTTATCGATGTATTCGAGACATAGGTATGTCTATGAGGGTAGAAAAAAAGATGATCCCATCCTAATTCCTCCGCCTAAGCATTTGTTTATCTAATGATTTCCATATCACTAATAGGGGCACCTTATCAGTTCCAGTCTGATTAGCACAGACAGTGATATCCGTAAAATCACTAATCTGCCTTTTGAACTCACCGACAGGTACTTCGAGTTATGCATAATATTCGAGACACCAGCATTCGACTCATCAGGATTTGACTGTATATGGCTCCATTATATGAATTCTCTAACCACAGGCAGAATGAATTTTTGAGAATAATGGAAATGCTCATGCATGTCTGTGCATGTCTGCCTCTCACTACCTTGTTTTATGCCACACAGCAATAATCCAGCAAGAAAACATAACACTGTAAATAATCTAACCATATTAATAAAGGGACAACCCGTGAAGGTCTGGGTTAGAATCGATCTTCAACAACCCATGCTTGTGGAAAGAGGTGAATAACAGGATGGGGTGGTCAGACTCCCTGACAGGGTTGACACATCACATCCCAATGTCCATACACCGATGCTCATGATGTTGATCACTGAACTGTCTGCACCAGACTCAAGTATTTACAGATCACCCATTTCTCTGGAATATTGCTGAGTGCAGCATTAAACAAACAAACAAACAAACAAACAAACCAATGAATAAAAGGTCATACTGATCACCTAAACATACAAGATAAACTTACTTAGCGCAGAGGTCGTAACTGGAGGATGGTATTCCCCAGGGAGGCTGGCGATGGTTCCACTGATGATCCTTGTCGGAGTTGACGTTGAACGTGTGCCGCTCCGAGGCGCAGTGGTTGTCCCACTGCTTCTCACTGTTGGACTGTATACCGCAGTACTGGCAGTAGTGGGGGTTAAAGTTCAGGTCAGAGGGAGCAATGACGCGAGCTGCAGCTTTCTGTACAGACACCACAGACTCGCCCGGTTTTGGTGGAGGTACAAGTTGGGCTTTGCGGGAAGCCTCGGCAAGGTCATCCAGCGTTTTCACTGGAAACATCACACACACCATATACAGACTTGAAACTGTCACTCCATGTATGTCCGCTAGGTGTTAAAATATACAACTGAAAGAACTTAAAGCCGCTCATTTTTCCTAAAAGACTCAAGTTAATCTGTCAGAACGTTCCAACTGTGGGCATTCTTTAACACCTGAACCAGTAAACAACATCAACCGATTATGATTATTATCATATATTCTAAACCAAAAGTCACTGTGTTCTTTAATTTGATTGGTTGAAAAACATGATCAAATGGTATTCGATTCCCGGAAATTCGCAGCGTATTATTACATACAAACATCGCTCACACCATTGTATTGTTACGTCGTCAGCTGTGATGACGTCATTAAACGATATTGTGACGTAAAGTCCGAATGACGTCACAAATGAGCAGTTCCAGATGCTACCATGGGAGACAGCTGAAACGGCCGGCTGATGACATTTCACTGCTGGTCCCGTACTCGATGTCAATGAGTGCAGACACAAAACGTGTGTGGACCTTTTGGTTTACTTTTGTGTTTACAATGTCGATAAACATCATGTGTTGGCCAATTTCCGGGTGTTATTGAGTATTTGAAGCAGGGAATATTTCATTTGAAACCTCCGGCTGACGCCATCGGTTCCAAATGAATTCCCATGCTTCAAATACTCAATAACACCCTGAAATTGGCCAACACGCGATGTTTATCTCCTAAATATATGTATAAAGCGCACATATCCACGCAACTAGTGCATGCTCAAGGTGCTGGAGTATTCCCTTGTTCAACGGATGTCTTTCTTTCTGGCATTCTTTAAACCAACTCAACTCCCTGGGGATCATGCAACTCATGCAGCCTGTTAGGTGCAGCGAGTTATCACACAGCCATAATCCTCAGTAGAGCTACCTTGGTAAGATGGGCCTTCAGCATCAGCACTTGGTAATGGTGTAATAGATTTATCAACATGTACCTAGCATGGTTCATCATTTATCAACTTCCATGTCAGAGATGCCAACCCTGAATCTAATGACAGTAGAGCCATGCCTGCCTAAAAGCCAGGCCTGAGCACCGAAAGGTGCGAGTTGGGGGCAAGTGCGAATGGGTCTCACATACATATGGGCCATGACATGCATTCGGTGAGGTGAGGTGAAATTGGGTTTTAGGTTGTGCTTGAGAATATATTGCTCATATGACGACGTGCATGCGTGTGGATGTGTATGTGCGGCTGCTTGTACTAGCCCAGACTGAAGCTGGTTTTATAGTGCTAGCCCACTGAGATACCATGCCGCAGTGAAGCATGAATACCCCACTCAGACACATTATACTGACTTCTAGCCGACCAGTCCTTGTTGTACCCATTAATGCAGAGCGCCAGGCAGGGACCAACAAGTACCATATTTTAACGTCTTTTTGGTAAGACGCGGTCGGGGATTGAACCCGCGACCTTCCGCTCTCCGGGCGGACGCTCTAACCACTACACCACGGAGGCGGTCCACATGTATTTGGAAAAACTATGTGAAAATTTATCCTCAATAACATGCAACATACCCAAAGGATCACATGCTAAGCTTCCAAATGCTTTACCTGATGACGACTCAAATATATCACTGGTGACTTATGAAATTGTATACTGTAAAAACAATTTCTGAACTTCTGAGTTTTTTAAAGACAAATTGGAGAGCAGATTTTGCATTTGAAAATCGGAAGGCTTGGCATCTCTGCCATGTACGAACGTACTCTTCATTTGGTATGTGCAACCTTATGGTTTTGAATCATCTATCAGATGATTTTTTAGGTGCGTAGTTATTTGTATACTGAACTTAATTCAGGACCGAATAATTTTTTCAAGTTTTGTTCTTTTGCCCATTTGACACAGTATTAACGCTGCTCAGTGCTTATTATGAATATGATCAATATAATTAATTATTATCACTATCAGGGAGACTGTAGTGAGTGAGTGTGTCATGTTTTCACTGTATTCCACTTTCTTTGAAGGAGGCAAACAGTGTTCAAAAACATAAACCAATCAATATTAATGGATACACACACTACAATAAAGAAACTTATACAATACTTGGCAGAATTAATATTCCTAATTACCATTATTTTTGCACATCCATTTCCAGATCTCCAGTTCCTCTTCCCCGTGTGCAAACTGACATGGCCCTCCCAGGTTGTAGTCACACTTCTTCTTCTCTCTCACATACTTGCAGATAATGAAGTGGTAGTTGGTGGGGATCTTCCTTGGGAGAGGCCGAATCTCTTTCAAGCTTGGGAGAACCTGGAACATGCGAATCTGGTGCCACAGGTTGTGCAACTTGCTGCATCTGTCCTTGTTTCCGTCTTGGGTGCTTCTGGCTCCCTTCTTCCAGCATATTCCACAGATGATCTGAACGTTGTAAGGGCAGTCACCAGGTCCTGCTGCTGATGGTGGTGGCGTTGCAGTCCTCGTCGGTGCTGTTGCTGCTGTTGTTTTTGGAGGCGGACGTCGAGTGTCTGTAGAGAGCCCAGGCGGCAGAGGTGGTTCTGCTGCATGGTTTCGACTGGTCAGGATGTCAGACTCCTGGACAATCTCCTTTCTGCTCATTCCAGTATCACGCTCCAGCATCCATACATCTCGCTCCACCATGCTGTGGGCAAAACGACAGGTTCCCAGAAACAAGTTTCGACAGAAAAGAAGCCATCTGCAGATTTTAAAGAAGGCTGTTTTGTGTAGGAATCCTCTGCTGTTGATGACTGTAACAGCCCCATCTGGAGCAAAGTGGGCCAGAACAGAGCCTGACTGCCATGGATGTTTGAACATTCCCTTGCAGAATCCACTACCACCTTCTGTAGCTATCATTGGGGGTTGGCTGTAGTAGCAGTTGCGGCAGATGAAGGCAAAGTAACCACCATGTTTGGAGAGGATTTCATTGAGAGAGAAACCTCTGTTCTTACTTGAGGACCGATTCTGCATGATGAACTCGGTCACATTAAAATTGCCTCCATCTTTTTCCAAAGTCCATAGAATCTGTTCGATGATGTTGTGGGCAAAACTGCAGTTTTCCTCTCCATAGTGACACCAATCAATCCGATTGTACGTGACACTGTTACAAATGACATAGTTCCCGGGGAATTCACGGTGATTCTTCCGTTCCCGCACCCGGTACCAGGGATTGTTTCCCTGCCGCCCCCTCATGGCCAGGAGGTTCTCTTCACACAAGTGGGGGTGGGGGCTGTAGATATACCGGCCTGGGAAATTGTTGTAACACAAACACATCTTACACATGACCTTGAACTCATAAGTCTCTGCTATAGGATTATCCATCTTAACCCTCGAGCCTGCATCTCCATCTGGATGTGTAGCTGCAGGTGGTCTGTATTCTTCGGGGGGTGCGTAAGCAATAGGACTTGTCATACCTGGTGGGGGTCCTCGAATGTTGGGGGGTGGAACTGAAAAGTTAGGGGGTGGATGGTGAATTGTTGGGGTTGTTGCATCATAGCACTGCCTGGAATTAGTGGTATACCGACAGCAGGTTGTTTAGTTATCAGGGGAGATTGCCTGGATGGAGGTGGGGCTGATGGCATGTGGGTAGGGCCAGCAGGCACTGGTTTCGCTTGAGCAGTCGGGGTAGCTGTCTGGTAGTTCATTCCTGGGATGACATGCTTCTGGCTGAGGTCAGTGACCGATGAAGCTGGCACTCTGCCAATGCTGGTGTCTGCAAGTACATAGAACAATTACAACACTGAATTGTGTGCTAAAATAGAATTCCATGGGGTTTGTCTTAGACAAATGTTAAACGTGAAAATGAACAACTTCATGGATGACTTTGGGCTTATTGCTTTAGCTACTTTTGATGTAAATTCAAACATTCTTGATCTTATGTTGGAAGAATTTTTAACATTTAACTGGATCCAAAATTCTTTCAAAAAGCAAACCTCGTAGAACACAAGACATCCCTCAATATTAAACACTCTGAGTGAGTTAATGTTACATCCAGAAGGAGGGGCGAAAGGAGAGAGGGGCCGAGGGGGAGAGGGCTGAAGGAGGGAGGGGCAAAAGGAGAGAGGGCTGAAGGAGGGAAGGGGCGAAAGGAGAGAGGGGCTGAGGGAGAAAGGGCAAAGAAGAGAGGGGCCAAGGGAGAGAGGGCTGAAGGAGGGACGGGCAAAGGAGAGAGGGGCCGATGGAGAGAGGGCTGAAGGAGGGAAGGGCAAGGAGATGGGCCGGAGGGAGAGAGGGCTGAAGGAGGTAGGGGCGAAAGGAGAGAGGGGCCGAGAGAGAGGGGGCTGAAGGAGGGAAGGGCAAAGGAGAGAGGGCTGAAGGAGGAAGGAAGCTAAGGAGATGGGCCGAGGGAGAGGGCTGAAGGAGGTAGGGGAGGCTGAAGGAGAGAGGGGCCGAGAGAGAGGGCTGAAGGAGGGAAGGGCAAAGGAGAAAGGGCTGAAGAAGGAGGGAAAAGGGGAGACCAGAAGGAGGGAGGGCTGAAGGAGGGAGGGGCCGATGGAGAGGGGCTGAAGGAGGGAAGGGCAAAGGAGATGGGCCGAGGGAGAGAGGGCTGAAGGAGGTAGGAAAAGGAGAGGGGCCGAGAGAGAGGCTGAAGGAGGGAAGGGTAAAGGAGAGAGAGGGGCCGAGGGAGAGAGGAAGGAGAGAGGGTCCCAGGGAGAGAGGGCTGGAAGGAGGGAGGGGCAAATGAGAGAGGGGCTGAGGGAGAGAGGGCTGAAGGAGGGAGGGGCTGAAGGAGGGAGGGGCCAAAGGAGAGGGCTGAAGGAGGGAAGGGCAAAGGAGAGAGAGGGGACGAGGGAAGAGAGGGCTGAAGGAGGGAGGGCCAAAGGAGAGGGCTGGAAGGAGGGAAGGGCAAAGGAGAGAGGGGCTGAGGGAAAGAGGGCTGAAGGAGGGAGAGGGAAAAGGAGAGAGGGGAAGAGGGAAAGAAAGGGCTGAAGGGAGGGAGGGGCCAAAGGAGAGGGCTGAAGGAGGGAGGGCAAAAGGAGAGAGGGGCCGAGGGAAAGAGGGCTGAAGGAGGGAGGGGCCGAGGGAGAGAGGGCTGAAGGAGGGAGGGGCTGGAGAGGAGAGGGCTGAAGGAGAGAGGGCTGAGGGAGAGAGGGCGAAGGAGAGAGAAGGGCTGAGGGAGGAGGGCTGAAGGAGGGAGGGGCAAAAGGAGAGAAGGGAAGGAGAGAGAGAGGAGAGGGCTGAAGGAGGGAGGGGCAAAAGGAGAGAAGGGCTGAGGGAGACAGGGGGCTGAAGGAGGGAGGGCTGAAGGGAGAAGGGCTGAGAGGAGGGAGGAAGGGCTGGAAGGAGGAAGGGCGAAAAGGAGAGAAGGGCGCTGAGGGAGAGAGGGCTGTAGGAGGAGGGTCAAAGAAGGGAGGAGCCAAGGGAGGGAGGGAGACAAGGAAAAAGGGCCGAGGGCTGAAGGAAGGAGGAGTGAAGGAGGGAGGGCCGAGGAGAGAAGGGCTGAGGGAGGAAGCTTTTTGGTGTTGACTAGAATTCAAATTAAAGCTCACCAACTCCAATCTTTTTAAGATGCTCCACAAATTCTGTAATGATAAACTTGCCCTCCCTGTCCATGCCCCAGAGTCGAACTTCTGGCCAGTGATGTGGAAAGGTACAGCGCTCTTCCCCTACACGACATGGCACTGAGTTCTGGAACTGCTGACAAATCTTGTAGTTGGCATTGCGATGGATCTGGGACTCTGCTCGGGATCGAACTTTCAACCAGTTCAAGTTCTCCTTATCCTTAAGTCTAATTAGAAAAAAGTTCTTCAAGCAGTTGTGTCGGAATGGCTTATAAACATAACCTTTGACCCCCTCTCCAATCTTCTGGAAACAGACTTTACACGCTAACTGGAAGTCAAATTCATCTTTCAGTGGCCAGTCTATTTCAATCTGAGGTGTTTTAGCAGCAGGTTTGGGAGATCTTCTGTCTGGGCTGGCACGCGAGACAGAGCCGGCACGTGTTTCTGCCATCCTCCCTGAAACCAAGACGCTACACATGATGAAGAACAAATAAATCATGATGCTTGTGTTACAGAAAAGAACATTACGAAAGTTAAAACATCTTTAACATGGATACAGCTAATTAAAGCCAAGTGTCTCCAATACAACATCATGTCAGAAGAAATGTCTACGGGTACTTGTGAACACCGGTCCAAACTGTGTCAGTGTTACTTACCTGGAGCCCCAAAATCATCTAGTCCCATCGTCGGAGCCACTGCAGTAGCCTGACAACATAAACAGTGAGATGGAATACAAGTGGGTTTGTTTTGTGTTTAATGCCGCACTCAGCAATATTCCAGCTATATGACAGAGGTCTGTAACCAGTCTGGACCAGACATTCCAGTGATCAACAGCATGAACATCAATCTACGCAATTGGGACACTATAACATACATCAACTAGGTCAGGGAGCCTGGTCACCTGATCCAATTGGTTGCTTCTTATGAGTGAGGTTAGTTTTACGCCGCACTCAGAAATATTCCAACCATATGGCGGTGGTCTGTAAATAATCGAGTCTGGACCAGACAATCCAGTGATCAAGAGCATGAGCATCGATCTGTGCAATGGGGAACCGATGACATGGTCAACCAAGTCAGCGAGCCTGACCACCCGATCCCATTAGTCGCCTCTTACGACAAGCATGGGTTACTGAAGATCAATATTCTAACCCGGACCTTCACGGGTCGGTTGCTTCTGATGACCAGCATGGGTTACTGAAGAACTGACCCAACTGATCTTATGGGTGGAGTGTAGTGTTGGGCATTGGTTGAAATCTCACAATTGATGATTGCTTCATTACCAACGAACAATCATCCAAAAAAATTGGTAAGCGTCATTTTTCAGATTTTCCTCTCCAGGTTGTTATTGCAGATATGTATAACATGATGCAACTTGCTACTTTTAAAGAGATGAATAATATATCATGAACATAAACTTCCTGGAGTCTTCAAGAAATATTCAGCCATGACTTTTCAGTTAGTGAAGTGAGTTTTCTAAGAATTAAACAAGTTTTCAGGCCATGACAACTTCGAAAATATGTATTGTCGTTAAGTGTTTCAAAGACAAAAACAGCAGTTCCAAAATCGTTTGTGTTCGATTATGAGAAAATGTGATCGATTGCTTGGTTGTTTGGTCACTTCGACCAATCTTCGATTATTTCAATTAATCGGAGACACCACTAGTGGAGTGAGAGCAAAGCATGGGAAAGACAATTTACAACACACATTAACTTGATCATTAGTGATATGCTACTTGATTTGCACACCATTCAAGTAGCACTAACTACGAGTTAGGACCTAGCAAAGTGATGATTGACTGCAAGATTGGCGATCACTTTGGAGACTTGATTACCAAGTGATACAGCTAGGAGAACAGTGATATTCTACCCCATACATAAGGTGATGCCCACCCCCATCACACATCCCACCCCACCAATCTGACCCCTCTAATCCTATGTACGAAAACGTCACGTTGAACATGGTGATATACAGAAGGTAGCAATGTTTACTAAGGCTGTAACGATTAACTCGCATGTTCGGTGAATCGAACCGTAGCCCTTCATGAATTCAATTCATTATTTGTGGTCACCAGAACCGATTATTAACGAATATTTACAATTTTTTTAAGGGAGCATGTTTTACTTGAACCCTTATGTCCTTTCCAAAGTGAGATAATCAAGAATGGAACATGTACTAGCCTTGCAGTAGCGCAAGTCATGTTAGTTTGCCAAGGCCACACATGGTACTGTCGACTAAAACTATTACATACCAAATTTGAGTGTCATGAGATCACTGGTTATTGCTGTGACAAATCAAAACTGTCAACAAGGGCGTTCCATATTGTGCATCAATCACTTAACTACAATATTGTATTCATGAATAATTATTCGTATTCGTTACCCAATGTTCATGATACGTATCATATTCGCCACATAGTGTATTTGTTGCAGCCCTAATGTTTACCCTTTACCCCGAAAAGCTGCAGGCCCTAAAAACCCAGAACCATAAAAAGTTGTGGGTCCTGATCAGAACATGTTGGCCCTATATCTTAATATGGAAATAATAGTCTTAGTTATTGGGGATGAAAAAGCTGTCGGCAATAAGGACCTGCAGAAAACAAAAGCTGTGGGTCTGAGAGGTTTTACAGTCGGCTTCGGCCAAAAGGACAGACATTAAGCATTTTCAATCCCTGACTTATGAATCAGCATCATTATGGTGAGTCAGCTTTACATGGAACAAGTGATACGGGTCTTAGACACCCAAGCAACCGATGTCCCTGTATCATGTTAAGAGTGAGCGAGTTTAGTTTTACGGCACTGTTATCAATATCTCATCAATATGACGACGAGGATCACCAGAAATGGGCTTCACATATTGTACCCTTGAGGGGAATGCGATGCTTTAACCACTTGGCTACTCCACGGACCCATATTATGTCAGAAAGTGTGAGCTACAAAATCTGAAGCACCCACCTTGGATCCTATTGGTCCCACCTTCGTGAAGGCTTCGAAGGGCATCATGTCTCCTCCAGTGTCGGGGGAGTAGCGGGGACGCCCATGCTTCCTCCTCCTTAGGCACTTTAGGCTGGGTGATCTTAAACGGAGCGGCTTTTTTCACATTGGTCCGCACACTCTGAAGCTGCTTAACAAACTTCTCGTCCTCCCCGAGGTCACTTGAATCTCCATCCGATTCATCAGTGGTACTCTCCTTCTCCACTGAGTGGGCGGGGGTCTGTACAGGTGCACTCTTCACACCGTTTGACTTGTTAGCTGTGAACATACAGCAGTGTCATACAATAGACTGACTGACTGACTGACTGACTAAGTTTGGTTTTACGCCGCTTTTAGCAATATTCCAGCAACATCACGGCGGGGGGACACCAGAAATGGGCTTCACACATTGTGCCCATGTGGGGATTCGAACCCGGGTCTTCGGCGTGACGAGCCAATGCTTTAACCATTACGCTACCCCACCGCCCCCATACAATAAACTGTTTATAGTCAAGACATTATAATGACGAAACGGATATAACAAAACGTATAATATAACAAAATGTATATTTGTCCCTGACACTTGCTGAATATTTTGTTGAAATGCTTAAAACGAACTATGGCTATAATGAACTAAGATGAGTGGTTCCTTTGAGTTCGTTATAGAAGTAGTTTACTGTACCTGCTGTACACATTGCTGATGGGAAGTGTGTACAGTACTATACTAGTGTCTAGCAAATCTCTAACATGTCTGACAGTCAGTGCGGTTTAACAACTGAAGTCATCAACATCGAAGCAATATGACATCTTGTAAATAATCTAGTCAGGACCAGATAATCCAGTAAAAGATATGCATATTGTGACATTGTATCGTTACCTATGTATCACAATACATATCTCATGACATTGCAATATTGTTCCACCCTTAGGCCCCAAAAAATAAATGTTGTGGTTCCGATTTCCGACATTTCAGAACTAGGGTAGGTAGGTAGGGTTGTTGTTTTTTGCAAAATATTTTTACATTACTTATGTGTCAGAAAATAAATTTAATTTATTATGTGGTGAGTAAAATTGTTAGGCTCAGCGGGAATATTAAGGGTTGGTCGGGAAATCGGAACCACAAGCCTTTTTTTAAGGCCTTACCGAAAAACCACCAAATGCTGAGCTATTACTTCAGCATGTATCAAGTTGAAATAGATGCAACTTACCTTTCTTTTTCTTCGGCATCTTTGCAACTGCCACTTCTCTTTGCTGATGAATAAAGATCACAAAAATATATCATATTGTTCTAATAATTAGCAACAAATCAGAACTCTTCTAATTTGGTGAAAATCCAAATTTTACTTGAGAGAGATGTCTGTGATTTTGGGTAATAATAATGACAGCAACAACAAACAACAATAATAATAGAAATAAATAGGCATGTCATATCCTATAATTGAACATTCTTCCATATAATTGAACATTCTTCCATATAAATACCAACTGAGATAAACAGGCATGTCATATCCTTAAGTTGAACATTCTTCCATATAAATACCAACTGAGATAAACAGGCATGTCATATCCTTCAATTGAACATTCTTCCATATAAATACCAACTGAGATAAATAGGCATGTCATATCCTTCAATTGAACATTCTTCCATATAAATACCAACTGAGATAAACAGGCATGTCATATCCTTCAATTGAACATTCTTCCATATAAATACCAACTGAGATAAACAGGCATGTCATATCCTTCAGTTTAACATTCTTCCATATAAATACCAACTGAGATAAATAGGCATGTCATATCCTTCAATTGAACATTCTTCCATATAAATACCAACTGAGATAAATAGGCATGTCATATCCTTCAGTTTAACATTCTTCCATATAAATACCAACTGAGATAAATAGGCATGTCATATCCTTCAATTGAACATTCTTCCATATAAATACCAACTGAGATAAATAGGCATGTCATATCCTTAAGTTTAACATTCTTCCATATAAATACCAACTGAGATAAATAGGCATGTCATATCCTTCAATTGAACATTCTTCCATATAAATACCAACTGAGATAAACAGGCATGTCATATCCTTAAGTTGAACATTCTTCCATATAAATACCAACTGAGATATTTAGTCAATGTCCTAGATCATGACCCTGTATGAAAACCTAGGTCACACTCTGCTCAATAATATTCTGGTGCCATCATTTATCTGAAAGACCTTTGAATATAAGTTTAGTCAATATTGGAAACTGGAACCAGCGTCAGAATTTAACCTGGTCAATTAGCGTGGAGATTAAAAGTGTTAAACTGTGTTTAAGCAAATCCAACACCATATCTTCCATGAAACTAAGAGCTGGAGGTTAAAGGTTGACTGACAACAATAGTATAGACCCAAGAGATCCGACAAACCCAAGTCAAGTATCAACTAACCTTCTCTGCTTTCAAGGCATTTGTGCCCTGAAGCCATTCATTATCAACCTCTGTTTTGGCTGCAGGTTTAGCATCATTAATGGACACCTGCGATGTCTTCCTAGGTGCAGCTGGGGACGGTTGTTGACACAAGACCTGCAGCTCGTCCAGCAGATCCTTGAATACCTGAAGCAGAGAGTGAGTGAGTGATTTTAGTTTTACGCCACTTTTAGCAATATCACGTCGGGGGACACCAGGAATGGGCTTCACACATTGTACCCATGTGAAGCAGAGAAGTTGAGGCATACACTTACATAGTTTGTGGATTAAAGGAGCACTCAGCAGTACAAAAACAGCATTCTATTTATAGTTGAGTCTGGACTGGATAACCAATGGTCGATACTATGAGCATCAATCCACAAAATTTATGTTCATGGACATGCTATTAACCGTCTGACAACAGTGATTTATTTTGTTACCTCTTACGACCAGCATAGAATATTGGGGATCTTTTCTGAAAACCTGTATTCTCGAAATAATTTGTTGATAGGTGCATAATATTAACGCTCATTGGGACATTGGACACTTTAAGGTACATTTTATTATTTCATACCATTATGGGACTCAATGACTGTCACAAAAAAAAAACCCAAACAAATCTATATCAATTGGTCAGCTGTTTCAATTATAAATGTCAACGTCTTGACATTCTCTGCCTGATGTATCCAAATTCACTAAAGTACTGTCGGAAATAGAAAAAAACTGTATTTTCTCATTTATCTCTACAATTGATATAGTTGATATGTGAAAGTGTGAAATATCTGTTAAACTAAGTTCGGCCTAACTACAGTCTCAGTGGTAGAGAGATAGGAAACGGAGAAAGAGGACTTTCCTGAGGGGAAATTAGTGCAGAAATGAGCAATGCGTTTTTTTTCTAAGTCCAAAAAGACTTATTTGGAACAGACCATGGCTTTATGCAAATTAGCGTGCAACGATATTGTCAGAGCTCCAGATAAGATTTTGCTCATGTGGGTACTGTACCCACTGTATTTTTTTGGAGTGGGTATTATGAATGTTGAGTGGGTATTTCATTTTCCGTTACCCACTGCTTTCAATCAAATATGTGCGTATTTCAGTCATTTTACTCACCTAAGTATTATGTCATTGAGTAAGTTTACTAAACAGGTATGTCCTGCCTTATGTCATACCTAATCAAAACCAACTTAAATATAATGGAAATTATTTCATAAAAAATCACTCATCCTATACTGACAGTACAACACTTGTCCTATACTAACAGTACAACTTGATAGCAATCGATGTCTTTTTCATTACGCAAACGCTTTATAAATATATTCCGTACGCATTAGTTTTAAACTTTTTGCGAATCTAACATTTTAAATGCGTAATTGGTACGCAATAATTATTTTTCAATGCGTAATTGGAAATTTTATATGCATATTTTACCCGGATACGCAGCTTATCTGGGCCTCTGTATTGTATTACAAAGGACACTTTTTAAATGCCCAACTTGAAATTAGACGTAGATTCATTATAAACGATAGCTGACGTAGGATGTAGCTACCATGCAGTCTCACTGTCACTATGAAAAGAAACAGATAGGAGGGGTCGCCTCAAAAGCAAAACCTGGGGTCGGGCTTGGGGATAGAGATATCAGCTAAGATAAGATAATCCTTTAGGGCAATTATACTGGGAAGGTACACGGCACATCAGAACAATTTACAAATAATATCCAGTCCTGTCGATCTTCGGGTGGTCATGCCACCTATATACTACGATGCGTTTCTATGGTTTTCGGCTATCATACTCTCTTACATATCTCAACATAAACTTTATGAAGGAAAGACACGTAAGATGTTAATCAATAGATGAGGCATAGTCAACACACATGAAAAAGCACAAAATATCTTTGAGATGACCCCTTGTGCCTGTAGGCAGCACGTGCATTTCATGCCAGGTGAGTCGACGGTCCGTCGTCATACCTAGCTGAGCGACCTAATTGCCATCTATAGTCTGATCTATTGTTTCAGCAGCTATTCGTATTTTTTCTAAGTTTTGCACGATTTTATGAGTAAACATGCTTTTCTGGATTTCGTATTACGCATCCCACTGAACGCCCAGTTAGGCCGAAGTGGGTTATTTCAACATATGCTATTTGCAATTGTGTCAATTTTAGGGATACAGAGTTAACAGCCTAAAAACAGTTTTTTTTCTATTTCCGACAGTACTATAGTAGAGCCTTTCAATTAATCAATCTTTATTTACTGTACTGAAAAGGCCTTAGGCCTATAGTACATTTTTACATACAGTAGCAGAGGGTGCAAAAGAAATGAATATATTGTAAATATCACATCTGTAGTGCAGAGGATCTGATATTCATCGCATGATATATATACATTGCAAGGTATTTTGTGACTGTGTGATTTTGAGTAGTGCTGGTATTGGCATACAACCTGCCATGCGATGCATCACGATACTAAAATTTTAGTCACGATGATATATTGCCAAAGTATTGTGCACTGAAGCTGCGATACAATACGAATCCCGATACAAGGGTGGCGATACGATACGTATCCCGATACTAAAACCTAATTCTAACACCAACTATAAAACACCTTAAGATCAAAACAAAACCACTTGAAAGTATTTCGTCAAATTCCGCCAGCGTTTTTCAATGTTCATTCGGAAATGAGATAATTACGTTTATACATGGACTTTGTGAATGTTAATAAAATGCGAGCGCTATATTTGACACAGTTCCTGACACAAGAATTTCCAAGAAACTTATGAAGGGAAAATAAGTATGCATACATTTTAATCATTAAACAAAAGTAAGTCTTTCTTGACAGATATTGGGATTCGGCAATATTCAAAGTAAAACATCGATGTATCATGGCCCATTTGAAGTATCGTATCAGGATATACCACAATGTAAAACTCTGTATCGATTCACTGTATCGGCGGCCTATGGATCGATGCATCGATGTGTATCGATGAATCGTCACATCACTAATTTTGGGATGACATGAGTGTATACAATTTGTCTATTCGGGGGTTCAAATAGAAATATTTCTTTATGTATTCTTTTCTGGTATTTGCATACAATGGACAAACAAGCAAGAAATGGTATTCATCTTCTACCTCCTGAAAAGTACAATATTTACACAATCAGTTTTTCCCCTGGTATCCCCAAATGTCTACAATTTTCTATTAGAAGATCACGAGAACTACATCTGAAACGGGCTAGTGCTGTTCGGAATTTCTTAACATTAATGTCTAAAAGGTATTTTTCAGTAAGAATGAATGATTTAAAACAAAAGTAATGATTTAGCTTATTGTGTAAACATAGTGAAGAGTACCACTTTTCAAAATACATATCTTTTACTAGTTTTAGCCTTTGAGTTAAATCATATAAGAAATGCTCTGGTGCTGTTACATTTTGTTCTCTCCAGATGTAATCATACCCGCAAGACTGAAGTATCTTTGACACCAGAGGTCTAGTTACTTTTACCTCTATCATGGTAAAGCATCATTGGCTGAACATCACAAATGGTCCAATCAGAACAGTGCTGTCACACTTACACAAATACAGTAGACAGGGTCCTGAAAACACCAAACTGGTTTCTCCTTCAAACGACTCCAGTATGGTGAGGGTAACTGCCTCAATTTTGTTTTAAAGTAAATTAAAGTGTATTGCAATAATGATTTGATCATGCACCATATTGCATATGTTCTTTTGTTATGGGCCTGAATGAAAATACCTGAAACCATTTCTCCCCCTCCCTCGTCTTGCATTTTTTACACCTACAGTATTTTGTTGGATGTTGCTATATCACAATGGCTAAATTAACACACACATTTTACACAGGAGTGAGTGAGTTGAGTTTTACGCCGCACTCAGCAATATTCCAGCTATATGGCGGCGGTCTGTAAAGATCGAGTCTGGACCAGACAATCCAGTGATCAACAACATGAGCATCGATCTGCGCAATTGGGAACCGATAACATGTGTCCACCAAGTCAGTGAGCCTGACCACCCGATCCCGATTTTACACAGGAAACCGGTCACAAGAGATCAGTTATTCGTTTCACGCATCTTTTAAATTCAGTTCAACTTGTCATTTGTTTTCCTTATATAAACTTTCCAAGCAAGATGACGATCAATGATTTATATATATGCAATGTACCAGTATTTTTCAAACATCATATGTACTCACTAGTATTTCAAACTGTTGTATAACAGAAATACTGCACACCTCTGCACACTATATGCCTCACATAATGCATCTTAGGGACCGTTCATAATTTATGGCTAGGGGTGTGTGATGATTTTTGTGGAGAAACATGTACAATGTGAAAGACCCCCCCCATAATTTATGTACAAAGTAGGTGACCCCCTGCATGTCATGTACAAAATCAATGACCCCCCCCCTTTCCATATTTTTAAATAATAATTTTTAATATTTTTGTGTACAAAGTTGCTGACCCCCTAGAAACGTACAAAATCGATGACCCCCTACCTCCCAGAACAAAATGGGTGAACCCCCTAAAAATCACCCCACCCCCTAAAGCCATAAATTATGAACGGTCCCTTACCATGATGACACGAAGGAAAGGTAGAAAAGCTAAGTGAAGTAGAAACTTTCAATGAACTTCGTGTAATTTCTTTGAGAGGCATTTTAGAAGTTGTGAAGATGAAAGAAAACTGATTTCTATGGATAGTCAACTTCTTTATTGCAATGAGTGCGACGTTTCGGTGTAGGTACTAACACCGTTATCAAGCAAGTGATACAACAATTTGAAGCAAGGAGAATATATACATAGCTGCATAGTGAGTATATACAATTAACAAGGTTGATGTACATTGGATATTTGATAAGTGATTACAGCAGAGGAGGTTGATGTACAGAGTGATTGATTGTGATTAGAGTTGAGTTTATACAATTGATGACTTGACGTACAATGATAAGTGAGTAGGTTGAAGTACACTAGTTGTGATTACAAGCACAAAGGGGGGAGCATGGAAGCCAGATGGACAAAGGAGGTAGGGAAGGATTACTGGTGGTGGTCTTTGATTAGGTGGTGATAGGCTGAAGTGATGAAATAACCTTGATCTCGATTCATGGTGGGGTTGTGGTGTTGGATGTTTATGGCTTCAAGGAGTT